GTGAAGGAGTAGGAATGGATGTCGATATTACTGGTCCGTTCGGTCCGGCGATAAAAGGTGAACGATATTTCTTCGTTGGTGTGGAGAGGGCGAGTTGAATTGTATTCGCTATTTCAATAACGACAAAGAACAAAGCGTCTGATATCGTTTGACAGTGTATTTCGAAATTGGAGAAACAGCTTGGTGAAAGGGTGAGGGTGATTAGGTCTGATGGGGGAGGTGAATTCGATAGTCTTGATATGGTGGGGAGGGAATTCTACCTGTTAGCAGGGATCAACCACTACATCACACCAAGATACACACCAGAATTAAACGGAGTGGCGGAGAGAATGATACGTACCTTGAAGGGGATGGTATCAACAATGTTGTTTGACTCAGGACTACCGAACGAATATTGGTCCTATGCTGTCAGATACACCGCCATTATAATTATGAAAACATCGATTGGTGTCAGTGGTAAATCAGGTTGGACATCACTCACTGGAAGAGACACGCACCTAGATAGCGTGTGGAGATTCGGTGAACGATGTTTTGTTCAGATACCAAGGGAGATAAGGCTGAAGTCTAATTTCACGATACCTAGGGGATCGTCAGCGATTGTACTAGGTCAAGATGAGGGTGTGAGCGGTTGGATTGTTAGAATGGACGGATCGGGACAAATCGAACACTCACGAGACGTTCGTCGCTCGACAGGACGAATGGTGGCTACTAGAGAGTTGCCAGATGTCATCCAAACCCCTCTTGACACCATCGAAGTGGACCTAGACCCCGTTGTCAACGAAGAAATTTTCCCTGACGACCGCTCAGAAAGTGGCGAACAGGAAAATATCAATAATGAACAAGGAAATGATGTCCACAGAGACAACTCACCTTACAGGCCCACAACCTACTGAAAGACGACGTGGACAGGGCATTTGGGGAGGAAATTGGATCTATGAGAACGATATCGTTGAAAATGAGAGAAATGATGAGGAAGGAAGAAATGATGGGGACGAGGGGATCATGACGACACATCACGGACGAATTATTCAACCCCCCCATCGTTTTGCCGGCCTAACAGACTCGTTCCTAGAATTTGGTCGCGAGCCTAATAGCTTAGTTGCACTCGCCTCTATCGCAGGTATTGAAAGCGACACTTCTCTCATTGATCCTGTCTCTCCTGAAGAAGCAGTAAACGGCCCAGATGGTGAGAAGTGGCTAGAATCCATGGAGAAAGAGATATCCAACATAGAATATAAGGATACATGGGTGGAGACGGTACTTCCACCGGGACGAAAAGCCATTGGATGTAAATGGGTATTCAAAGTGAAGACAGATTCTGAGGGAAACTTACTAAAGTACAAGTCACGACTAGTAGCTCAAGGTTTCTCACAGATACCAGGTGTCGACTACGAAGAAACATTCGCACCTGTAGGAAGATCGGGATCGTTGTGAATACTCTTGACTATAGCAGCAACCGAAGATCTCAAAATTCGTCAGGCCAATGTCGAAGGGGCGTTTTTGAACGGTAAACTCAATGTCGAAATTTACATGAAGTATCCCAAGGGGATAAAACCGAAACCTGGATGTAATACCTTGAAGTTAATAAAGTCCCTTTACGGTTTAAAGCAATCTGGTAGGACATGGTGGATAGAACTCGGCGAAGGATTATCTCACCTAGGCTTTTCAAGAATCGAATCAGATTGGGGTCTTTACTATAGTCAGAAGGGAAAATCGAAGGAAAGGGAGCAGCAATACTGCTAGCCTATGTCGATGATCTAGGATTAGCCACAAAATCGAAGGAAGAAGCAAAGGAAATTTTCGATGGGCTAGGAAAAAGGTGGATAATAACCGATCTGGGGGAGATAAGTACCATTCTAGGTATAAAGGTAACAAGGAACAGAGAAGAAAAGACAATATGGTTAAACCAACCAGCGTACATTGATAAGATAGTTCAGAAGTTTCCAGAAAACGACTTACATCGAGACCGAAAAACACCGTTACCTCTTACTGCGAAAAATCCTTTGATGTCGGAGGTGGAGAGTGAAATTCGACCATTTCAAGAATTGATAGGATGTCTACAGTGGTTAGCCACATGTACTCGACCAGATATATCCTATGCAGCATCCTACCTTGCTAGGTACCTCACCAAACCAACGAAGAAAGTATGGGAAGAAGGGATAATGGTAATTACATACCTTCGGTCCACTCGGTTACATGGTATTCGTCTCGGTGGCGAGGCTAGCGATCTAGCAGGATGGGTTGATGCCGATTGGGCAGGATGTAAAGATACACGACGATCAACAACTGGTTGGATCTTTATGATGAACGACTCACCGATAACATGGAGTTCAAAAAGACAAGCTACAGTATCGTCGTCAACAGTCGAAGCAGAGTACATTGCGATGGCTGAAGCAGCGAAGGAAGCTCAGTGGTTGAGAGGATTACTGAGGGAGATAGGCTACGATCAGCTAAATCCTACTGTATTGAAGTGCGATAATCAAGGATCAATATCACTAGCGAGGAAACCTGGTACTCACCAGAGGACAAAGCATATTGATATTCGACATCATGCTCTTTGAGATCTAGTCAGTAATAAAGTTATTGAACTAGAATACGTCAGCACTGTCTATCAGAGAGCAGATGTACTCACGAAAGCTTTAGGTGGACCAGTACATTCGGTGAATATGTCAGCAATACGGGTAGAACCACCAAAGAAGAAAAACATTGGTTCAGTATACGTCACATTAGATGATGACGAAATTATCGATTACAATTATTCTGATTTCGAGGATCTAGGAGATCTATCAGGTGGTACAGAGGACGAAGTGGTATCAAGGAATCAAATGGTACCAGAGACAGAACCAGTACCAGAGAGAGAAGTGTGGGTGGAAGGAACTTCAGAGAAACCCACCGAAGGTACCACCAAAGGAAAAATTCTCGTGAGCCAAAATGTAAAATTTTTGGGTGTACCTAAGAATGTGAGTAATTCTAAGATAGATCAGAAGCCACCGGTAGAACCTAGAATAGTTAGAGAGATGGAAGAGAAGGGACAGAAGAGGAGGGAAGGTGTTACGACCTGGTAAGCCAGCTTGTAACACCAAGTCCCATGATCTCTGAACAATCCACCTGAAGCCCTTCAACCCAATTACGCCTCATGGCTCCTACAAACTACAAGTGACTTTGTCACCAACCGACAACCACCGATATCATTCGATAACCTGTGCTTACCAGTGATATCCTTAGACAAGCACCGACACCCTACGACCGTCTCTCAACGCATAGCAAAGCACTGCGGTGCAACACATGTACTTGCACCGCAATGCATGCAGACCTCCGGCCAGACTCGATGGATCTCAGAGCATAGCAATGCAGTGCATAGGGAAGAGCCGAATGTATCATAGCAGAGCAATGATAAGCATAGGAAGGTGCTAGAAATCCGGTGGCCTGCAGAGCAGGCCTCCTGGGACCCTCTGTAGACTATTTAAACCCTACATCTTCTGTCCATAGTTTCTTTTCTTCAGAGATCAATTATCATATGTTTTCACCCTTTACGGACCAAGTCTTTGATACTGACTTTGACTTCAACTTGTCCTTCAACATCGGCCCCAAGCCTTAATCTGTTCAACACCTTGGGCCCAATATCATCATTGGACATCCTCTTGTCATCATCCTAGACCCTCTCATTGTCAGTAAGTAATCTCGTCCAGTGTATCAAAGTTCCACTCTCTCTCTCTCTTCATCCTTTTACATCCCTTCATCCTCAACTCTTCTCTCTTCATCACTCGTCCACCTGCTGTCTTTACCTTAAGACAACCAGGCTTGACAGAAGGACGGCTACATAGTGAGAAGAAAGAGAAAACTACGTATTTCCCCTCTCAATATCACGACCCCTCATTTCATTGTCCAGGACGTCTCCTACCGCCCCTTCCCAGACCACCATATCGTAGACCAAATCGAACAAAGGGGATGAAGCCCCTTGGCCACCACGAGAGGCCGCCACCAAGAGAAACCGAGCATAGGCCAATGTGGCCACCAACATTTGAAGATAAAAAATTGTTATTGGAGAGAAATCAAAAATTCAGTCTAGATAATGACAGAATCAATAAACAGTGTACCTTTTCTCTCCGAATCCCTCCACAGACCAACCACGAGAAAGCCTCTACGAGATATGACGATAATTCTTATAAAAATAAAAGATTTTCGAAAAGTGGTGAATCTATGATGTCTCGTCAGCCAGGACCGCGAAGGAAATTCATCGATTCTCCGGAGTCTACTAGCAAACCTGAAGTTTTAAGAAGTAGACAGGACAGAAGGAAGGTCAGAGAGTCAGAAATGAGTGATAAATGTGGAGAAAGTCGAAAGGTGGACATACCGATAATTGGAGATAAAAGTGATGAAGTCAAAGGAAAGATAGAGAAGAGTCAGGCATCAGTAGTGAGTGGTAACCACGTGTCAGAGCGGAGCCCCGCGGGGGGCCCCACAGAAATTCATTTCACGATTTCACCTACTACTACTACCACACACATAACACTCAATATTTCATCATTACTACCCTCTACATCATCACAAACCTCGCCGTCGCCATTGATGAATCGTCCGGGACTACTGCAGAGTCGTGCATTGTCCCGTGGGGGAGTGTCAGCCGATAGAATCGGGCCAGGACGGCCGAACCGCCGTTAGAATTACCCCTTCCGTCGAATATTTCTCCGTTCAACTTATCCTCTGAACTTTATTCGATTGTCTCTGGTTTTATGCGTGTGAGTGGAATGTGATCAGTATAGGGACATGTAGAATTGATGCATGCTCTTTTTCCCCTCTGTATTACTATCTCATTATCAGCAAACACGCATCACAGTGCATGTGGTTATTTTCATCATCTTTCTTTTAAAGGGGATTCACCCAAACGTCGGGGTGGTCCCATGCAATATTTGTCTATCACACATCATCAGCATGACTCCTCAGATGCATACTTTAGTCAAAATGCTCTACTTCCAAGCCAAGGACCCCTCCATTGAGGTTCAAATCAATCTTGCAGAGCCAGCGGTAGCTGTTCTGGCCTGGACAAGAAGCTCCCCAATTTGATTGAGATCTTGCTCAAGCTACCGCTCACATCCTTCCAGAGTTGATCAACATTGGATGTGCTGGGGGTGGAACACCTAGATTCGTGTGAGATTACATCATTGTCTCCTTCCATCTGACGCCACGCGGCCCCGTCCTCCTCCCAGATTTGGCTCGGTGGGAGCTCAGCATTCAACTTCAGTAACAGCTCAGTGAATATTTGGACGGTGAAATCCTCCCCTTCTGTCTCAGACGCTACCACCATCTCACTCTCTGAGAACTGAAGTAAGCACCAGCCCAACTTCATGCCAGACTTTAATGCGGTCTGCCTCTCTTCCTCTGTGTAGAACCCATTGTCAAATACTAAATGTGGATTGGAACTGAGATGCAAGGAGGTTCCTAAGGTGTGTAAAGCCAGCTTGAGTTGTTGCGGTTCAAGAGAAAACTTGTAAGAACGTCCACTGTCGGTGGCTCGCCAGGCATGGAACCCAACAGCACCAACTCGAATTCCATTAAGTCCTGCTTTTACTAACTGTGTGCCATGTTGAGGTCCTGTCTCCTGTGTCCCGTAAAATGTTGTAAAGGGGAGGGGGGAGGGGGGAGATTCCCCTCCAATCATACTGCCCTCGAAATCTAGTCTTCATATGACCGAGACCCCCGTTTGGCCGGTTTGGACATAGCATCGTGGGAAGATGTGGGAGGTTGAAAAGAACGATACGGAGTGCGAAGTAGAAGGAAGTGGTGGAAGGAAAGCGCCGACGGATATTCAGATATTCAGATACTCGTCACCTGTTACTCGCTCAGCACTACCTTGAAGGTGATGAGGAGCAACAGGTTCATCATGAGACTATAATATAATCGTTGGCGTCATCCTAGGTCATACCTTAGCTGCAGAGAGACACTTGAGCGCACTACCTATCTGCAACGAGCGCGACAATACAGTATCATAGGTGACGGAAGGAAGATCGAGGCCGTTCGACCGGTTACAGCTCCTGTCCCCATGTAGCATCATATCAGGTAAAGGCTGGCAGAAGAAAGCCAGAGATGAGGTGCTTGTCAGGAAGGCAGGTTCTAGGTGCTGAGTTCACTAGAGTGGTGGGCAGCATGAGGTGGACGAAGCAGGAAGAGAGATCCCGCTTTAGTTCAGACAGGTGCAGGCATGGGTGTCAGGATCACGGGTACCCCTAGACGGGTTCCTCAAGAGTCGTACGCAGAAGCAGAAGTCGTACTCCACCTACCCGTTCCCGTCTCCGCTCCACTATTCCCGCTACGGTGTCCTCCGTTCTCCTGTCCTACCTAATCGTTACTTCTTTACCATGCTATACTTTTCCTTCATCTCCGTGTCCCTCATCTATCTCCGCCTTCCTTCGCTCTTACACCCCTCGTCGCTTTCCACATTTACTCCATAGATTTCGGTATCGCTCCGCTCCCTTTTAGTATATAGAAACACCCCTTTTTCGTAGATGTCTTGTCGAATGTATTTTCTCGTCACTTAGCAAATCTTTTGCCACTTGATCTCATCGACTATAGTCTCTTCGATCCACTACATCACTAGACTATAAACTACATCACTAGGTTTGTTCCCTGCGAGGCCCTATAGCCATAGCTCATAGACGCAGACTATTTCAACGTCTGGTCCTGACAATGGGCCATTGCATCTCCTGGTCTTTCCTGCATTCCAAGTGTAACATGTGATCTGGATGGGCCAGGGTGAAGAAGTCAGCTCCTTCTCTTTGTCACAAACCATGTCGTAACATCCCTGACAACTACCATCACCGACCCTCCTTTCACCATCACCGAACCACTATCCATCATTGACCACCATAACCCCAAACCGCTGAGACCCATTACAACAAAGTTACGAGAACCTAAGGAACATTTGTCACGATGATCCTGCCTGGCAGAGAACTACAGCGAAGTTAGGAAAAGGGGATCAAGGGATACTGAGTAAAATGGAGGGAGCTAGACGAAGTACGGCTACATTAGCGGAGTAGGATATTGGGGATATGGCGAGGTACAGCAAGGTTGAACAAAGAGAACTAAGTGTGAGGCTGTGCAGGAGTTGAGAGACGTTCTATGAGGAGAGGGGAGAAGTATAGATAGTTTACAGATCACTGAACATCTTCAGCAATCCATGATTGTTGTCAGTAGCGAGAGATATATTCAGTAATTACCACCTTCCAGTTAAGGAGAGCTACCACTCAGCAGTTTGACACACTACGACGAAGTTAGCCGCAGTTCGTCGACAATCATCTTATTATTTACCACTCGACCTATCACCACGGCGTAGTTAGCCGTAGACGCCCAACGAGTACCCTGTCTCAGTGAGACATCACCGCCCCACGACGACGTAGTTAGTCTAGGTTTGTCGACCGTCGGTCAGCAGAGAAGAGGAACAACATTTGTGGCAGGGGTTGTGGTGGTTGATGACAGATAGGGGTTCAGGGATGGTGAATGGAGGGTCAATGATGGTGGCTGACGGGGGATGTTACGATATGATTCGTGACATCACGCCTAACAGGCATAAGCTTCAAGTACTTCTCTAGTTGCTCTTTCCTCTGTTCTGATGCATTGTAAGGCATAATCTCTCAGTCTCTTGTTCTTGCAGCTCTTCTATGTTCTGCACGGTTCCTCATTGACCACCTTCAACAAAGTCACCGACTTCTAGTGCATCACATAGGATTTCATAGTAGGACGTGGGTCAACACAGATATGCCATCATAAGATATCAGCGGTAATTGGTGGGATGCATGACAATGCATGCAGGACAGAGCAAGATGGTTCAGAACGCTCGTATTCCACAGGCCTGCAGGAGCCTCTTGGAACAGGCTGATTTTGATAGTGCTGTAGGTTTCTTCTTCAGGAAAGTATCTTCTCTATTCCCTTCCCCTTGTGTGGTAACTGTCACGTCCGTCGAACTACTACTATTTAACAGACCGACGGTCGACGAACCTCGGCTAACTTGACGCTTCTAAGTCAATGTCTCACCCAACCAGGAGGGTGCAGACGTCGAAAGGAGTATAACTACGGCGTACTTCGACGTATTGACTCTAACTGGGCTTTTGTTCTACTGATGGCAATCTATCTCAATTTGAATATAGCTATCTCTGTCTATCTTTCACTACTGACAACAATCAAGGATCGCTGAAGAACTTCATCAATCTTCTCAGCTAATATTATCTATCCCTCCTAGACGTTCACCCAACCCTCTCATGCTTTGACGTGCTCCAACGCACTTCGTCCAACTTCCCCGAGTCCCCGGCCATCCTTCTCCTCCTCCGACTAACTCCGCCTAACATTGCCACACTTCTTTTGCCATTGTCCCTACTTAGCCTAACTCCATTCAACTTCGCCGTACTTCTGCTCCTGTTGTCCCTACTCAGCCTAACTCCGTCTAACTTTGCCATACTTCGATGTTCCTATGCTTTAGGTCCCTGTATATCTTATTCTCCCGTTGTACTTCGCCGTAGTTGGTCTCAGATGTCCTGAGTTACGTGTAGAGTAAAGAGGTAGAGACATGATAGGGGTTTTGATGGTCAAAAGAGGGTCATTGTTGGTGGAATAATCGAGATGTCACAACGTAGTTTGTGACAATAAGTCACTCATTCAGGTCTAACCTAACCTCTCAATCCCCTCAGTACCTAAGGCAGTCACCAAGGTCCACAAGCCAGAGACTAAACCCCTCAGTTCCCAAGGCAGTCCTTTGCTACCGCCGTCTATCCGCAGGCGTGACAGTCAGGGGTAAGTGTTCCATATATGTTTCAAGTATGGGAAGACATGGGAAGACTATCTTGGGTGGCGACTAGGTGATGTATGACAATAAGCCTCAGGGTGCAGCCGTAACGGTACTGGAAACTGTCACGAACCATGTCGTGACATCCCTGACAACTACCATCACCGACCCTCCTTTCACCATCACCGAACCACCATTCATCATCAACCACCACCCGAACCACTAAGACTGACTACAGCAAAGTTACAAGAACCTAGAAAGGACTGGTCACAACAACCCCACCTGGAGGAGAACTACGGCGAAGTTAGGAGAAGAAAACTAAGGGAGAGCAAGTTAGTCGAAGTGAGTGGAGTTGGATACCGGGGATATGGCAAAGTACGGCAAAGTACGGCAAAGTTGAGCAAAGTTGAGCGAAGAGGACTGAGCGCAAGGCTGTGCAGGAGTTGAGGGACGTTCTATGAGAATGGAGGGGAAGTATAGATAGTTCAGAGATCACTGAACTTCTTCAGCGATCCTTGATTGTTGTCAGTAGTGAAAGACAGACAGAGATAGCTATATACAAATTGAGATACATCGCCATCAGTAGAACAAAATCCCAGTTAGAGTAACTTCGCCCAAGTACGCCGTAGTTACACCCCCTTTCAACGTCGCACCCTCCTGGTTGGGTGAGACATCGACTTAGAAGCGTCAAGTTAGCCGAGGTTCGTCGACCGTCGGTCTGTTGGAAGATAGTTTTCAACGGCGGTGACATTGGGTCAAACTCGATGGAACTCTTGTAGAAGTCTAGGTGTCTCTGGTGATGTGTGATGGATTGTGTCTCCTCTGCAGTTGATGTAGGCAAAGAATCATATTGGACAATCAGCAGAGTTGGTACTTTGCTGATTGTACTATATACTGTCCGCAGGTGTCCACATCTCTGTCCCTCCCGCTGCAAGCGTCTAAGTACATACTCGGACAGGTAAAAAACCGCTTCTGCACAAACCCAGTGGGGAAATCTCAACAGGGAGAAGCCGTCCCAACCTAATTGCAGCACTGCCTCCAAATCCTGCTCTTCTCTATCCTAATCCGCCAATTTCAATGGATCTGTCTCAAGTTGTTGTTACCCTGTATCAGTAGTCTCCACACAGGCTTGTTCCTCACCAAAAAGCACATTAAACAATGATGCTCGCTGACCTTTCACATCATGACACTCAGTATTGGACCGTCTAAGCCTGGATGTAGGAGCCGTATACCCCACCACATTGGTGAAGGGATCATCTTGAGGGTCCTGTTCACTCTCAAATGGATTACCCCTGTACCCCACAAAGACTTTGCTCCAGAAAGTATGTTCTAGGAGCTCAGGACAGAAAGTCTTCCCTCTGAGAACAGCAAATGTGACTGCTCCAAGCATATGACCAACTTCCCATACTCTTCTGGTCTCATGTTCAGACCACTGTGATTTATTGAGAATGGGAGAGATCTCACTAAGAAGGTTGCACATGCTTGCATGTTGCACATATGATGGTGATCCCCGTTCCTGGGGACTGTCAGGAGAAGATATCTCCTCCCTCCCCTCTGAGTTTATTGCTACATGCTTTTGTTCTTGCATTCCATGCTCCACACTTTCCCAGAAGCAGTAATCATCTGATTTTGAAAAGTGTATTGTTCGATGACTAAGCAAGAATAGCAGACCTCCAAACCGCATGCCAAGGCACCCCACCTGATCATGGTCAAAGGTACTGTTCTGGGACATTGTACCTAACTTCTTGATTAGGTCCTTCCACTCGTTTCCAAAGCTCAACGCTGGCTGTGTATTCTGGCGAGGAAGAATGAAGTGGGTTTGTATTGGAGAGCTGTGAAGACTTTTGTTGCTCCACCTGTCTGGCACTGCAGAGAGATCTAACATGTTTTCTGTTGAATACCCAGCTTGACTGGTTTGGGGGAAGGAGGCCATCTTTGTCCCAAAAGATCTTGTGTGTCAGAGTGGGTTAAGGGAAGAGAGGCTCCACAAACAGCTCACCCATCTTATCTATTCTGTCCAAATCAAGCTCAACCCCTTGATCATACTCCGAAGTGAAAGGTTGGCGAATTGACGGACATACCCTGCGGCGTCGCCTACCACACATCGCAACCGGTGCAGCCCGTCTCCGTTCTCAGGACAACACCACCGGAGATGGACATCTTCGGAGCTGCAAGGACCCCCCGGAATTCAGCAGGAGACGTACCACTTCGGAGCTGGACGCACGATTAGATCAGCAGGAGACTGCCACTTCAGAGCTGGACGCACGATTTAGACATCTCTGTTCAGTGAAACATGTAATGTGCTATGTATGTTAAGGACCCAGCCGGAGATGTTCCACTCCGGAGTCGCACGGTTCAAAACACCCTTCTTGGACCCAGATGGAGAGGCATGCCACTCTGGAGGTGTCCAGACCCAGCTAGAGTTATCAATGCTAGTCTTGCCAAAATACTACTCTCCTCAAAAAGTATACTTAGTCTACCATTCTTCCCATCAATGGCACATTGTAGCCCGCTCTGAGATTAGTTTGAACATACAACCACTGCAATAGTTGCTCCACAATCTGTATGAACATTGAAGACATTGACCCAAGAGGCATGGTGTATTGGTAATGAGGAACAGGTTCAGTTGAGTCAGAGTTGGAAACAATATTGAGGGGAATCATCACTCACATGTAAGGGTGTTCAGATCATATGTATCTAGTCTGCTGCATCCATCTGTCCCCTCCTCAGCTCCCAGGTAATGAGACTCTCTGGCTGGGTCCGTCCAAGGGGTTGGACCACTCTGGGATGGGGTGTCTCCCATGGGGTCTGATCAGGTCCCTGCAGCTCCGGAGCTGTCCGTCTCCGGCTGTGTCGATAACTGTTATGACACTGCATACAAGGAGGTACGATTGGGATTGGAGAGTATGACAAGGAGCATGATGTGGAATAGGAGAATGAAGCTTATCAGAGTTAGACAGAAATCAGGACATTAAGAGACTTGGTGAGAATTGGTCATTGCTGATTCAGCATGGAGATTAGTAGTGCTTACTCAGCTGCTTGATCAGCAATGACATCATTGCTTGATAAGCTGCTTACTCAGATGCTTATCAATCATGATGTCATTGATGATTCAGCAAGGTGGAGGCAGCCGGACTAGTTTGTAGTTTGGTAAAAACAGAGGTCTAGATAAGAGCGCTGAATTTGCTCTTTTCCCTCTGTCAATGAAGTCTCATAAGTTACTCTCATAAAACTTTGCCACTCACTCTACTCATCCCTTGTTATCTTAGTGACTTACGCCATAACGCATTCACCACTGAGGTGCTCGTCATCATCATCCAATCCACTCTACGCTATCACTTTGTCTTCCGTCGCTCTTGTCCACTTAAGTTGGGTCTGGTCACTGCCTAGCTCTCCGTTGTAACAATAACACATCCTTCTACTACGCATCTTGCCCTACATGTACAGTCTGGTTCAAAAAAGTCATGTGTTGGCTTTCAATAGCAATCTGGCAGAGACGTCATGGCAATCATCTGTGATGTGCTATACTGCACTCAGCTTGCAATATGCATGGCTAGTGACATAAGACACTTTGTTTAGAAAGGGTGTTGGACAAGGTTTTGTAGAGATGAAAATGAAGAAAGAGGTTGATAAATGAGGCATTTGAGCAAGAGTTAGAAGTTCAAACAGTCCATGCTTGGTGAATCATCTGTAACAATCTTGATGCCTTCAAAAGCCAGATCATATCATTAAATAGATCCTACAATTGGATTATACACAATTTGATGGGTTATTAATATGATAAAATGGTGTACAATACAGCTCATTAGAGGGTAGCTTAGAGAGACAATGTGGACTGAGGGAGGAGAAGGGAATGCATATTGTGTATGACCGTCTCTTACCACCTGCCTGTGAAATTCAGTATCTCATATGAGACCTGTCATCATGAATATGCTTATCATGTTTCAAGTCAAGAGCTTTCCTGATGCATGAGATATGGTGATCTAGTGGGGAAGCAACTCAGATGGAATGTGCAGTGAAAATCTCAACAGAGACGCGACTTTTTACACCTGACTGTAGTGGCAACAACCCGGGCGAAGTTAGGCACAACGGAGTCAGGTAGTGCGAGTACGGCCACATCTCCCTCTGGTCTCAACGTGGCAAACTCCGCTGTATCTAGTAGATACTTTATACCTGTTGTATCTTCATCACGTATAGAATAGTGCTGACTGAACAACAGGTGACGGACACATATAATGTTGTCAAGGCAAGGGGACCATGGATAACAGGGTAGGGAGTGACAGAGTCAGTATGGTAGAGTCACACAGCCACACTCGAATATCCAAGACTTGTGGTAACTGCAATGATTGGTAGATAGTTAGATTGTAACCTGTTTCCTCATCATCTCAATAAGTGCTGAGCTGGTAACAGGTGAGTTCTCTAGTATACATCATTCTCAATAGGTGCCGAGCAGGTAACAGGTAACGGAAATCAAGGCGACTAGATTGATCTCATCAAATTCCGTCGGGCGGAGGAGATGTAAGACGAGGTGGGGGGAAGTAAGTGCAGTACAGTATCAGGGATACAGTGAGGTGCAGTGAACTTAGGCAAAGGAGGACTGAGCACGGAGCAGTGCAGAGTGGTGACCAGATTTCAACGAGTCAAGCACAGCTTCTTCAGCAATCCCTGATTGATATCAGTGGTGAGAAATATAATCAGTAGCTGTTACTATTGAGAGAAGGAGAGCTATAACCAAGCAGTACAACCTACCACAGCAAGGTTAGCCAAAGTGCCACAACACTTACCGTTTCTTATTTGACACCAATGTATTCCTAAGGTGTAGTCAGCCCTAGTTGACCAAAGAGCACCCTGTCTCTGTGAGACATCAACACTTGAGTACAACAAAGCTAGCCAAGATTTGTCAACTGTGTTAATATTCAAGTGGTAGTGGTAGTCACGTAACATCCTGGACCTCTTTATATTGAAACTTTTCATCCTCTGGTAGTTCTTAACTGCTTTCTACATAGCTAAGAACTACCAGGTGAGTTTCTATCATAAATGCATTGCTTTCCACATAGCAAAGAACTATCAGACCCACCAGATTTTACCGCCCTAGCAATCATTGATGAACTGTTGGTCAGACAAGAAGAGAAGAAAAAATGTTTGTGACAACTAGGTGCAAAACAAGAACAAAGCTGACTTGTAACTGTTGACAGTAATTGATGGAGAGGTAGTTGCAGGTATGCTCGTTGTCACAGGTGTTCCAGATGTGACGGCCTTTTGGATGTACATTGGTTGGATATCTATGAGGTTTGGGACCCTGAGTAGGCATAGGGCATAAACTCAGAGTTTCACGAACTATGTTGTGACACCTCAATTATTCCACCAGGAATGACCCTCCTTTGACCATCAATACCCCTATCATGTCTTAACCTCTTACCCTACACATAACTCAGGACATCTGAGACCAATCACGCCAAAGTAAAACAGGAGAATAAGGTATACAGGGGTCTGGAGCATAAGGACAGCAAAAGTAGGCGGAGTTAGGGGAACTAGGGACAATGAAAGCTGGAGTACGGTGAAGGTAGATGGAGTTAGGCCGAGTACGGACAATGGGAGCAGAAGTACGGGCAAGTTAGACAGAGTTAGGCTGAGTAGGGACAATGGAAGCAGAAGTCCGGTGATGTTAGGCGGAGTTAATCAAAGGAGGAGAAGGATGGCCGGGGACTCGGGGAAGTGAGACGAAGTGCATTGAAGTATGTCAAAGCGCAAGAGGGTTGGGTGAACGTCTAGGAGGAACAGATAATGTTAGCTGAGAAGATTGCTGAAGTTCTTCAGCAATCCTTGATGGTTGTCAGTAGTGAAAGACAGATAGAGATAGCTATATTCAAATTGAGATACATCGCCGTCAGTAGAACAAAAGCCCAGTTAGAGTCAATACGTCGAAGTACACCGTTGTAGCACCCTCGGACCACCCTCCTTCTGTCGCCAAGAGGGACCCGTCCACCCTCGGGTCTGGAGGTCCGGGCTACTGGGGAGCAACGCCTCCCCGGGCGGGGGTGGATGTCAGAATGGAGTAGTGTTGTCTAGGGTCGAGCGGGTTTGGGATAGGCTTCGGGTGATAATGATATGTATCAAGGTATCAAAGTATCAAACTATGTAATGATACTTAAAAGTACTGTAGAAGTATAAGTATATGATATGATTGAATCCCCAAATGTGATTTCTCCGGTGTGCCACTCTCAGAAGGTCTCCTGGTCACGTGTCCTAATCACCCCGACTATCACTCCTTCTTCACCTTCCAGCACTACACCGTAGTTACACTCCTTTCGACGTCTGCGCCCTCCTGGTTGGGTGAGACATCAACTTAGAAGCGTCAAGTTAGCCAAGGTTCGTGGACCGTTGGTCTGTTAGAAGGCAGTTGTTTGACAGCCGTGACATGGTAATCACAATTTACAAGCATGAGAACCCACCTGCCGTACTACCTTGTACGGACCACTTTGCTCCACATCCAACTTCTTCATTGGTCTCTTAGTTTTGATATTCTCTAACAACAGCATAACTAGGTCACCTTCCGCAAAGTTCGGAGTAGTTTGGTGTTTCCTATTGTACCCTTCGGCGTACTTCTCATTAGCCTTCTCAATCCCTTCAATACATTCTTCATGTATTTCAGTCAGATCCTTTTCCACCACGGTAGCAGCAGGTACTTCGACTTCACTAGTTTTATCTCTTCAGCCCACCTCGAGGGTGGTATCCATAGTTTGCATAGAATGGTGTCTTGTTTATAGCAGAATGATGGGTGTTGTTATTGGCAAAGCTAGCTCGAGCAAGCAGCTTCGACCAGTCGTTTTGCCGGTAGGAAGTGAAGATTCAAAGATGTAATTCCAGGGACTGATTGGTTCGTCCGGTCTGCCCATCAGTCTGTGGATGATACGCGGTGGAGAGATGTTGTAGTGGATCCAACCATCCCCTACATACTGATCAGTACCAAGCTACTAGATTCTCTTCTGGACACCCCCACCCCTGTCTCTTGTCTGTAGAACATAGTCTATCCAAGTGCTTATACACACTTCCCTCAGTTACGTCTTCTCTACCTATAGTCTCTCCTGTCTCCTGGTATATGGTATTCACGGATAACCTGTCAAAGACACTGATTCTGTCGTGTCTTTCCTACTTCAAACGTCAGCTCATTGATGCATATAAGCCAGGTCTGAGGGGGATCTCTTCCTCCATCGTCTTTCTTCTCCCATCGTCTTTCTTTATCCTCTTTCTTCTCACTTCTTCTTCCCCTTCCTTCTTCTCCTCCTTTTTCCTCCATCATCCCTCAGACCCTCTTTGGTTTCCATGATACACTCTTCAGGTACATTGACTGACCTTTGATCTTCACTGACTAGTATTACCCACATCACAGAGTTCCAATTCAGTATCCAGCCCTACTGGTAGGTTACATTTATTTATTTGTGGTGATCCTCACAAGCAGGACCATTACAGTCCGCCATATTCTCTCGGCAACCATTCCCAAACCTAGAAGAGAGACAGAGCTGATTGAGGCAGAGAATTGTGAATATAAAAATACACCACTCAATGCCCCTTGTTTATGCAACACCGATAGTCACCTTCTTATCACTTCCATTTCGAGAGATCAACCAAAATCAGACATTTTCGTTAATGAAGTCAAAGTAACCACGCTCTGGGACACTGGGGCTACTTGTTCATATATCAGCCCTAAGACAGTGGAGAAGATGGGGGTACAAAGGAGACGATACCCGGTGAGCGTACCCGTTCACATGTCTGATCGCTCAGTTAGTGTCGCTGGACCTATCACCGAGTTTGTCAAAGTTGCTTTTAGTTTGACAATGGATGCCAAAGTGTGAGCTGTTTTGTGACTACCCTCTGTGATGGAGACGTAGTGATAGGGTGGGACTGGATGAAGAGAGAAGGTGTTGTCCTTGATGGAAAGAATAACGCAGTGAGGGTTCCCATCCCAACCCTACCAAGTGCACCAAAGTTAGCAGCCATTGGTTTACCTACTCCCGACGGATGTGATAGATCTCCAAGACACAGATGACCAGTATGAACTGAGTCCGTAGGAACAGGAGGAGTTGTATCAGGTTGTTCCGAAACAATACCACCTTTTGATTGATGTTTTCAACCCAAGGAAGGGAGGTGAAGAATTACCTCCCTCAAGGGAATATGATCTAGAATTTGATCTTAAGGAGGGCCAAACCTGAAGGTCGCTCCACTCTACTCACTTGGAGAAGATCAGAGAAGTGCACTGAGAGACAACCTAGATCACGAGATATCAGCCGGCAGGATCCGACCCAGTAATTCGCTGTATGGATCACCAATGTTCTTGGTGCCAAAGAAAGTAAAAGGTCAATGGCGAATGGTTATTGACTACCAAAAGTGAAACAAAGCAACACTACCAGAGGCCTATCCACTACCTTCAATCAGCCAGATAACCGAAGAGCTAGGGAAGGCGACGTACTTTGGCGGATTGGACCTGATTGGAGCGTATCAGAACCTCCGAGTAGAGGAAGGACATGAACACCTGACAGCGTTCAGAACCCAGTACGGTATGTTTGAGTCTCTTGTTGTTCCAGATGGTCCGCAAAATGTGCTTGCTGTATTCCAGCATTTCCTGAATGAAAGTTTCTGAGAGGTATTGGGAAAGGGAGTAGCTGTCTACATAGATGATATACTTGTATGTGACATAAGTGTTGCATACTCCGTTCAACACCGAGGATGTGGCACAGTTCGGGGCGCACGAAAACCTCACCTACGGCAGTCGTGCCACATCCATTGGTGTTGGTCGGAGTATGCATCACTTTTGTTACATAAAGTACTCATCTATGGTCAAACATTGGAAGAATTGTGTAACGGTACTGGAAACACGATGACTAAGTCGCAGGTTGGGTTGAACTCGATGGAACTCTCGTAGAAGTCCATGTATCTCTGGTGCTAATTGGTGGATCGTGTCTCCTCTGCAATCGATGTAGCCAAAGAATGATATTGAAGAATCAGCAAAGTTGGTACTTTGCTGATTGTACTACATACTGTCTACAGGTATCCGTGTCCTCCTCTCAGTTCCTACTGCAAGCATCTATGTACATACTCGGACAGGTGAAAAACTGCTTTTGAGCAAACCCAGTGGGGAAATCTCAAAAAGGGAAAACCCGTCCCTATCTACTGCAGCACTGCCTCCAACTCCCTCCATTCTCTTTCCTAATCCGTTGAATTCGATGCAGTTCTCTCAATTTGTTGGGGAGTAACAAATTGAGAGGAACTACAGCGAAGGTATTTGAAGTTCTCTGAAGATCAAATTTGTCAGTAAAAGCTAGTAAGTGCGAGTTTGAAGGGGATTCGGTAGTCTTCTTAGATTTTATGGTCTTGCGGGAGAGAGTTTCTAGTAATCCAGAGTACATTGATGCTGTAGTATCTTTCCCCCGTCCTAAGAACCTGAGGGAGAGTAGAGGATTCATGGGAATAGTCAGTTATTACCGTTGTTTTGTCCCCAACTTCTCCAGAATTGCTAAGCCAATCAACGATCTCACAAGGAAGGATGTGCCCTTTGTTCGGGGAGTAGAATAGGAAAGGGCTTTGAGGGAATTGAAGGATAGAATGTGTAGGGCTCCAGTATCGGCTCATTTTGATCCCTCATTGAAGACATGACTACAGACAGATGTGTCGTTCTTCGGCTGGGGTTTCATAATACCGCAGGTGAACAAGCTAAAACAAGAACACCCGGTAGCTTTCGAGTCCGAAGCGTTCCAAGCAGCGCAGTTGAACCATACGGTAGGCAAAAAGGAGTTACTGGCTATTGTCGATGCTTTCAGAAGACGAAGACACTTACTGCTACAGGTGGAGACAACAGTTCTCACAGATCCTTTGAACTTAATGTATTAGATGGAACCAAAACATCTAAGCCCTAGACAGGGCAGCAACGGATCTATTGTATCCGTCACCTGTTGCTCATTCAGCACTTTCCTATGAGTGATGAAGAGACAACAGGTAATGATCTGGCTATGTACTACTACCAGCGGAGTTTACCGCTGTTGTATAAGGAGGACACGTGATCGTACTACCTACTTCCAATGGGCAGGTGGGTCAAAGAGCTTTCTAATTTCAGGTTTAAGAGAGTATTGACCAGGAAAACACGCTATGTTGCCAGATGGGCTCTTGAGGAGGGCAGACTATCACCCTGGAAAAGGAAGTACTGTGGTGCAAGAGAGCAACCTTATTCAAGGTTTGCCAAAGTTTGACGAACTTAACGGAACTACCTCTGGGTTATAGCACCTCCTTTGAGCTTTGCAAGGGACAAAGGAAGTGAGGGAGAACAACCTTCTTGACCCCATGGAGCTGGTAATTGGACAACAGGAGGACAAAGAGGTGAGTGAGGTTAAAGAGGAGCTATTGGGAGTTATCTGCACTGAGTGTTCTCATCAGACGTGTCACCATAATATACAGGAACCAGGGTCAATAACTGAATTATGTCGTAGTTCACGGTCCCCCTTAATATTTTGCCGTGGATGGACCTCAAGAGGTTTTCTCACATTTGACAAACCCACCTGTGTGCCAGACTACGCCAATGCTCGACTAAAGGCCGTGAAGATGCAACATCACTTGCCTCTAGCTGGTCATCCGGGCTCAGCGAAGACCCTTGAACTATGTCACGACCGTCGAGCAATTCCTTCCTTTTAGACCTACGGTCGACGAACCTCGGCTAACTTCACGCTTCTGACTCGATGTCTCACCCAACCGGGAGGGCGCAGACGTCGAAAGGGGTATAACTACGGCGTACTTCGGCGTAGTTACTCTAACTAAGGCTTTGTCCTATTGATGGCAATGTATCTCAATTTATAGCTATCTCTATCTGTCTTTTTCTACTGACAACAATGAAGGATTGCTGAAGAACTTCAGCGATCTTCTCAGCTAATACAACCTATCCCTCCTAGACGTTCATCCAACCCTCCCGCGCTTTGACGTACTTCAACGCACTTCGTCCAACTTCCCCAAACCCCGGCCATCCTTGTTATGATCCCATCATAACACCTTAGTAGACAGTACATACTTCAGTAGATTCTTGTGACCTTGGGGGCTCCATCCTGAATAACTTCTAAGAGCTGCTTCTACGAGCTGCTTCTACGAGCTGCTTCTAAGAGCTGCTTCTAAGAGCTGCTTCTAAGAGTTGCTTCTAAGAGTCTTTTCTAAGAACCTCCTCTAAGAGTCGGTTCTAAGAATACACTCTAAGAATCCATTCGAAGAACCCGTTCAAGAAGTATTTTGCCACCCAAAGTGGGGTTCTTTGGAGGGAGCCGAAAAGGATAAAAGGCGGCCTTCCGGCCACCTTTTCCCCAAGGATCAAATTATCAAAAGTTACTTCACTTGACCTCAAACCAATAACTAGCTTACTTATTTCTTCAAGAGACTTGCGCAACTTGCCGGATCCTTCCAAGTTGATTCACCACCTTCGACCAATTCACAAGTAGTGACTACTTCATTCCTTGTAGTCACACCCCTTGTAAACCTTCACTTTCCAATCGTCTTACGTCAGCGAGGTCAACGTAGGACGGTTCGTAACAATCCTCCTCCTCCTTCGACTAACTCCGCCTAACATCGCCGCACTTCTGCTCCCATTGTCCCTACCTAGCCTAACTCTGCCTAACTTCGCCGCACTCCTGCTCCCATTGTCCCTACCTAGCCTAACTTCATCTAACTTCGCCGTACTTGGTTTCAGAGGTCCTGAGTTACGTGTAGAGTAAAGAGGTTAAGTCGTGATGGGGGTTTTGATGGTCAAAGGAGGGTCGTTGTTGGTGGAATGTCACGCCTGCGGGTAGACTGCTGTTGCAAAGTACTGCCTTGGGTACTGAAGGGTTTTAGTCTCTGGCTCGTAGAGCTTGATGACTGCCTTAGGTACTGAGGGTACTGAGGTGTTGGGTTAGAACCAACTAGGTGACTTTCAAAGATGAAGTTCAACTTCAAGATGAAGATACATTGCTGAAGAAAGAGGGGGGAGATGTGCTCCTTTTATACCCTTCAAAACTAAAGTAGGTGTACTAAATAAAAAGCGTGTGAGGGATTTTCTAGCCAATCACAAAAATGCCTCAAAGTGAGTGCACCGCGGGAAACTAATTCCAGCCAATCACATAAATGCCTCACTGCTAAACTGCTGAACCTTCCAGGCTTCAGCCAATCACGTAAATGCCTCACTGCTGAACTGCTAAATACCATGACTCATATTTTCCATCAATCCTTATCACAGTTCCTAGCATGAGTCATATTTCCTTATCACTATTCTGAGCATGAGTCAGAATTCCTTATCACTATTCATGACATGGAATAATCGAGGCGTCACAACGCAGTTCGTGACAAACTAGTCCTGTGGTATTATGTCTGTATTGGAGTCAGGAAGGATGTCGAGGACTACATTGCCGGCTGTGCAGTATGTCAGAGAGCAGAAACTAACAGGCAGAAACCTCATGGAGAGCTTAAAACATTGCAAGTGGCTACAAAACCTTGGTGAAGCATCTCAATGGATTTTATGGAAGGACTCCCAAATTCCCATGGGGATAACTCCATCTTGGTGGTGGTGGTGGGTTGGTTGACTGAATGGGCCATGTTTATCCCAACTTTGACAAAGTTGACCGCAGCTGGACTATCGGAGGTGATAATGGACTATGTAGTGGCTCAGCATGGGTTACCAGAGAAATAGTGCTGGACAGGGGATCGAAGTTTACCTCAAAGTTCATGAAGATTTTAACCAATGGCCCCGGGAGAAGACTACATCTGTAATGATCCTGCTCGTGGGGATCACCACAAATAAATAAATGTAACCTACCCGTAGGGCTGGATACTGAACCAGAACTCTGTGATGTGGGTAATACCAGTCAATGATGATCAAAGGTCAGTAGGTATAAGGAAAGAGTGTGTCAAGGAAATCAAAGAGGGTCTGAGAGAGGATGGAGGAAAAGGTGAGAAGGAGGAGGAGGAAGAAGAAGAAGAAGAAGAAGAAGAAGAAGAAGAAGAAGAAGAAGAAGAAGAAGAAGAAGAAGAAGAAGAAGAAGAAGAAGAAGAAGAAGAAGAAGAAGAAGAAGAAGAAGAAGAAGAAGTGAGGATGAAGAAGAGGATGGGGAATCTTTCTCTCAGGCCCCGCTTATATGCATATCAGTGTGTCTCAAACTCGATACAAGGTCGAATCGTCCTCGATTTGAGTAAAGGAGAAACTATGTAAGAGAAGGAGGGAAAACTACGTATGAGAACGAAAAACCTATGTATGAGAACGAAAAAACTATGTATGAGAACGGAGAATGTATCCACGAATACATGGTCCAAGTACAAAGGGGAACAAAGGAAATTGTCACGGTCCTGTCCTTGACAGACCTTAATGAATCAAAGACAGGTGGACTATAACTGTTTAGTTAGCTTGAACAACGACGGTTAGTATTATGTTGTTCGTAGACTTGTGATTTGGTCAGGCGACTAGAGTGACTTGCGAAGGATCCGAGCAAGTCAAGATGATGATGATGAGAGTGTGTGTGATGATGTGGACAAGAGTTTTGTCGAGGGAGGTGTCGAAAATAAGTATAAGTCAAGAGGAGGTCTTTGTAGAGTGGCAAATAATATTTAGATCCTTGAAGAAGAAGAACTACGGTTTCTACGGAAGGGGTTTATATACTTTACATAGAGACAAACCTAGAGACATGTCAAGAGACATCTCAGGATGTCTCGTAGAGATGTCTCATAACCTTCTCAGTATATTCTCTTGCTTCATGTCTCATGTTCTCATGCTAGTCTCATGTTTCCCTGAATGTCTTGTAGAGATCTCCTAGAGATCTCGTAGAGTTGTCTCTTGTCTTGGGTTGATCTCGTATGGATCTCATAGAGATGACTGATGTCTCATTGAGATGACTGATGTCTTATAGAGATCTCGTATGTAGCTCCTAGAGATGTCTTGTGTCTCATTGAGATCTTGTAGAGATACCCTGTCTCATGAGGTTCTCAGTGGCTTGTGGCTTGAGAATGCGAGAAAATGAGATCAGCTCTTGGTATGATATGGGTTACGACCCTAGGACGTTATCCGGGTCATAACAGAAATAGTGAAGCACATATTGTGGTCTACACAAACATATGTGTGTATCATGAGTGAGTGTCACGAGACCAACGAACCAACATTGGGACGATATAACAGTGCCCTTCAGAGACAGTGGTCTAAACCACTGTGCTAAAAGGCCTATTAACCGGCGGTTACTGCAAACCTCCGGTTGCTGGTTAAATACCCAACCCAAATCCAACTGTAACCAAACTGACTTGTCACTTTGTGACAGTGAGAAACGGTAATGGACAGGATGAAAGGGTAAGAGGAAAGGAGAGAGGAGACAGCAGAAGATGATATAAGACAATATGAGTTGGGGGAATGGATCAAGGAAGAAGGAGGAGGTATGGAAGGAGAGTTATTACCACTCTCTTATGTAGGGGAGGCCTGATCCACTACAGTATGACACTGTAGGCCTGCAACTCCAACACAGAACAAGACTTAAGAGGATCTCTTGTCATCCACCCTTGACGATTCTGTTGGAGGACCTGCTTTATGTTCAGCATCATAAGAAGGTGGGGGCTCATGTATATCAGGCCTTGAGCGGTAGTGCAAGGGAGGGGGGCATGAGGACTGATTGGTAATGTGAGGGGTAACAAAGGAGGCATCTAGAGCAATTGTGACCATATCATCTCCACCAATTGGAAGCTCGCTGTCCCTGTCCTTCAAGTCTGGTGAAGCCTGATTCTCTTGGTTAGAGTTGTCATCTGGAGGATTGTCTGCTGCTGCTTGAGTGTTTTGAGTAGCTCTAGCCACCCACAAGTCTGAAAAGGTACCTGGAGGAATTTCTGGCTCACGGTTTCTGTCAACTGTATTCCTGCCCGGTCTCATCCTTTGCACCAGTCTTCTCACCCCACCGGGCAATGATGGTGGATGTGTCAGTGGCCTTGAGGCACTCATTCGAGCTTGATCAACAACAGGAGCTGTTGTCTGCAGTGGAGGGACCAAGAAAGAATCCCCACTTTTGTGTGAAAATTGCTGATGGGTAAGGTGGCATGAAGACCCCCTCCAGTTGCAGGAAGTTTGTAAGGCCAAATCATCTGCCAAGACATCATCAGCTGGCCGCTTCATACTCATGGTACAATTGGGTGTGGCTTCAGCAAAGTTGATAGGTAACTGGTGTTGCACACACCCATTTGGTTGTGCCCAGAGGCTTTCCTCGATGTGACTTTTGTGTGTATCATTGTGAATCATGGTGTTATCTGGTATGAAGGATGAAGGTGAATGTCCCCTAACCATCTCATTTGGTATCCCACTGTTATGTGTGACTGTGTCTATCAACTGATCTGTATTGTGGACCGAAGACCGGGGCATGCCCCCAATAGAATTTATGATTGGAGCTCTCACATGCAAGGCATCCTCTTCCCCATGTAACTTGTTACGCACAAAATATGGTGCCATGCTTGTATCATTTGGTGTTGGGAGAGGCAATGATGGTTGGAATTCTGGTGATGGCCTTGTTGAGTAACGCAGCTGAGAAGCAGATGAAGACCCTTCATACTGTGTCATGGAAGATGAGCGTGAGGGAGTTTCTTTATGCCAAGCTGATGAGGTGGGAGGATGAGGCATCATACCGTGACCTGATGTTGCATGACTTGGGGACATACCAGCTGGGCCAGAGGGAGCCCCACACAAAGGTGGCAGGTAACTGGGCATAGTTGTTACCCTATCACCAGGAACAGAAGGCATATCTGGATGCCTTATTGAGGGATATAGGGAGGCTGGGACATCAATTAGAGAGCGTTCTTCCACTGCCGCATATGGCATGGAGTTACAAAATTGAGATGAACCTCGGTTTTCCATTGTAGAAGTAAATGTAGGAGTTGGAAGTGAAGGGATGAAAGGAGGAAAGTGTGTGGCATAACCCTGTGGTGGCGGCCAATGATCAGGTTCCATAAGGTTGACAGAGGAGTATAGTGTACCATTGTTGGGTGAGGGTGTAGGCATTGACAGAGCTTTTGAAGGCATTTGCAGCGGTCCACCAACTATAGAATGTTGACCTACTCTAGTGGAAGCGTCTATCTGGGAAGAGAAAGGATGATCTCTTTCTTGCCTTCTGTTTGACCCATAGGTATTGTTAGAGGTTGTTGGGGGAACCTGCGGGAAAGAATTATAATAATCCTGGTTGTACATGAGTTATTTGATTCTTGCTATCAGGGGATGAGTAGTAAAGCTTGGCGTGAGATAGGTGTATAACATGTAAATCAGAAGGGTCAGATCTATTAGCTTTTATAATCAGAGGGTGAGTTTTAGTTCTGCACAGCAAGGCAGTGTTTTCTCAATATCACAACTTTCAGAACCCGCGACCCCACCACGGACAATGGAGGAATGTGTGATTATCCTCGAAGAAGACCGGTGAAGGCAGTGCTAGAAAAGACTCCTTCTCACGATCCCACGGATCCCCGAGACCGCGGGTTTCGATTTGATATGATTTCGTTTGATCCGGCCGTTTTTCACACGTATTAGTAATACACCGCTATTAGTCGAAATGACATCAGTTTTCTAGATGTGGTAGATGAAATTGGTCCATCGAGGCAAAGAATATTGACGTCTAGAGGTTGAAACTCCGAACTTACATTTAATCCATCACCGCATTCCCTGACACAGCATGTAGTAAACCGTCGAACAATGGATGTCCATGACCTCATCCTACGTACCGCTTTCTCTTCTACGATGTCGGTCCCGTATGCCATCGTGAAATCGCCGTCCTTCGGTGACTAGTTTGTGTCGTTTTATGAATCAGGAGTAATATTGTCCCTGCTGATGTCCAAGACAATGCACTCCTCTGATGTGATGGTTGGGTCTACGAGACTTGTACTTGCCGTAGGGTGCGGGCGTCTAAGATGAAGGCGTTGGAAGATTTTTGAACTCTGTATTATAGCCTGAAGCCGGGGACTAGGGGAGAGGGGAATTGGGGGAAGGCCAGGTATCTCATCGAAGGGCAGTCGACGATGTCGCCGCTTGGCAGGCAGATGGAGAGTGATGGTACTATCCCAGTCATTGAGTGTCTGAGAAGTCAGCGGTGTCGGATTGTTATCGCTTTCATCTGACAGATCCGATCGAGAGCCTCTGGGGGATGATAAGGCAGTAGAAGGCTGCTGTTCGATGAGTGACGTCGTGATAGGTGTGTGGGCGGGAGGTCCAGAGAGCTGAGTGTCGGTCAAGAAAGATGGGGAGTGGTGAGTAGCGTTCTCAGCGGACGAGTGTGGGAATGAAGAGACACCGTCGTTATTGTTACCATCATCTTCTACCACAGCAGTCGTAATGTCATCCGTACTGTCGGGTTCATTGGTCCGGCGGGATGATTTCCATGCTGGGGGGATAGTCAGAGAGAGACCGCTCTTGATCTCGGAAGCGGCTGAATGTGAACATGAAGAGTCATTGCATCCACTTCTCCCAGATGTGTGACCGACCTGAACTAGCTTTTCCGGTCGCCCTTGACGTCCGCCCGATAAACCAGCATACGCTCGATCCTCACTAGGTTCTTGGGGGTCGTGGCTCACGGCTGTGTTTGGCGTATTGATGATGGAAGGGTAGAGATTTGCATATTCCGAGACCAAACCCTGTATGTTAGATAGTGATAATCAGTACCTAAATTACACGTCACGTAAGAACCCCGAAACTCTTGTAGACGCCTCTCCATAGTAGATAGTTAGATGCAACTCTCATCCCCAACAGATTAACAGTCGGAGTAGCATTCTCCTCTCACCAGATATATTGAGAGTTCACTCATATCCTGCCGATAAATCACACGCTTGACATATACCTGTTTCGGCCCCTCTAGGGTTCCCCCTTGGCCACAATTAGAAACGTTAGATCTTGGTCGGAACTTAGATATTGGTCGGAACGCTGGAAACATCGAATCTGCTGGATATCAGACGGAAACGGAAACGTTAGATATTGGTCAGAAACACTGGAAAATCACGGAACGCTGGATTTCAGACATACACGGGTTTATCGAGACGATCGTGAGTACATCAAGTTGAAGCTTGGAAGCCTCAACGTACATTTGTCCCAATCGACGCTTGGAAGCCTCGACGACACACATCCCTTCGATAAAATCCTCCTCTGATCCATCATCATTTCCGTCATATTCATTTCTGTCTCACATCACTCTCCCACTCGTGTAACATACACATAACCACAGAGTCATCACGCATCCCATTCCTAGTCAATCCTCGCTAGGGCCATTTCTTGGACACTTTCCGGCTGCGAGTCTCAACACCTTCGAGTCTCTACACCCTCAAGTATCCATTGACGCACAAGCCTCTTGCCACGTCATCACATTCCTTTACCGTATACATCACTCATTACTCCACTTCCTGTCTTTGACAGAGTAAGTTCAGTAACACTCTTGACACTGCAAAGCCTACCCGCTGCGTAGGTTCCGGGACATCCGCTCGACTCTCCATACCACATTCCTCTGCGCACAAGCACGTTTAAACACCTCTGCAGCGCCTCCATCCGCCAAAGCAAGTTTGAACACCTCTGCGGCAACACATATCTCGCACAAGCACGTTTAAATAATCACCTCTGCAGCGACATTGCACGATGTCAAATAACGACGACCTCTCTGCACTTTCCAAGTTGATCCCAACTTTAACAGGGACAGAAACCTTTGTGCGTTGGCGCCGAGGTGTACGTAACTACCTCTTCGACAAAGGTGCTCAAGGTCATCTCAGCGGCCTTGAGCCCGAGCCTTTCAGACGACTTGTAAATCCGGCAGTGCCGACAGATCATTCCGTTGTCTTTCCCCCCAACACCATTGCAGGGGAGGCTCCCCCAGACACCACAAATTCAACAACAGCCGTAGCTTTGACAGCTACTCAACGTACCACCTGGCTAGATTGGGCCAACAAAGAGCGTAAAGCTCGTTCGACACTCATTTTCACAATCTCTCCGGGACTAGCCGCCCAAGTCGAGGACCTCTGGTCAGCCCAAGAAATCTGGGCGCGTATTACTGCGCAGCATCAAGTTAAAACGACAGCAAGGCGTAATGATCTCAACCAACGTATTTCCCTCCTCCGTCTAGTTGAAAATGCCAACTTCGACACCATGCACACTCACCTCGAGACCTTTAGTGAGCTAGTAGCCGAGGCTCTTGGTGCAGGTGCCCATATAGATGATGGTGATCGTTCTGAAAGATTTCTTCTCTCCCTTGGTCGAGACTTCGCTCCACTTCGTCAACAGTGGGACCTCCGACCAGACACACAGAAAAGCTGGGACCATCTTGTAACCGCGTACCACAGTATTGCCAACACCCGCCGCCTTGAGCAAGAAATGGAGAACCATACTCAACAAGCCATCAGTGCTGTTCTCGTAAATAAAGATGCTATTAAGAAGGATAAGGGGAGATCAGGTAGTAGAGTAGGAAAGGGTAGAAGTAATGGTGCTGGTAGTGAACATGGAGGTAACAAGGAGAAGGAGAAGGGACAAGGAAAGACGAGGAAAGAAGGAAAACGTGGGAAGGATGAGAGTGATAGTGAAGAAGACGAAGAGTGTGATTGGTGTGGTAAATACGGACATAGTGTGGAAGACTGTCGCATTAAGAAACGCGGAAATCTATCCAAGAGTCAATTACAGGAAGCCATTAAAGAATACCGATCAAAACACCAAGTCAATGTCATGAGAGACGAGTCGCCAGAACCCATAGTCTTCGGTAATCTTTCTTCCCTCCTATGAAAGCAACTTAGTACGGATTAAGGGGAGTGTTAGATAGTGATAATCAGTACCTAAATTACACGTCACGTAAGAACCCCGAAACTCTTGTAGACGCCTCTCCATAGTAGATAGTTAGATGCAACTCTCATCCCCAACACTGTAGCGCGAAAGACAGAGAAAGTCTCGGTCTAGTCGGCGGAATTTCCACAGTTAGGAATTTGGACGGCAGTGGTGAGGAAGTCGGCGATCCACCGTTTGACGACGGGAGCGACGAATGATTGTATGACAGGGAAGAGAGAGCTGTCGCCATGTTGTTGTCTTTTGTTCGGTGATCTGAAGTGGGATGATGATGAGAGTTCGCAATATGTTTGTGTTGGCCAACTCGTCGCCACGTGTTTCTCGGCAGTGGCACAATTTCGGACGAAATTTTTCATAGCTTTCATATACTTTCTGCATACAATTTGTTGAATCATCCTACCATGGAAGACCCTATGGCTCTGGCCGTACAGTACAAGAATCAGCACCCCTCGGAAAGCTACCAAAGCGTAGCAGATCGTTTCAAAGTTCCCAGGACCACCCTCAATGACCGACATCGTGCCATCCATCTCCCTCACCCTATCAACGCCCCCCGACGTCTATCAGTAGAGCAGGAGAATCAATTGGTGCTGAAGATTAATGACTACGCAACTTGAGGTACCCTCCTAACACCTCAACATGTCAAGGAGCTCGCCGAATCCGTCTGTGAGGAGACACTGGGGTTGAATTGGGTTGGACGCTTTGTTGATCGACATAAAGAGGTTCTTACCTCTCGATTTTACACATATCAAGAGCTGGGACGGCTCAAAGCAGATAAACCAGAGACCAGGCGAGCCTTCTACACACTAGTACGTCTGTAGTCATCTCTGTGATACACTGGCTGATGTGATATAGGTGAAAGATGTGATACAGGTGAAAGATGTGTATGATACCGGTCTATACGCACCCTCCTGTATTTTCAATATGGATGAAGTCCCATTCAGTCTCTCCTATGAGAGGAAAGTGCGCAGGATAGGACCCCGTGATCATCCTCGGAATGGCCAGGCAATTCCAGCATCAAGTGAGCACATCACTTCCATTGCCTGTATTGGTATCGACTCGGCCCCTGTTCCCCCTGTCATCATCTACAAGGGAGCCTGTGTCCAACAGAACTGGACTTCAGTTTCAGAGAAAGACATCCGACAGCTTGCGGTGACCACAGACTCAGGGTGGATCAATAGCTACATCATGGTCAAATGGTTGGAAGACGTTTTCGATCCCTACACCAGGGACATTGCTCAAGGTCGACGTCGCCTGCTATTCATTGATGGTGCAGAACCACACACCAAAGTCAACTTTCTAGAAGCCTGTTGGGCTCGCAACATCGTCTGTATCATCTTTCCCTCCAACATGACCGACAAATTCCAGCCACTTGATGTCGATTTCTTCAATATCTTGAAAGCACATTACTTCGAACGTCTCAGCAAGTACCAATTTGGTGCATCGGACTCAAGTGCAGCTAAGGGTATGTTTTGGGGATGGCATCAGCAGGCCTGGCGAGAGACTGCGACATCTCGACAGATGAGGGGAGCATGGAGGAAGGCAGGGTTGTGGCCATTAGACCGGAATGTGATGGGTGCGCAGGATGAAGGAGTTTTGAGGACTCCACCTCCCCGAGACCTGGCAGAAGATCCTCTCACCCCTCACACTATTCACATCCTTCGAGCAAATAATTGTGGAATGCGTCATGGTGAAATCAATAAAGACAAGGTGTTAGGGACACCGCCGGAGACGGACAGCTCCGGAGCTGCACGGACCCCATCATTCCCAGCCAGAGACGTTCCACTCCGGAGTTGTCTGAGTCGTTTGACAGACCCAGCTGGAGAATCATCATCATATGAGATGATGAAGAGCATGTCATACATAGCGTATGGGAAACATATGATCTAAACTCCCTTACATGTGAGCAGTAGTTCTGCATGAATTTCTCTTCCACTTTGACCAAAATAATTTGTTCCTCAACACCAATAGTTCTTGCCTCTTGGGCCAATATCTTGAGATGATTGTGCTGAATTTGAAGCCACTGTTGAAGCAGTTATATACCCACACAACTTCTAGAGCTTACTAACATAGACTATCAATGACAAGAGGTGTTATCTAGGTTTACTAAAAAAAGGTATTATATTTCTGCATGACTAGGATCAGAATCTCCGGCTGGGTCCGGACACCTCTGGAGGTGCATGGTTCTCTGGCTGGGTCCAAAGGGGGTGTTTTGAACCGTGCAGCTCCGGAGGTGCACGTCTCCGGCGGTGTCCCTAACAAAGGCAATTGAGAAACTGGAGAAGAAATGTGAGCAGTTGATGGCGGAGATTGCTATGTTGAAGCGGGAGCTTGCGGATGTGTATGCCGCCCAGGCATTAGACAAAGCGACTAGGGGTAGTAAGAAGAAGCAAAGATACCCTGATGGAGGATTCTTTGACCCTCTGTATCAGGAAGAACATGCAGAGGAGCTGGAGGCTAGGAAGAATCAGGAGGAGGAGGCTAGGAAGAAAAAGCGGCAGCGCACGGGTCATAAGACCAATCTACGGGCACCAAATCCCTCTCCTACTCCCACTCCTGGGCCGTCCAACTCTGTTTAAAAGTGTCTGTCATCAATGTGCATAGTTTTTGAGTTATACACATTACTAGTGACCATAAAGGTACCGGGTCTCATGTCCGAGAAGGTGGGATTGCCGAGAAAGTCGTGACGACGAGTACAGATCACGACCGTCGCTTGTCGAATAAGGCAATAGAATGATGACTCAAATGTGTGTGGCTGGGAGGAATATCACGGATAGAGGTGAGCCCGCTCAACTCCGAGACTTATATATGCGTTCTTGTGTGACAAAAAGTCTAGCCGCAAGATAAAAACACCGGTCATTGATCGCCGGGGTCGTTTCACAGGAGTTGACACAGTTTAAGGGGGGAGAAGAAGGATCCTTGGTGAAAGGAGAACTTTGGGGATGGGTGTTTGCGCTTGAATTCATTGACGTCATTTGAGGAGAGAGACTGCAGTGCTCGTCAGCGTTTCGAGCACAATCGGTCCTCACACACGTATGCATGAGGGGCGAGTGAGATAGGGAGAAAAGAGATCCGGGTCGCTTACCTTTGAATTTTGAGGTTTGGACGTGAGACGCAAACGACAGCATGAAGCCTCGCCTTCCTCCTCGGTCTCTTGAGACATTTCCCCCTCCGCCGTAGCCTGTGGGCCCGAGGGCCCTGTGTTTGTCAAGGACTATTCATCAAGTTGAGTGACATGTTATGCTATAAGTAGTCTTTGATTTCTGCTTGGCAAGATTCAGCCGTTGGAAGCATCGTTGGCCCATTCGTGGCAGTTCGTTCAATGTGGCGAATTGCTTCACCATCAGTATATGATGCACGGAGGCTCATCTTTCAGAAGCTCATCAAAGTACTGACATCCATGAAAATACCCGAAACTCGTGGACACGGCTCTTTCTGAGACCTTTGGAACAGGTATAACATTTGATGAGCTGGCATATGATTATGCCACCCACTGCAATATACACTCAGTAATAAAACCAGGTTGCTTCCATTCCACAAACTCATCCCCAGTAGGTCTTGTCTCTCAAGTGTTGGGATCTCAGGAATGGCAGGTCACAGTAGCTTTGTAACATCAAAACTTTCTGTCTCAGTACTTTCTCTAGATGCATTGAATTGTCATATCAACTTCAAGGCCAACTGAAGGATCAAATGCAGAGTTGTTTTGTAGGACTCAATACCAATGGTACCGTGGATCAGTGCATGACATACACATGGGAAAGATCCCCAACACTCAGTCCTTGAAGACGGTGGCGTCCAATCTGGTCAAATGGTAGCTAGCTTGCAGTACATACAGATGAACTTACTGCAAGAATGTCAGTCTCATGAGGATTAAGGGTCTGAAATTGCCAGAGCTTCCTTGGGTTGAACAGCAAATGTGAGGACAATCAAGAATTTGTTGGGGTGTCTGAGGTAGGAACAGCCTTTTTCACATATACTCAATGTCTTCCCTTGACAGGCTTGCCGCTCCAATTACCGGTAGGACACATGTCGAGCACTTTTGGGCTGAAGAGCTGTGATGGACTAGAAGACAGGCTTAGTAGATGTCACGGTCCTGTCCTTGACAGACCTTGATGGATCAGAGACAGGTGGACTGCAGATGTTTAGTTAGCTTAGACAACGACGGTTAGTATGTTGTCCGTAGACTTGTGATGTGGTCGGACTACTAAGGTGACTTGCGAAGGATCCGGGCAGGTCGAGATGGTGATAGGGGTGCGTGTGGTGATGTGGACAGGGGTAATGATGACAAGTGATGTGTTGGATGTAAGTAGCATGTCAAGAGAGGTCTTTTGTGAGTGGCAAATGATATTTTGATCCTTGGAGAAAAGAAACTACAAAGTAGATAGGTCCAGTATTTATACTTTTCGAGGGGATCTCATGCACAAACAATGTCGTCTCCCCTCGTCTCCCCTCGTGTCTCCTCGTACTCGTGTCTCCTCGTGTCTCCTTGTCTCTCCTCGTGTCTCCTTGTCTCTCCTTGTCTCTCCTTGTCTCTCCTTGTCTCTCCTTGTCTCTCCTTGTCTCTCCTTGTCTCTCCTTGTCTCTCCTTGTCTCTCCTCGTCTCTCCTCAGGGTCATGGGTCACGACACTGTGTTAGCCGGGTCGTGACAGTAGATGATGTCATGGTGAGATCATGGTTTGGAATTGTCCACCGTAGATCTCAGTGACATTGTACTTGGGTGTGAATTTCGCCTGATTGAAAGTGTAAACTTCATTGAGCAGACACAATAGGATTTGAAGATGTCACCGGAGATCTCTTTGGGAATTTATTTATGCTGAGGTCTACAGAGGCCTGCCAGATTTTGTAGTTTCCCCATCAGTGGATCTTCTTTAATGATGTTCTAATACTACTGACTTTTACAGTCAGGCAGGAGATTCATCACTCAGTTGGTTTTAACCCAACACCCTAAGTCCCCTGAGTATCAAAGGTAAGGCAAGCCAGAGACTCCACAGTCTGCCCTCAGGCGTGACAGTAGGAGTGATAGAGGGAAGTCCCGCCTTGTCCCAGGTCTCCTTGATCATGCAGAAGACGATCTGAGCTACTAGCCCTGGACTGTCCTCGACCACTTGTCATGAATGACACTATCAAATCAAAACTTGTCATGATCACAAGTTCAAGCCTCAACTCTCATATTGTCACAAAGCGTGTGACAAGTCGAGCAAAAGTCGGGGAAGGGTATTTAACCAGCAATCAGCGGTAGGGTTAACCGCCGAATAATAGGCCTTTTCGTCACAGTGGTTAACAACACTGTCACGTTGGGTACTGTTATATCGAGCCAATGCTGGTTAGTTGGTCCTCGTGACACATATCTTCCTCTGCTTTCAAGCCTACTGTCACAATTGTTGTTTCTTCTCCTCTGCTGAGCGTCAGTCAACAAACGTCGATTAAATATGTCATACTGGGGTGTCAATGTCTCACAGAGACACGGTGCTCTCAGAGGAACTGCAGCTAATTTTGCCATAGTAATACTTTGAGTGGTATACAATAAGGTGATTGTGGATGAATTGTGCCTAACTTCGCCATGGTGTGTCAAACTGCTGGGTGGTAGCTCTCCCTTACTTGATGGTGGTAGGTGCTGGATATATCTCTTGCTACTGACAACAATCAGGGATTGCTGATGTCACAATCGTCGTTTCTTCTCTTCTACTGACCGACGGTCGACAAACCTTGGCTAACTACGTCGTAGTGGGGCGTCGATGTCTCAATAGGACAGGGTACTTGTCGGGGAACTACGGCTAACTACGCCATAGTGATAGGTCGAGTGGTAAGTGATAAGATGATCGTCGATGAACTGCGGCTAACTTTGCCGTAGTGCGTCGAACTGCTCGGTGGTAACTCTCCTTAACACGATGGTTGTAGCTACTGAATATATCGCTCGCTACTGACAACAATCAAGGATCGCTGAAGAAGTTCAGCGACCTGTAACCTATCTATACTACTCCTCATTTCTCATAGAACGTCCCTCAACTCCTGCACTGCCTCATGCTCAGTCCTCTTCGTTCAACCTCGCCGTACCTCGCCATATCCCCGAGGTCCTACTCCACTCACTTCAATGTCATAAATCTCGAATCTCGGTTGCAGCACAAGCAGTTTATAAAGGGTCTCAGCTCATACTATGAGCTGAGCATTGGATCTTTTAGCACAAGAGCTTAGTGCACGTCACCCTTTAGGCGTATGCATTACATTCAACTAACTTCGCCTAACTTCCCCTGCTCTGCTCCCCCTCGGTTCCCTTCCCCTAACTTCGCCGTAGTTCTCCGCTAGGCGGGGTTATCGTGACAAATAATACCCTCTTGGTTCTCGTAACTTCGCCGTAGTCCGTCTCAGTGGTTCGAGTGGAGGTTGGTGATGATGAAAGGAAGGTCGGTGATGGTGAAAGGAGGGTTGGTGATAGCAGTTGTCAGGGATGTTACGACATAGTTCGTGACAGCTGAAGAAGTTCAGTGATCCGTAAACTATCTATATCACTCTGTTTTCCTTGTAGAATATCTCTCAACTCCTGCACTGCCCGTGCTCAGTCCTCCTTCATCCAACTTTGCCCCACCTCTTGGTATCATCAACATTGTCCTCTGCTCACTTCCCTGCAGTTTGCCATGCTTCCCCTTACTTCCACTCTCTACCTGTTATGCCTGTTTGTCTTGGGGGAAAGACAGCAGGTGGACGAGTGATGAAGAGAGAAGAGTTGGTGATGAAGTGATGTAAAAGGATGAAGAGAGAGAGAGAGGGGAACTTTGATACACTGGACAAGATTACTTACTGACAATGAGAGAGTCAATGATGATGACAAGAGGGTGTCCAATGACAATATTGGGCCCAAGGTGTTGAACAGATTAAGGCTAGGGGCCACTGTAGAAGGACAGGTTGAGGTCAAAGTCAGTATTGAAGACTTAGTCAGTAAAGGCTGGAAATGTATGTTGATTGATCTCTGAAGAAAAGATACTATGTAAAGAAGATGTAGGGTTTAAATAGTATACAGAGGCTTCCAGAAGGCTGTCACGGGGGGGGGGTTAATCCCCAGAGAGTAGGCAAGGTGACTGGAATGGGGCTGTAACCCAATACTTGTCTCTGGCTCGTAGAGCTTGAGGAGTATACAGAGGGTGACAAGGGACTGAGGGGACTTAGGGGACCGCAAGATGTCAGGCTGGGACTAACTGGATTGACACGTTGAGAATGAGGCTCTCCAGCTGGGTCCAAGAGGGGCGTTTTGAACTGTGCCACTCCGGAGTGGCACATGTTACGTGACCTACATGTTACGTGACCTACGGAAGTTGTGACACTTCAGAGCCTCATGGGGTCAGCATGACCAATGGGAGACCTGTGCCTCTTTGGAGCATCATGGTTTCTTGACTATGACCCACCAAAGAATCATTCTGAACCAACAACCACTGATCTAGACAATTGCAAAGCTCCAGAGAAGGATGTTGGAGGTGGTGAGAGGATACTAGAACAATTTGTCTGTCAGATTTGACCAGGCATGGTGTGAGAAAGTGCCCCAGAGTCCTTATCAAGAGGTCAAATAAGTGGAGAACCATGCATCACTGGCCTCTTCCTCCCGCAGAATATCATGCAGTATATCTTCAGTTACTTTGCCACGCAATGACAACTGGGTTTGTGTGTTATGGGTTTGGTCAGGACCAGTTCTTCTGTGGATCACGGATCTTCCGACAGTCTTGCTAACCCTCATGCTGCTTCGAAGCGTCACGGCTTCCGTCCGTCACCTAACAGAATGTCTCCGGCTGGGTCCTTAACAATGATCTAATGGCGATTCGGCGGTCGCAGGCCGATTCCACCGGCTAACATTATAGGGAAACTCAACATCTACCGAACAGGTGTTGAGTATGGAGCCTTTTATGGGGGTCAGTATTACGCAGGACCCTCACTGCATTCATGACACTGCTCTACTCTGAATGTACAGCCCGTAGAAGCAAGACCAACTGTCCACTTTCTACTCTCTGACAATGTGAATTCACATGAATTTTCCCTTTCTTACGATATTCTCACGCCGATTGCGGAGCTTGTAATCATGCGTCTCCTCCCCCAGAGTGATACGACGAACCGGGGATACAATCGAGTGGATACCCGGACCCGACAAGGGATCGTTAGTGCTGCGTTTCAAGTTTTCGGAGCTCCGAGAGGCAGTGTGGATTTCACACGCCCTCCCTTCAGGTGAAACGGAAGTTGAAACCCTACATGATCATATAAACTTACAGTCTAGCCATATCATTCTCTTCCACCCGCTTTTAGTATTGAAGCTTCAACAGCAGTACACAAATCTCTTCTGCATCATCCTGTACCAAACATCAGTGAACATGAGTGCAATTCGCAATGGGCGGTCGTCGACACCTCTCAAACGTCCGGTCGGACCTAGATCCCAATCTGCAGACACCGCCGTGAAAACCCAGTATGGTGAGTTGGTTGCTTCAACAAGAGGTACTTCGGATACCAGCCCACACCATCAAGTGCATAGCTCCCTCAGAGGGCTCTACAGGACCCAGTTCCCATCGGTGCCTTTGAGCTCTAATGTCAACTTCCAGAATGTTGAGGCCGTTGGTTCACACCTCGGTCCCCAGGAGGAAACTTCAATTGTGTTAACCCCTTTACAATCAGATCCTTCCTCCTCTCAAGTCCGGGAAGAGGGTGTGATATCAGAGAGCAGTCCACAACCGAGCATAGAGGGGACTCCAAGACCGCGTGTTAGCTCATTTCCAACCACGCCAACGGGCAGAAGCGCCGAGATTGATAATTGGAAGCCAAGTCTGCAAGATGAACCAAGAGGTTTGAACTTCCTTTCGACCAATCAACACCCGTCAAATATATTCCCCACCTTCGCGGTCGATCAAGTTGTAGAAGATTTCTCATCCGACAGCGATGGGTCACTGTTTGATGTGGGAGATACACCCAGCATTTTGTACCCGCTCATACCCAATCGACGAACATCAAGTGTGCGGCGCAACCGGGACCCAAAGCCAGTGCATAACCGCATTGAGACCGATAGCGAGGCGGAGCACTCCTCGGGCTCAGGTTCAACATCATCAGGCCGTTCCCTTCGGGTCCCCCCAGTACTCCGCACTGCTTTTAGGTCAATGAGCTCCATTCCAAAAGCTATGGTCAACATGAGGTCTCGCAAAGGAGGGAGCCAAATCCCTCCTGACGGCAAGAAATCAATGCCGACAAACACCCCTCCCAATTCAGATTGGGATGACGATGGGCTTGAAGAATCTTACACCAGCCAAATCGCGGCAAACGTAAATCCTTTTGAGGAGAAACATCACCAAACAGGGATCAAAAATGAAGTGAGTTTAGGAACATACAAATACAAAGTGTCCAAGGTTGCCACACCGCTCAACGATACCGACCTTCCCCAAGATGCTTCTCGTTCACTGTCTGCGCCTCGCGCATCTGCCACAGCAGGAGGAGACAAACACAATGGAATAGCTCATGGATATCCTGGTTCAGAGGAAGACCAAAAAGGCCATGCTGCCACTCACACGGATGACATGACTGACCTCGCGACGCTCCCTATTCAAAATGATGAGTCTGATGGTCCAGTCACTACTTCAAGTCATGGGGACCCAATTTCAGCTGTTACCAATCCCGACTGGAGACGAGCGAACAATCTGGCTCCACTGACCCGGGACTACCTGGATGCTCTACAGAAGAGAAACACAAGCTTGACAGAGTTCAGACACAACTGAGAGCCACCAAGCCACTGAGCGTGCCACTCTGATAGACAAGGGGTTGAGCTGTTGGGCGGCAGACGGCAATTCGTGACGTGCAGGAGAACCGTGTGGATCCTTCTATCACATTCTACTCTCTCTTCTCTTCTTCTACCAGGTTCCATCCTTATTCAGCTTCTAGGTCGAGAGTAGATACGTGCCCTCGTAGATAGTATCATGCAGCATTATATCCGGCAATTACCTTCCTACGTTACATAAGAGGTGTGTGCTAGTCCTGTCCGGTACACATCTCACAACACTTCAAAGTGTCAAGAGTCTGGTCCTGACACATCAAAGCTCCCTTCCCCTTCAAAGTGTCACACTTTCCAGTCCCTGACCCTCAGAAGAATCCAATTCTACCCTTCTACAACAAGCAGTAGAACATCAAAGATTCAGCAAGACTCTGCAAGACCAGGTAAGGACTGTCCATATCTAAGTAGCCTTACAAAAAAAAACATGGATTGATGTAGCTGCACTGGTCAAGACTCTGCTGCTCTGCCAGCCACCTACACACTCCGACATTGCCTACTCACTGTGTCAGATGAATATCTTTGACTGCGCAGGGACAGCAGTATCAGCAAACAAGGGGTCAGGGAGAGTGTGCAAAATCAGGACTAAATCATTCACTGGTCACATTTTCCACGCCAAGATGTTATTGTTACATAGGTGCGGTACGGGAAGACATGCCACTTTGACGGGCCATGGGTTACCCGTGCCAGACCAAAGATGTGACCCATGGAAGAAAGACAATCACTATGTCAGAAAGGCTTGCAGGTCCAAAATGATTTTACAGCTGTAACAAGATGGTCTTCATCTGTTCTGTATCAAAAGAGAAGGGAGTAGCTTATCAGACGCTGATGCTTTCCACCACACAAGATGAAGGTTCCTGCAGCAATTTTTGTCCTCCTAGGTATGTATTCACCAGATTTCTTGCTGAAGTCTCCTTCTAATGGCTTTCAAGTGTCATAAGCTCCATCTACAGTCAGTCTTGACCAGTGATGTTTGAGAAACTTCAAATCTTCTGAGCGGCATAACCCAGAAGATGTGACTCTTCAGAGAGTCATGATTCTGACCTGTGCAGCTTTAAAGTGGCATGTCTTCCGTAAGGCACCTAACATATATAATCAGCCTGTGGTAGAATGTGGGCTTTGTCAAATGTGTGGCATGAGGCGGAACACACCAGGCCTAGTGTCACGGACGGGGTCCAATCCCCAGAGGGTAGGCAAGGTGACTGGAATGGGGCTGTAACCCAATACTTGTCTCTGGCTCGTAGAGCTTGAGGAGTATACAGAGGGTGACAAGGGACTGAGGGGACTGAGGGGACTGAGGGGACTGCAAGATGTCAGGCTGGGACTGACTGCATTGACACAAGATCCATGGGTGGGGAACAACCTGTTTGGAGGGGGTATTTATCCCCATCAAGCGGGTTGCTCAACATGTCTACGGAATAAACTAGAAAGCGCAAACATGGGAAAGATTGCTCAGCAAGCAGACTGAATTACTACTTTTGGAAAGTGGAGGCAGGCACTGAATGTTCCGGACTATGGATGATTGCTCACCAATCAGCCAGAGTTACTATGTTGGGAAGGTGGAGGCAGGCACAGAATGTTCCAGAGTGTGGAGGCTTGATAAGCAAGTGGAGGTAAAGGTGGAGGCAATGGTGGAAGGTTCCAGCATGTGGAGGTGGAGGTGGAGGTATTCGGGGGTATGTGTTTCAAGTGTCTGATTGCGCAAAAGCACTTTGACAAGTGGCACATAGGTGCTGTATGACACCTAGAGGCTCAACTGAAAGTAGGTTATATTTCCTTTGTCAAACTGTGTCACCAGCTCACCCTAGCTCTTGTCCACATGCGTCCATGAAGGCGATCTGTGCACAAAGGCCATGCTAGAATGTGCATGCTGTAAGGGTTCATGTACACCTTGGCCGGTATCTCATTTTGACCACCTTCAAACATCATCACAGTCAACTGTTCTTATTACATTTTCTTCGTCATCCCATAAATTATCCTACTCAAAACCATGAAAGAGTCTGCTCTACTTGCTACACTTGCAGACTGTCACAAAAGTACCCGACCAAACCGCCCCAACTTCTTGGAAATTGCTCAACAACACCAGATCAATCGCCGTACCCTTTGGCGCAACTATGATTCCTCCTTGCAATCTCAGCTTGTCTCCAATGACCACCAGGCTCTTCTCACAGAAGCCCAAGAACAGGTGCTACTAGAGCATGTGGAAAGCTTGGGCAAAATACACCTTTATCCAACACCAGCAATCCTCCGGAACATGGCTGCCAAGATCATTAGTCACAGACCAAGTGCTAGTTGGGGTAGGAAGTTCATCAAGAAGCGTGAAGGGAGGGTAAAGTGTATGGTCATTGGAGGAATGGAGGCTTCCCATCATACTGCAGAGTACAGGCCAGCGTTGGAGGATTATTTTGACTAGGTGAGTCTACTACATTCACCCATCATTATCTTTGAAGCGGCTGACGATGTTCAGTTGGAATCTAGGTGTGATGATCTTAACATTGAGCTGACTGCTGTATACAATATGGAGGAGAAGGGATTTATGATGGGAAGGCCAAACAAGCAGCACAGAGTTGTGCCAGTGGAGGAGGCAAATAGGGAAGGGGGACCACTGTCCCAGGTGGATTGAAGTCAAGAGTGGGTTAGTCTCATTGCTTGCGTTTGTGCCAATGGTACTGCTCTCAATCCAGCCGTTATCTTTCAGGGAATGGATGTGGGAGAGGACTGGATGTTGGAAGTATCAAAGGAAGGAACATATCGGGTCACAGTGTCAGAGAAGGGATGGACTTTGCAAGAGATAGGACTTAGATGGCTGGAGGACGTCTTTCATCCAGCAACACAAGCCAGGCCGGGTCAACAATGACGACTACTCGTCATCACGTGTTCTTCGGATGAACCACTTTCCCGGACGTTCTCAAGATACCTTTATGATTGCTAAGAACATGCATAACATAGATCACTGTCAATATCTTGACCAACAACTTCACACAGAGGTAGACGGACCTGGGGTGCAGTCCCGAGCCAAGTTTTGCTCCCTCTGAGGTTGTTTCTTCCGTGCGGCATTTCTTTTTCTTTGTTTTGCCTCTTCCTCCTCTGCTTTCCGGATCGCAAGTTCCTCTGCATGTTCTTCTTGGTACCGAGGGTCAAACAACTGACCGTTTGTATACGTCTGACGCTTGCGACTTCCCCTAGCTACCTGGTCCAACTTCCTAGTCTCCCGCTCTCCATCCAACTCCATCCTGAGTAACGCTGTCTCTGCAAGTGAACATTCCTGCGCCTTTTCCGACCTCAGCAATGCTTTTGTTGGGCTAAGCTTCCCTTGTCGAACAAGGCAATCATTCTCACGTAAGATGCGGATGTTGTAAGGTGTCAGGGGATCTTCTAGACGGTCTCGGGGAGGGGGTGTGGTTGGTTTTTCCTCATCCAAAGCTTGCATCATTTCCTGATCTAGGGGCCAAAGTCCTGCCTTCCTCCATGCTCCTCGCATCTGTCGTGCAGTTGCTGTAGCCCTCCACGCTTTCTGGTGCCAGCCCCAGAATAAACCTTTATTGACATGTGTGACGGACGATCCAACCATGAACGTTTGAATATTTTCAACATATGCCCGCTTCATGTTGCCAAAGAAATCGACATTGAGTGGCTGAAATTTATCGCTGAGGTTAGCAGGGAAGGTGATGCAGACAATATTGCGAGCCCAGCAGGCTTCTAAAAACTCAACTTTGACATGTGGTTCCACTCCATCCAGAAAGAGGAGCCGTCTCTGACCATTCTTTGCTTGGTCCTTCATGTATCGGTCAAAGGACTCTTCAAGACAAACCAACATCATATGACTGTTGTTCCACCCGGAATTAGTGACACCAGCGACTTGATGGACGTCTTCTTCTCTAACTGCTGTCCAACTCTCTTGAAGATGTGTACCTTGATAGAGGATAAGGGGAGGAACAGGAGCAGAATTGATCCCAATACAAGCCACAGAGGTGATGTGTTCATTTGCTGAGGGAGCAGCTTGACCATTCTGTGGATGATCTAGAGGAGCAATGTGCCGAGTCTTATGAGTGTCTGAGAGAGTGAAAGGGGACTCGTCCATGTTGAATATGCAGGAGCGGGGATAGAGACCAGAATTGTAAACTGCTTTGACCTGCAACATGAAAGCAACTGCAAATCATTGTGCAAGGTACTTAAAAGACTATAACACGCTTTTCGAACCTCTGGCTTGTCTGCTTTGAGACGTCTGAGCTCCTTGCAGGTGAAGAAACAAGAGGACAAGGTGTGGCGATGTTGATCAACAAAGTGGGAGACCCAATTGAGGCCTACCTGCTCACCACAAATAGCTTCAGCAAGCCTTCTCACATGGCGAGGGGTGAGGAGGGTTCCGCGGTTTGCATACTCATTGATTTTGAGAATGAGCTGTTCTTCTTGCTGCACTGTGAGACGGCGAGGTGCGTTGATGGGGTGAGGCAAATGTCCTGCATGATGTCGGTCATATAGAGTTGATCTTGCAATATTGAAACGATCTACTACCTTTTGGTAGCTCTCTGTCACCACCCTGTCCCTAACAGACCTCTGAGATCAGAGACAGGAGGACTGCAATGGTTTACTAGGCAGGGACTACGACGATATAGATGTAGTCTGTGAACCTGTGATGTGGTCAGACGACTAAGATGGCTTGCGAAGGATCCGGGCAAGTCGAGATGGTGATAAGGGGTATTGTGATGACGATAAGAGAGGTTGTGATGTAGGGGAAGACGTTGGTAAGCAAAATGAGGTCTAGATTGTGTGTGGCAAACAATATATTGATCCTTGAGAAGAAAGACAAACGCAAAGTAGATGCGCTGTTTATATAGTCTACATACGTCCTTGATCCATATCCTCCATTGCACACCAAGACTGAGAATACAGATATTCTCAGTGGTAATACATGTATCTTCAGCAAGGATAGACATATTCTCATGGATAATCTACCTATTCCCATGTATTATCATGTATTCTCACCTATCCCTATATATTCTCAATGAGAATAACCATATTATCATATATTATCATGGATAATACATGTATCTTCATACTGATATGTAGATTCTCACTGAGCATAGTCATACTATGACGTGTATTTTGCGTGTCATGGAGGGGATTTACCCGTCCGTGACACTCTCGGAGGTGTGCTGATCTTTGTATGTGCAAGCCAGAGCAATAGGATCATCCATGATGAAGTAGTATGAAAGAAAGTATTTACTCAGGAGTGGCATGACAGTGGAAAGTTTTGTCCGGGAAGGTGGTTCATCCGAGGAACACGTGATGACGAGTACTCATCTTAGATGGACATTCAAGGCATACCGACTATGACTTTATCAACCGGTATGATTCCCTTTGGATTGACCTCCTCATTCTTTCACCACATTCAACTCATTGTCTTCAACCTCTTGACATTGATCTCTTCTGACCTCTTTCCACCCACTATACAATCATCATTACCAAACACTCCCAGATTGCTGAGGGTCAACTCTTCATGAACAAACCACGCTTCTTCAGTAGTTTCATTGAAGCATGGTAACAGACCATTCATGATGGGAGCATGTCACAAACATAGATTCTTCTTCTCCACTGACTGACGGTGGACAAACCTTGGCTAACTATGTTGTTGTGGGGTGTCGTGATCTCACTGAGACAGGGTACTTGTTGGGGAACTACAGATAACTACACCGTAGTATGTTGGTGGTAAACAATAAGAGTATTGTCGATGAACTGCGGCTGACTTCGCCGTGGTGTGTTGAACTGCTGAATGGTAGCTCTCCTTAACTCCAAGGTTGTAGCTACTGAATATATCTCTAGCTACTGAATATATCTCTTGCTACTGACAACAATCAGGGATTGCTGAAGAAGTTCACCAATCTGTAAACTATCTATACTTCTCCTTGCTTCTCATAGAATGTCCCTCAACTCCTGCACAGCCTCACGCTTAGTCCTCTTCACTCAACGTTGCTGTACCTTGCCATAACCCCAATGTCCTAACTTTTCCGTACTTTGTCTAACTTCCTCCACCCTACTCTGTATCCCTCGGTATCCTTCTCCTAACTTCACCGTAGTTCTCCGCCAGGCGGGGTTGCCGTGACTAATAATCCTTAGCTTCTCGTAATTTTGTCGTAGTTGGTCTCAGTGGTTTGGGGTGGTGGTGGTTGGTGATGGATAGTGGTTCGGTGATGGTGAAAGGAGGGTTGGTGATTGTAGTTGTCAGGGATGTTATGACATAGTTTGTGACAGTGACATTGTCCTTTTCCCATGAAACAATGTTCCTTTGGACATCACTCTGCCATCAATAATCCCGTTCTCATGGATTTCAACACCCACAAGGGTATTTGCACACTAACTTCGTCAAGCACAAAGTTAGTCATGTAGGAAGTTAGGGATGTACAAAGTTAGGAGGATATGAAGTCAGGAGGATATGAAGTCAGGAGGATATAAAGTTAGGATGATACATAGTTGGGGAGGTACGAACTTTGTTGGGGACAATTCACAAGGTACGAAGCTCGGGGCTTTGGGTTGAACGAAGTTCTGAGTAGGCAAAGTTGGGGAGGGACGAAGTACTTAGGGGCCGAAGTTCCCATAGATCTTTGACAATCTCTGATTGTCGTCTTAGTGATAGCAATTGGTAAAGCACAAAGTTATTACACCCAGGAGTTAGTGTCCCCTACCCATATCTCAAAGAACAAGACTGTTGAAAGTCATAGCCCACAAAGTTATAGGCCGTCGGTCCTGAGAAGCCAATGAAGCATCAAGCCTGTGATAGTTTGCATACAAATAAAGTGTTTGAACATAGTCATCATAGCATGTCAACTATTATGCAACTGTCATTGATGTCTCTTATGTTACGGGGTCACAAGGACTCAAAACAGATCCATCAAACTTGATGGATTAGGATAGAGAAGAGTGGGATTTGGAGTCAGTGCTGCAATTAGGTAGCTGGGGACAGGTTTTCCCTTTTGAAATTTCCCCACTGGGTTTGCTCAAAACAGTTTTTCACCTGTCCAAGTATGTACATAGACGCTTGCAGCTGGAGGGACAGAGACACAGATACTTGCAGATAGTATATAGTACAATCAGCAACGTACCAACTTTAGTAATCCTTCAATATCATTCTTGGCTACATTGATTGCAGAGGAGACATGATCCATCACATTGCGGCACAGACTCCTAGATTTCTACGAGAGTTCCATACAGTTCCACCCAACCTGCAACCTAGTCATTGTGTTTTTTATTATGGTGGCTCATCCGGAAGTTGATCATACCTCCGACACATCCTGAAGTTTGAGAACATGTTGTTTACTTCTTTCATACCTTTCATCCAAACACAATACAGACCTGTACGGATCCATTGAAGGCTGCAGTGGAGAGGTATCAGTCACAGCAAACTCTGTCCCCATCCAAACTCAACAGCCTGAGGAAGATTGCTTGTGACTTTGGTGTCAAACAGTCCACACTCCACTATCAAGTCTCCTGTCATGGATCAAGCTATCAAGAGTCACAACAGCATCTCCAGGCTCTCACACCAGAGGAGGAGATGTGTATTGTTGACTACATCCACAGTTCAGCACAAACCGGACATCCCCCCTCTCCTGGACTCATCCAAGAACTTGCCAGTCACCTCCCTCATAGTCTTCTTTCATTGTCCTCTATTCCTAGTGATGTTCCAGTCACACCTCTTAGTGTAAATTGGCTCGATAAATTGAAGAATTGACACCCTACGGTCCAGACTGCATGGTCCCAACAGAGTGATGCTCCTCGAATTAGCAGATGTGAACACACCTTGATCAAAACATGGCTTGAGGAGATGTCAACCATCATTGACAGAACATAAGTACTCTCTGCGGAACATCTACAACCTGGATCAGACTGTTTACAGTATGGGAACAACTCTATCATCACAAGTGATGACTGAAGCAGACAAGGGATGAAGTTTAAGGGGGAAAGTTGTCACGACCCTGCAAGTCCTTGGGTTGTGCCCCTTGGACCCTGAGAATTCAGGGACATCACCAGGCGAGATAGGTGAGATAGGTGAGATGCCAGGCGAGATAGGTGAGAAACCAGGCGAGATAGGTGAGATACCTGGCGAGATAGGTGAGATGTAAAGCGAGATAGGCAAGACTTGAGGTGGGATAGACGAGATATCAGGCGAGACAGAGCGAGAAGCAAGGCGAGACAGGTGAGATCTCTGGTGAGATCAGCGAGACATGGAGCGAGACGATTTGCGAGTAAGAGCTCACTAAAAACTATAAATACTGGTCATAGTCTTCTTGTAGTCTATCCTTCTTCAAGGATCAATATATTATTTGCCACTCGTAAAAGACCTCTTCTTGACAAACAACTTACATCCGACACATCCCTCATCAACATCACCCCTGTCAACACCATCACACACACTCTTATCGTCATCTCGACCTGCCCGGATCCTTCGCAAGTCACTTTAGCCGTCCGACCACATCACGAGTCTACGGACAACATACTAACCGTCGTTGTCCAAGCTAACTAAACAGTTATAGTCCACCTGTCTCTGATCTATTGAGGTCAGCCAGGGACAGGTCCGTGACAAAAGTTGTAAAGTAGCGGAAAGGTAGACAGGAGTGGGTATTGGCGTTGGGATGTGTATCTGCTGCCGGAACCGGTCTTCCTCCTATCATAATCTTCAAGGGAAAGAGGGATTTCAAGCTTCGATGGCTCCCAAGAGACCGAAACATTGATGGATGGCAGTGGAAGACTAGTCTCAGTGGTTATTCCAGCCGCGACTTGGCGTATCATTGGCTCCAGTCCCACTTTCAGCCCCTCACAGTTCCCTTAGATCCTACCACCTGCCAACTCCTTATATTGGATGGTCACGGAAGCCAGGTGAAAGCAGACTTCATTGCCTATTGTGTTGAACATGTGATTGACATCATGGTCCTACCGGCACATTCATCTCACATGACACAACCTCTTGACACTGGTATCTTCAGCCCTCTCAAACAACACTTGGCAAAGTATTCCGACATTGCAGCTTGCCACACTTCACAGCGGGTACAGTCAGGTGTAAAAAGTCATGCAAAACAATTTCATAGTAATTTGGCTGGGAGAATCCGTGCATGACATTGACTTGGTGATTTCTCAGTCAATATCCCCCCTACACTGCTCAAATTCAATCACAATGCTTGTATAACTACCCTGTACCATAATCTGTTTTTAGCTGAAGAGTTGTACTATCAAAAATCATCATGAGAGTGTCTAGAAAACAGTCCATTTTGGTATCAAAAAGCCGCTCTCCAGCCAAATTTGTGGAAAGGGCATCATCTTTCAACTGTGATGCTGAGAAAATTTCAGTCATGCATTGAGCTTTAAACTACATGAAACTGTTTTCCTTGGATGGGAGTATATACTCTATTAAGATAAGTATAGTCCATTTGGAGAAATGAGAAAAATACCTGTCTACAAAGTCAGACATCATGATTTCCCAGCCAAATTACTATGAAATTGATTTGCATGACTTTTTACACCTGACTGTAGCAAAGTCTAACTGGACAGCAGAACTAGTCAGTGCACAAGAAAAAGCAATGTCCAAGCCAGATATTCAGACAGGTTGGAGGAAGTCCGGCTTGCAAGTGTTCGGGACACGGCCAGAGATGTGCACCTCCAGAGCTGCACAGACCTGATTGTTCCCAGGCAGAGATGTACCGCTCTGGAGCTGAACACCCCCTTTAGCCATTCCCATTCAGAGAAACATCAATAACAAATCCTCCACGCCGTACAAGACAGTGTTGGTAACTTCAAAGGGCAAACTGCTCTACTAAGACAAGTGTAAGAGGTTACCATCAAAGTGCTGTTCATCATCACATGCTGTCACGACCCTGCAACCTCAGTCATGACATCAGGTTATAACCGGATTGCAATCATAGGGCTAATTGCAATATTGTGCCTTTTAGCGCAGTGGCATAAGATGTCACATGAATGGCCATTGTATGGCCTGGTGCTGGTTAACCAGGTCACAACAGAATATCACAATCAAACAGTAGGAGGTTTGATCCCTACCCAGAGCGCCTCATATTTGCTCTGCCACATTGGTGGGATGTGGCAGTGGTGGGTGAGGTCCGCCTTCAAAAGTTTCTCCCTCTGAGAATTGAACCCAAAGCGCTGTCAAACCATAATAGCTTTGGGTACTAAACCTGAAGGCCTCAAGGGACTACGGCCCTTGAAGGAGGGGCTCCGGTCACAACACTGCAACTTCAGTCGTGACATCAGGTTATAACTGGATCACAGTCATAGGGCTGATTGCAATTTTGTGCCTTTTAGGGCAGTGGCATAAGATGTCACATGCATGGCCAGTGTATAGCCTGGTGCTGGTTAATCAGGTCGTAACACATGCTGTATCTGGCAAGAAGGTCAGCCAATGTCTTGAATCAGGGGGAATTTTGATGATAATGTTTTGTAGGTGATTGTCACGAGTTGTCGTGACATGAGGAAGGTTATGTTGTTACCCAGTTAAGTTTAGTCACGGTTTGGTCACGGTTTAGGATGGATTGGGTATTTAGCCAGCGACCGGCGATTGTAGATATTGCCGGTTGATAGGCCTTTTCGTCGCAGTGGTTTAGATCACTGTTCCGAAGGGCACTGTTATATCGTCCCAATGCTGGTTAGTTGGTCTTGTGACAGTGATTGTTGCAGTGTTGTAGATTTCTAGTTGTTGGGCCAGACCACCATGACTCCAAGAGTCCAGAAGATGGTACCACAGGATATCTGTGCTGTGATTTATGTATGTGGAGAGCTTGGGGATCAGGAGAGTGAGAATGCTCTGGCCATGTCCGGACCCCTCTGGAGCTGCATGGTTTTCTGGCCGGGTCCAACAGAGGGGTTTTGAACCATGCAGCTCTGGAGGAGCACATCTCCGGCCATGTCCCTAACACAACCATTCAATCCCAATGTCATCCTTTGTCAAGTTAATACCCCGTCAACCCCTCCTCCACCATCTCGTCCATCCCTCTCTACACTACCCTCCATCACATCCAAAAACCCTGACTCTTATCGAGCAGTAAAGCAATTGGTGCAACACCAATAACCAACCAACTCAAAGAGGTCACATCATTGTTAGAATCCGCGAGCACAAAGATTTCATGGTTGGAACGGGAGAATGAGGAATTGTGGACTCTTGTCCACCCGGTGAAGTGCAAACAAGCAGGACCCACAGTCTCAAACATGGAACACACAATTTCACTACTCCGGGGGTCTTGGAGGAGCCCAGGGAGATGGAGGCAGCTACAAAACAAAGGAAGGGGAAGGCCAAAGGTCAGGGAGAGGAGGTGGAAGTGGCGGGGTCTGGATTGAGTAATAAGGGGAATGGAAAGGAGAAAGATGTACGGGAGGAGAGCTGTCACAAACCACGTTGTAACATCCCTAACAACTACCATCACCGACCCTCCTTTCACCATCACCGAACCACTATCAATCACCAACCACCACCTGAACCACTACCCATCACCAACCACCACCTGAACCACTGAGACCAACTATGACAAAGTTACGAGAACCGAGAAGGTATTTGTCACGATAACCCCGCCTAGCGGAGAACTACAGCAAAGATAGGAGAAGGGGACCAAGGGAGAGCAGAGCAAGGGAAGTTAGGCGAAGTTAGTCGAAGTGAGCGGAGTAGGGTACCGGGGATATGGCGAGGAACGGTGAAGTTGAGCGAGGAGGACTGAGCGCGAGGCTGTGCAAGAGTTGAGGGACCTTCTATGAGAAGAGAGGGGAGTATAGATAGTTTACAGATCACTGAACTTCTTCAGTGATCCTTGATTGTTGTCAGTAGCAAGAGATATATATATTCAGTAGCTACAACCATCTAGTTAGGGAGAGCTACCAACGAGCAGTTTGACGCACTACGGCGAAGTTAGCCGCAGCTCATTGACGATCACCTTATCATTTACCACTTGACGTATTACTATGGCGAAGTTAGCCGTAGTTCCCCGACGAGCACCCTGTCCTAGTGAGACATCGACGCCCCACTACAAGGTAGTTAGCCGAGGCTTGTCGACCGTCGGTCAGTAGCGGAAAAGAAGCGACGACCGTGACACATCTTCAGTCCGGCAAGGTCAGACCCATGACACTTCGGAGTGGCATGTCTTCCGTACGGTACCTACTGTAACAGTGTCTAACCCGCGGTGGGAGACTTCACCCTTGGACCCTTTGTTGGTACTGCATGCCTCAGTGCCAGCACGTGTTCATGATATGATATTCCAGTGTTCGAGGGGGTGAGGTATAGCACCGGTAGGTGATACGGGAGAGGATGGTCCCGTATTAGCAGTTGTTGTATCATGTCCTTCGGTGTGTAATTGTCGAGTTGTCGAGATTTTTATATTTCTATCCGATGGTGGCAAAAGCATGACAGAGGACGGCCTAGCTCTTGACAGGCGGAAAGCACTTGTCAAGCGAGATAGGAAATTAGGAGGTGCCAGTGTCAGACTGCGCACGAGTGCGCGAGCGGAGACTCTACGGGGGGCTCTGAGAAAACTCAAACTCTGCTTTGAGGGTGTAAGTTGAACTATTCTTACCTCGTGGCGTGGATCGTCCACATCTTGGTCATCTGTTGAGGCAGTACGAGTACCAGGATGCACATCTGATTTTTGGGCTCCTGAAGTTTGCACATCAGTTTCCTCTCTCTGACTTTCAAGTAGTGGTGGACTCAAGGGCCTTTCTTGAGAGAGAAGGGGCTCAGAGAGTAAAGATCTTTGTCTTACCTCTGTAGTATCATCAGATCCACGGGGAATAGGTGCTCCCAAGGAACCCTGAGAGCGATGATCATTAGAAGAAGGAAGAATTGACGTGGATGCACCCGTCAAATGTACTTCTTCCAATTCTGGTTTCACGGACTGTTTACCCTTCAAACGGCTTTTCGCACTTTCAACACCTTTTTTAACTCGTCGAGACTGCTGTCTCACAAGCCCAAGTAAACGTTGTGAACGCGTGGATGCACCGGCGGACGTCTTGGCCGCATTGAATTGAGAAGGATCGGTGTGTATTGACCGCCCGAAAGAAGTAGCTTGAACTTGTTCATCGATTGCACTAGAGCTACCCGCTACATTGGCACCGCTTAAATTAGAGTCTATTCCTGGTGCTGTTAGTTTGGTTGGAGGTTCTCTGCCAACGCCCTCCCACGATGACGTTTTTCCAAAAAGATCATCAAATAGGTCTTCGAGACTGGGATTGGAGGGAGGCGTTGGTTGCTCAGGTTGAGAATGAGACTGTGCCTCCGATTTACCTTCCTCATTTTGATCAACTAGATCTCTATCATTCTTCTCAAAGGAAGGAGAGCTCATGTCCAAAAACGAAGTCATCTGGTTGGGTACTTCATCTTCTTCGTCGGAACTTCGGCGGCTATTGTCCATCCTGTGAGGTGAGTGGTCAAGACCAAGTTCCAGGGATATGCGATTGCTTGTATACTGATCTTCCCCTGTCAGAGAGGTTGTGGAGTAAGTCTTCCTATGGTTCTTCCTATGTCTGATTGGAGTTGGCTGGTTGAGAAGTCCTCGAACCCGTTAGACCGATGAAAGGACAACGATCTCTCCTCTTCCTCCTCTCCGTGCGCTGTTTTCTTCTATCGGCCGAGGGCTATACGGGTACTTCCTCCTGTGAATCCCTTTGCATTCCCCTTTGGGACAACTGAAACGTTGCGGAGCAACCGAACGGCCATCGTCTCCATGCACGGCCTTCTTTCACTCCCGATTTTATCGGCCGTCGTATCTATGCTAGTGGTGGTAGAGTAGTCTCAATCGGGTAACAAGTATCGTTTTCGCACACTTTTCACATCCAATGGTTATACTAATCTACTGTTTTCAGTCAAGGATAGTCGGTAAACCCCTATATCACTATCATGTCATGTACCTACATATGTACAGTACTACACATACATTGAACGAGGAAAGTCCTATGAACGATGATTCTCGGCTCAACTGATGAACTCCTACTTACTTACTCTCTTCAACACTGATAAAGACATCTTTGACAATCCGGACCTTCAGCGGTTCTCCGAACTCTATGATGCCGTTCAGTACAGTTGGTGTGAGATAGTTCTTTGATTTTGACTGGCATGGAATGAGTGACCCTGTTTTGGGAACCATACTTCCATATGTTGCGTAGGCCAATATCAACGCGACTTTTCTGTTTGACCCGATATGAGGTCTACTTGTTGCCCTTTGGCTTGAATCACCTTGAATATATTCAACTGTACTATTACTACCCTCACCGAGAAAATGGGGGAGTCTCGTTGTTTCACTGCCCTGATCCCCATCCCTTCGGGTGACTGACTCCCCTTCTTTCCCTATCCATGACGACTGATGAACACGTTCACTCATACTATCGTCTCGTTCCAGAAACTCACGTTGACTATGTTCGTCATCCGCAGCCGCATAAAGAGACGATGAATCTGGATGGATTGATGATCTAGGAGATCCTCGTTCACTTTCGTCAAGCTCGTTAGTATCGACGCCCATTTAATTCTCTTTTCTAAGTTGGGTATGAAGAAAAAGTTCAACCTAGATGAGAAGAGTCAATATTCTTGAATCTTAAATATATTTTTCTTATTCATCTATCCTATTCCCACATTGAATAATGGTTCTCAAGGTTTACGTGAGTGTTTAACTTGGAGGGATCAAATGTCCGTTTCACCGAAAGAGGAAGAAAGGAAAGGAATTCTAGAATTCAGATTTATCCATTTGGGACATCTCATTTTCTCACGTTCTTCATTTCCTGTATATAGAATTGTTCGGTCGGAACATGGTCTTCGTCTTATGTATTAGCGTTAAAAATCTGAATTATGAGAATTAAGTCAGTAGATATGTATATTTTGGGAATCACAATTTCCGTATCCTCGTTCATGCCGAGTGGGATGAGGTGCGACTGACGTTAGTATCCACTGGTCAGTCTCAAAGAGATTCGGCGAGTACACCATGGTATAAGATGAGTACTTATCAGTTAGATCTGTGGGTGATGCACATTTGCATCCGTGGGTTTTATATTTTCTTGATTTTTTTTGGTGTTTCACATCGTATCCCCATAATCCCCATCTGTCGCGTGATCAACTCTCCTTCCAAAAACTCCATCTATCGTGTTTCCAACTCTCATTCGCAAATTTTCCTTTTTTCGAAACTTTAAAGGGTTACGAGGTATGCCGCGGTCCAGTGACACCTTCTTCCCGTGGCGACACGCTTTTCCTTCCTTCTATTTCACCTCTTCATCGGTCGCTCCTTCATCAACCAACTGAATCGTCCATCCCAAATATTGTATCGGTCAAGGGTGTGGGAGATGAATAACCAAGACGACTAAGCCTCAGGTTCATCCACTATCCAGACCCAATGTCCTCGACCGGTTTTAGGAGACGGTGGTGTATCTTCATGTTCTCTCCTTGGTTGACGACGTCGTTCCGGTTCCGGAGAAGAGGTTTGTTGACGCGGATGACGATGACGGTGAAAACGAGGCTGATCATGGTCTGGAGAATGATGACGACGCTGACGTTCGAGAGAAGGGGAACGGTGTCGTCGGTTGTGTCTATGATTATGACGTTTCACCTCGTTGGGTGGTCTGTAAGGTTCGGGATGGTGCGAAGGAGGGGGAAATGGAGGAGGACCAGGCGGAGGATGAGGAGGCGGAGGACCACGATGATGGTGTGGAGGACCAGAGGGTTCGTCGTGACCTTCCGGGCCTGGGAAATGGGGAGGAGGGAAATGAGACAGCGGAGGGAAAGGAGGACGTGCTCGATGAGAGAAGTCATGCCTGTGTCGACGGTGGATACCAGGATGATCGAAGAAGGGAGGTGGACCGTGAGGACGAAGATGATGATGATGAGGGTGGTAATCGTGACTCGGAGGTCCATGATGAGGCGAGAAACCCGGAGGAGGAGGAGGACCGAGTGGACTATGATGATGCGGTGATCCAGGTGGACCATAATGTCCATGATGTCCCCCAGGTCCAAATCCGTGATATCCGGGACCGAAGTGATGATAGTCACGATCATGATTATCCCCTTGATGGTAGTCGTGGTGACCACAGTTGTGACCGAAGAACGGATATCCACTTCCTACTCTTCCGAACCCTCCAAAACCTCCTCTTCCCCAATTCATACCACGTCTCCCCCAAGTCCAAGGATGTACACCATGTCCTTCCCACCACGGACCATCTTTCTCATGATTCCAATCTTCCCATACCTCCGAACCACTTTCACTCCTTTCGGACGAAGTCTCGCTAGTCGACACTTGATCTTCCTCAGGATAAGGGGTGACAAGACGAGTGTCTTCCAATTGTTCGGCGAGTTGTTCAACGGGTTGATCGTCGATAAGTTCATAACCTTCAGTATCTTTCGACATGATGTTTCGATTCGGTAAGAAGATTACACGGAGTATATATATACGGTGAGTGGACGAGTGGCAAAGTGAGAGATTGGTACGGGTTAGGTGGGAACAGTCAGGTTTATATGCTCATTAGGTAGACTACGATGACGCGGCGGAATGGCAAATACGCAGCGGGGGTGACGAGTCTTTTGATGTGAATTTGCAATTACTACGGAAAGCTCAATTATCAATATCTGTGCCTCTTCTTGAATATTGGTACATATTACAGCTGTTAGTAGTAGTATCGCTGGTGGTTCAACAGCTGCGCGGAAGGAAGTGGACGAGTATGGTTTGAGCGCAGTCGTGGAGGTGGATGAGGGGAAGAGGGGATGGATGGCTGCGGGTGGCAAATCTGGTAGGAATGTTGTTAATCGTACCGCCACCACATGTCACTTCTGTGGAATCCCGAGAAACTCCGCGAGGCAACCCTCGAGTCTCTTAGGTAAGTCACGATGCATCCCCTCCAACCGCGACCACGTGTAACGTGGTTGATTGCATCCTTATTCTGCGTCAATGAGTACTGTGGTGTCATGTGCAGCCAGCACAGGAAGCAAAACCGAATTCTTCATCGTCTCCCTATCAATCCTATATCTCGTATAACGACCACTACATCTTTCCATCAGATACCCGATTGTGTAGTCGTTGGCGGAGCTGACGGTGTTTCGTCTTCTTGGACCGTACCTGCATTCTTTTCGTGGGCCGTGGCATCCGTGGATCCGTGGCCGACTTTGCCAGAAGAGGAAGAGGGCGCGAGGCGCAACAAATCTGCCACGATTGAGAGGTCTTGATCGTTTCGCGCATTCGCCAACCTTCTACGGATGAAAGTTCCAGTGCTCTTCTTTCCCGAACGGGCCGAGGAAGACTGTTGAGAGGATGTTGCTGAGTTTTGCTTGTACGGATGGCTTTGATTTCGAGTCCTCGTGGACGACAAGGCTTTACCTCCTTCCGGTGGACCACCTCGTTTTGCAGTAGGCGCATTAGGCCACTTAGATGCAGGGGCCGAAGTCGATGTGGATCCATGCGCTCCAATGGAAACAGGCAAAGAGGCCACAGATGCTATATTCATTTGTCCAGTCAGTAAGATCGTCTGAGAAGGGTCAATCATGAACGAATCTGCACTTATAGAGGCATCGCCGCTTGACCAGGGCTCATTGCTCGAATCCTGTGAGGGCTTGGAGGTGTCGCTCTCAATGAGAGGAATGATATCCATGGTAACAAGTCACTGAACCTGTTGTAAGCCAAATGAGATGGTCCGTGGGGTTGAAGAGAGGCGATAAGTTTGGTTGTGAGGTCTGGGGAAACATTCAGATGTGTTCGTTATATCTATACATATGGATTGCATCGCTTTCTCGTGATAGAGAAGAGAAGTAAAGAGGATGGTGGAAGAATGGATGATTTGGCGCTTTTCTCACTTTGTCCAGATCAGTGGAGGTTAGACGTAAAGGAGGAGGAAGTGAATAATCGGACCTCGAAGAATGTGAGGTTTTCGCAATCGGCGAGGCGGTGTAGACGGGGGAAAGAGCAGGGAGAAAGTAGTAGAATGGACGATTCGTCGCGGTTCGCATAGTCGAGGAAGGTGGACGAGAGGGAAGTATGGATGAGTCGACTCTACATGATCAGCAGGAAAGTGTGGACAAGAGGAGAGGTGAACAATTCAGTCGGAGATTGTATGGTTCACAGCTTTTTCATGGTCGGCCCAGAGGAGAGGACAGGGATAAGTCACTTATCTGGTAATAAACTTTGATGTACAAGGTGTGAGAGCCAGTCAACTCTATGAAATCGTAACTCTCACAATGATCAAATAGTGAGTCAAGAAATCTACAGCGGCCAGCGGGCTGCAGAGGTATAAACCGGGCGTGATGGGTTGGCAGGGGGTGCACTGGACACATGGCAGGTGATCCTCCCGATCACCTTCGGCGTACTCACCGTTCTCTATGTCCAACCCTTGCGTGACATCTTTACATGACAATTTTGAGGTTCAAATCTCTTGCGATGTTTTGCTATGGTCGGCTTTGAAGGCTTGCACTAGACGCTAGGCATTATTCATATATCGAATGTGACGTGAGCTGGTGAGACCGACCGATCGGCCTTCGAATGTAAGAGGTGGTCCGAAAATGCCTGATCCACACATGCTGCATGCTGCAAGACATATAGCGGTGAACAAGACTGATGATGCCGAGAGTATGTTGAGATTCATCTAAGTAAGTACGTTAGTTGGTTCGACGATCGACGACTTGGGAAAGGAAGGGGAGCAGAAACGCCACATTGCTTCCCCCAACGGCGTTTCGAATTCTCCGCCCGCTCTCCGCTTATGTTTTCCACCCTCCTCTCTTCTTCTCAGCTTTTTTTCAAAAAACTTTTTGACGTCGAAAGGAAAAGAGAGCATAGTCGTAGGTATGTCTGCTTTCACCATTTCTATCACTTTACTACCATCCTGTATAAGGACGTCCACTCTCCTGACGCGTCTTGCTCTGTCCTCATCCGTGAGAAACCTCACTGACACGTAGCTTCAGAAAACCCACGTAAACGCACTTCAGTCAACTTTTACTACGTGGACGATCCCAAACGACCTCAGTATCATCCCAAAAATCCTAACAAAATGGCAGCTACTCCTGAACAGACCCCTCCCTCTTCTCAAATGACTACCGCTCCGCCTTCCAACGTCGGTGCCATCTCGCCACCTTCTTCCACCCAGGCAGGTCCAGGTGGCACGGGCGCGTCTCTCTATGTCGGAGAGCTCGACCCTAGTGTCACTGAAGCCATGTTGTTTGAAATATTCAATATCATCGGTCCCGTCGCGTCGTGAGTCCCTCAATCTCACATCACCCCTTCTCGCCGTCACTTCTCCTATCGAGTTTCGTAGAAAGGAGAAGAGCGGCTAGCGGCTTCAAATCTCAGACGATGAAAGGATCTCACTGACATGAAAGAATTCGCGTTTGTCGTGATGCCGTAACGCGTCGTTCTCTCGGTTACGCCTATGTGAACTATCTCAATGCCGCCGATGGTGAACGTGCACTTGAACACCTCAACTATTCCGCCATCAAAGGTCGTCCATGCCGTATCATGTGGTCTCAACGTGATCCCGCTCTTCGTAAAACTGGTCAAGGAAACATTTTCATCAAGAACCTCGATGAATCGATCGACAACAAAGCTCTTCATGACACATTCGCCGCTTTTGGTGAAATCCTCTCTTGCAAAGTCGGTGTGGACGAGGATGGAAAATCTCGTGGTTTCGCTTTTGTACACTACCAAACTGGCGAAGCCGCTGATGCAGCTATCAAAGGTGTTGACGGTATGATGCTCAACGACAAAAAAGTATTTGTCGGTCATCACATCGGTAAGAAAGAACGTCAGAGTAAAGCCGAAGAACAACGTGCTCATTTCACCAATGTCTTTGTCAAGAACGTCGACCTTTCCGTTACCGAAAAAGAATTTGAAGATCTCGTCAGCAAGTTCGGTGAGACCGTTTCTATTGCGTTGTCTTTGGATGAAGAAGGTAAAAGCAAGGGGTTCGGATTTGTCAATTACGTTTCTCATGAAGCTGCAGAGAAAGCTGTTGACGAGCTCAACGACAAAGAGGTCAATGGTCAGAAGCTTTGGGCGGGAAGGGCGCAAAAGAGGGTGGAGCGTGACACCGAGCTTCGAAAGACTATCGAGGAGAAGAGGCAGGAGTTTGATGCCAAGAGCGCTGGTGTTAATCTTTACGTTAAGAATCTTGATGGTGAGCTGCCCTTTACCTCGCTGCACCTCTGTTTTTTACTACACTTTTCGCTTTCGAATCCTGGTCAAAGCTGACCAGATAGATGAATGGGATGACGACCGTCTCCGCGCCGAATTTGATTCTTTCGGTACCATCACCTCTTGTAAAGTCATGAAAGACGAACGTGGTGTCTCTCGAAACTTCGGTTTCGTCTGTTATTCTTCCCCTGAAGAAGCCACCAAGGCCGTCTCTGAGATGAATGGCAAGATGATCGGTAGCAAACCTCTTTACGTCGCTCTCGCTCAACGCCGAGAAGCCCGTCGTCAAGCTCTCGAATCTCAGATCGCGCAACGTACCAACCAAAGGGTCCCGTACGCTCCTGGTGGAATGCCCCAGGGATACATGAATCAACCGATGTACGGTTATCCTCCCATGCCAGGATATGGCCAACCGGGCATGATGCCCATGCGTCCTATGATGGGTTACAACCCTCAGATGATGCAACAGCGTCCCAGATACCCTCCGGCCCCGATGAATCAACCTGGTATGGGTATGCCTCCCATGCCATACGGTATGCCACCTCAACAGATGCCTTACGCTATTCCACCCAACTACCCCGTCCGTCCCGGTCCCGGAGGTATCTCTGCCAGACCCCCTACTTCCGCTCCCGCTCCCGCACAGGGAAGGATCAACGGTGGTCCTTCGCCCGTCGGCTACAGCTCTGGTCTGCCGGGGTCGATGCCTCGTCAGATGCCCATGGCCAGACCTGGATACGATCAAGTTCAGCCTCAGCAGAACAAGCTCAGCGCTCAGGCTTTGGCGAGGGCTCCTTTGGCGGAACAGAAGCAGATGTTGGGTGAGGCGTTGTACCCGCTTATTGGAGCGTGAGTGTTTTCTCGTGCCTGTCTGCTTCTGTGACTCATGCTTTCTCCCTCTGACCTCGTATGAGCCTTTCCCATTCCATTTATCTTGTTGCATACATTTGACTCACGACTCGGAAGGCTATCGGCCTATGGAAAGAAGCTGACGATCAGAACCCAGCCCGAACTCGCTGGTAAGATTACCGGTATGTTACTCGAGATGGACAATTCTGAGCTGCTTCATCTGATCGAATCCCCTCCGGCGCTATTGGAAAAGGTAGATGAAGCTCTCAAGGTGCTCGAGGAATGGGGCAAAGAGGGTGGACATGCGGACGGCGACGTTCAAGAGGTCACTGTTGGTGGGACGGATGGAGAGGCCGAGGTAAAGAAGGAGTAGAGTGTCGATTTGTTTGACACTCGCGTTCTCTTAGTCTCTGGAAGTGTGGTGTGGTAGGGAATGTTGGGAGGGAACGAGTAAGCGAGTCGTGACCACTCAGAGACGAGACACCTTGGGGATACCAAACGAAGAGTGGAGTGAAGTGAAGTTGTGTATACGTGGGCGAAGCTATGCACTATGTCTCTCTACTGTTTATTCTTTGTTTACTTATCCGTCAATTTCAAGATACTCTTCCTCAAAATTATTCACACAGAATTGCAGTAGTTGTATAACATCACGGTACGATCAAGGTTTTTCCCTCATGCTGCATGCTTCATGCCTCAGTTAGGCATCGCCTAAATGACTACACTTGGCAGGCGACAAACTTCAGAAATTTGATCCCGCCCTTATATCCCCTTGCTCGCGTTTCTCCTTCTTGCCCAAACTTCTTCACCTTTTAGTAACTGCAGCTCTCCACCTACGCCACCCATCTCCTCATACCAACTCATAGACTTATAGACGAAATGTCATTCGTCTATTCGAACCCGTTCGCACCTCAACGTTCAACTTTCTCCGGGTCTACAGCGGGAGGGTTTCAAGTTTTGTTTGGAGGATTACCTTTGGACGTTTCGGAGAGTGATCTCAAGGTGAGTTCTGGTTTACTTTTTACTTCTTTCTCTCTCCATCCCCTCCCCGCCCCCCTCCCCTCTATCACTCTCCTCCCTCTTCTCCCCCCCTGTATCTTTCTGTTAATCAACTTCTACACGTCTCTCTCTAGTCACATCATTTATATTCTATATCTCTATCACATTCTCGCTTATCCCACTTTACCCATCCATCTATTTCTACGTATTACGATTATACCTAAACAATCTATCATCCGAGTATCCCATTCATATCCGATAACGACTTCTAATCCTTCTTCTCTCGTCTTCTCTTCGCAAGTCTCATCCCACTTCGTTGTGCCCAACTTATCCCCCTATATCACTGAATCGATTCATTCCCATGCTTTCAGTTTACCCATTATGTCGATGAAAATCATACCTGACCCTTCAAGTGGGGTATGGGACAAAGGTTTATCCAAATGTTGATTCAACCAGGACTTACTAACCTCTCCCACCGGGTTAAACTTACCAACCACTACGAGCGTGAGGAATTTACATAATCCTCTAGGTCAATTTTTAGGTTTAGCTATTGTTCAAGTTCATAATGAATTGGATGCGGAGAAAATTAGGAGGGAATATAGTGGTCAAATCATTGATTCCAGTGAGTTATTTGGTTTGGCTACGTTGCTCCTTCTTTCTCCCTTTCTTCACCCCTGCATTATATTTCTCTGTATTGTGTCGGTTTCTGTGTTTTGGTATTTATTTCCTCCCATTCTCCCTTAAAGTGGATTTATCTTTTTCTCATGAGATTATTTCTCTCCCGCTGTTTATTCTTTTCTCCTTTCACGTTTGAAAACTTCCACTAGCGCGACATATCTCTTTATGTCTGTGATTCCATTCTACCTCTCGAGTGACATTCCTCCCTCACTGTTCCTCACCTTATCTTCTTACCCCCATCCGGCTTTTTCTACGATTCATTTCTCCCACAGGTATCTCACGTCTTTCCCCCTTCACCTCCACCTTTTTTAAATTTCAATATTTGAGGTAAGGAGACGCAAATGGAAAAGGCCGTAGGACTAATTTTCAGCTTTTCACCTGACCGTCCAACATATTCTTCCACCATACCAATCTCTCCCCTCTCCCACCCCCGCACAACCTTTCAACTCTCAATCCCCATCCGTTGCTCCTCCTCCCCCCAACCCCACTGCGGTCAAACAGAAACCAGTACCAACGACCTCAAAAGTACCTCCGAAACAGAAAGATGATGGGAAACCATTAGGTTTGAAGCTATTGGCTAGGCTAGGGCAACCCGGACAAGGTGTTGTTTCCGCCAAACAAGCTTCGTGAGTTACATTTTCTTTCGTTTATATCGCCACTCGACTCGTCATTCATACATTTTCGCAAATTTCAGTTTTTCCCCTATCGCTCACCTCACACATGTACCCCAACACCGTTCATACTCCATATCCATATGGATCAGTTGGGCCATTTTGGTCTTTGTGTGTAGACAAGATCGTAGAAGAGTGTAATATTGTCAGCGAGGAATTTGATTGTTCACTTCGCCAAGCGGGGAATGATATTAGTCACAGTGAGATAGACACTGACATCAGACTGATCGCCACTCAACGAGCCAACCTCCGACACCCAGGAAACACCCTTCTCTCCAGACTAGACCACCCATCTCCTTATAGCAAGAACAAAAAACCCGTCCCTACAGCGACAGCCACCAAAGCCAAAGTCATACGTGCGAAAACCGTGGCGAATGGTAAAATGGATGTGGATCAAGCTTTGAAATCGGCTGCGCCATATGGGAAAGAAAGGGGTAGACCGAAGACGCAAGTGGAGTTGGATGAGGAGATGAGGTTGTATGAAAGGGAGAGACGATTTGCGCGGGGGTGAGGGAAATTGGTTCGCATAAGATAAAGTTGTTATTGATAGATGCCGAGAATGCAGATGAGAAAGTTATTGTCTCTTTTTGCGTTCCTATTGAAACTATTTCATCTGTGATCATCAGTGGATGGTGAGGTTATGCTTCGCGCCACGAGGTATGTGATACATGGGTCGCACTGAAGTTGTTGGTTGGTAATACGGTGCGAGTGATGCGAAACAAACGGTGCATATTCAACTTTCTACCTTGATCGTTCGTCCTATTGCATCGAACTGATTTTCGAGTTTCCTGACCTACCTACCTACTACGTATAGTACTACTCATAAGCGATATGGTCGAAGAAGGGATATTCGACGAAAACTCACTCGATCGAAAGAGGTTTCTCAAACCAACATCTTAGTTTCCACACCATCATGAAGATAATTTTGTTTGATATCCTCCAACAAACCAATTTCCTTCGGTTGCCAACCAAACTTTTCCTTTGTTTCTTTAGCCGTAGCGAAGATATTAGCACCATAAACCCTTCCTATAAAACCTAACAATTCTTGAGCTTCTTCCCTACTAACATCCTTAGTTTCTAATCCTAATCCTTTCGCTATAGTTTCCGCGATTTTCTCCGTCGAAATATTTTCATCACCATCACCAACAGCGTGTAAAATACCATGTTTAGGATTTTCCAAAGCTATCCTATACAATTCCGCAGCATCTTTAACATGTACTCCTGCCCAAGCGGCACCTTGAACAAAAGGGACAAAACCTAATTCTTTGGATTTCGTAATGATATAAGGAACGAAGGCATAATCACCTTTACCATGAACAGAACTTGGTAATCTCATTACCATACCATTTATACCTTTTTCTTCTTTTAAACTGAAAACGAAATTTTCAGCTTCACCACGCATTTCGTTTCCTTGTCTAATAGATTCAGTCACTTCAGTTCCATCTGGTCGTAACATTAATCCACCGGCGATGATTATAGATTTTCCAGATGAGAGAGAAGATGACATTGTTTTGATAGCTTGTACATCTTGTCGAATCGATTCCATCCAATTGGAAAAATCATGATTGAAACCTAAATGTGCTATGGCGTCGACAGTTGAAGCGGCGGTGGATAAGACGTTTAGGTCGGTTAAGGATCCACGTATGATTTCGAGGGATGAAGATGGTATGGAAGTTGGTAAGAGGGAAAGTATTTTGTTGTCACTTGATGGAGAACGAGAAAGGGCTAGGACGGTATGACCGTGGGTTAAAAGGTTGGGGATTAAATGATGAGCTACCCAACCAGATGCTCCAGTGACGAAAACACGCATTTTGACTAGTATGTTAGTTATATGAGCCACTTCACGTATGAGACTATCAATATCATCATGTTGATGGAGAAGGTGAACAGGTCATGAGGTTGTATTCAGAAGTGAGCGGAGGTCAACGTATTGTGACTACTAAGCGGGGAGTAAAGTAGTTCTAGGGGGAGGGGCAAAGGGAGACCAGTTGGGAGTCGGGATCATTCGCGAGATCCAGTAGAATAGGGATCTCGATGACAATGTGAGATATGGCGAGAACGAAAGAGCCGAGGAGTGAGCAAACCACTAGCGATACAGTCAGGTAGAATGGTAGATGGCATAGAGAGCGATAGATATGAAGGGTAGGAAAACGACTGTCAAGTCCGAGTTTTACGGGAAAGAGTAACTTACCTTTTATGACCTTTGATCCACAGGCCACAGAGAAGATATCCGACGGAAGTTTGTTTGAACGTATGAGTAGTAGTGAGTTGTAGTCGTTGAGAATGAGACTTAAGAAAGAAAGATCATCCCGACTCAAACCCTCTTATATACCTTTGTATCCCCTCGGCAACGCCATCCTCGGCCGTCAAGAACACCGAACATGTCGTTAAATCTCGACATTCGTCAACGCAACGAATCACCCGATGACCTTGAATCTACTTGCAACTTGACCTCGGGCACGGAGATCTGAGATCTGAGATCTTGGGAACGGAGATCTTTCAATGTCCGTATCACACCGGGCCTCGGGATGCCTGTGGATCGAGTGAATTGTACTGGTATGCTTGAGTTGGACGTTGCGTCCATGCATGTGTCGTTATCAACCTCAGGTGAATACAAAAATCATAGCACATATCACTAACTCTGTTGCTAAGGACATCTCTTGGTAGATATGGTGGGGTCAAATCGGTATCCCTTCTTCCTGTTCAAACTCCGATAATCTCCTCTCAACCAGATCTACAACCTCGGTAGGACCAAAAACACCTTTCAAAGCTCTTCTTGACAATCGAACAAGATCAACACGAGATAAATGAAAATGTTTACAAGCTAGGAAATGTTCGGAAGAAGAAATAGAATGGAATATTCCAAGATCATCAGTGTTGATACTTATCGGATTGGGTAGATACCACCATTGACCGAAATGATGAGATGTATATTGAGCTTCGTATGATTCTTGCCGGTCGTCTTCCTCCATCTTTGAAGATTCCTCTTTGGCTGAGATGTTACCAACGTCGAATGAGTCTTGATCACCCTTCATAAGTCCCTCCAGCTCATATTCATTCCCAGCGCTAGCGTCCATCTCAGCGTTGGCGGAAGAACGAACTGTCATCTCTTTCGTGTTCCGTATCGGAGTTGAAATAGGTGGTAATAACCCAGCCAAAACATTACAACTCAAACACATCTCTACCCCTATGTCCATCTCCACCAACTTCCTCTTCATCTCTTCTTTAACCCATATGACATGTCCCAATCTATCCGGTGCCCAACTTAACATTTCCAATTGTTCTTCATCTCTTCCTTCAATTTCTCCAAAGTGCAAAGTCAACCCTAAACCTTCTCGTTTAGCAGCTTTGAATATCTCTCGATATATCTTCACATCCCCTTTGATGGGATTACCTCCTAAATCTAGACCTACAACTGGATATCCACGAGATCGGAGGTCCAACGCGAGGTTGAGAATCCCCCAAGCTTCAGATATAGAATGTTTACTTCTATCGATAGAAAGGATTAAACCTGTCCACATGAGTTGAGATACGTTCCATTCTTGTATTTGTTGACTGATAGCGATTATTACTTCAGATGCTGAATGAGGAGGTAAGGAACGAGGTGTTGTACGGAGTTCGAGATAGATGACGTTGTCTGATTGAAACGTTTCGAGAACGGATTTGAGAGCTGTGAGGAGGTATGGAAGGGAAGAAATTAGAGAGTAGAGGTACGTGTTGAACAGAGGGAAGAATCTGGATATCAGTGACATTCATCCCATTTCCATGAAAAGTCTGCGACATCGGATCTGTGTACGTTAACCTTAAAGATGAGAAACGCATTGATCACCTAGAGAAGAATTGAACATTCTTCGTCACTCGTCAAAAGAAGGATATCGATTGGGACGTTGAGGAGTGTGAAGGTCAAGACAAGGTGATAATAGGAGGAATCTGAGAACCCACGTAGAAACACTTTGACCTGCTCGATTCCCAAGTACTTGATCAGGCGGAGGAAGATCAAAACCTGCTTCTGTATCGACCCTCTGTTGCCATATCGATTGAAAGATTGGTAGTGTGATACTTCCTGTCAAATGGGCGTGAAGCTTTGTGTCAGCCATCATCTTGCCTTCTTCATACTTTCCACTACATCTATGCTCACTTCATAAGAATCATTGCCTCGTACACCATGACAGGACGGATGGTATCGATACGTCATATAAGGGAGGGAGCACAAGCTAACAACGGGGATGCCGAGAAGAAAAGCAAACTCACTTCGATTTTAGGTAACCTCCTACAGAAATCTTCATCAGCTACCTCCATCTTCATTCCCACTTGTTCCATCCCACTCAAAAGGAGAAAGAAGACAAAAGCTTGATCGTCTCAAAATGAACATTTTCGCTAATTCAAGATGAAAGAAGCATCGTGTTACCCAAAATGGGTGGCGATGATTTCGGGGCTCCAACATGATCCGTGGCGGTGTTGCGGTGTGGCACTTTGAGGTATTTCGCACGCTTCTCATATGGCGTGGGAGATTGTTATCGATGTTCTTCTGGCCGGGGGAAAGTGGTTTCACACGAGATATGAACTCTAGACTTCATGGGGAGGAGGAGAGAGGATATTTAGGAAAATGAGGACAAGTCAAAGGAATGGGAATCGTCCACGGGCCTTCGGACGATATTCAACCGCTAAAAACGATTCCCACGTTCCATTCTTCCCGCAACATTTGGACTAAATTGTAGTTTCAAACTTCAACTACTACTAAGAGCCCACTCCCCTGGTCACAAAAAGAGAGAAACATCATTGATAGATATCATGGCACCTGACCGCACAAATGGTACAACTACCAACCAAACACATAGGGCTCACGGACGTGGTCCACAATATCAACGGCCAGCTGGATCTTCCTCTACTAAAATGGCTTCCCATTCAGGTGCTAAGGAACGTCAGGATCCGGATGCTGACGGAGAAATTTTTATTGGTCATTTTGTAAAAGGCGCACCTGAGCTTCTAGCCAGTATCACCCTCAACATACACAAGGATATCAATACTTACTATGTTGACACATCAGTAACTGTGGGACCTATAGGCAATTCCTTTTGGAAGCCTTACAAGAGATTTCGACGGAACTGTGCAAAGGTTCTGACCAATGAAATGAATTCTGAGTTACAATCTGGTGGATTTGGGACCACCATGCGGGAACTTGTGGAAAGTATGACTGAGGAACTCAGCTCGAAGCCACAACTTTTCAGGAAAAGCTGTCAGCTCCAAACAATACCTGTTGATACAACTACAGTAGCCCAGAGACAAGTTGTGAGACACATACAGAAGGCACTAGAACCTGGTTGCAGACATAGGCTATACAGATCTGTGCTTCTGAATCTTTGCATAGAACACCGTTGGACACTACAAACCACACCAGAAACTTTGGGCCTGACATTGAATTGAAAGTCAATTTGCTGCAAGTGACCTCAACAACACCAATCCCTGATTTCTTTTCCCCAAGACCTTTCTTTCCCGCTGTCCTCAAGCACCAGAATACAGCGGACCATCAGAATCATCATGGAAACTCTTCAAAAGGCAAGCAACGTACATTGATTGGTCACAATTACCTCAACTCACCTCAAATGACTTTGGCAATCAACTGGCGCCCTGCTAGCAACATTGGCTCCAACCCCATGGGGGTACAGTTCAACTTGTCAAGTCGTGAGGTACTGTATCCAGCAACTGCTTTATCCCCAGAGCAGAAATTACACCACCCTGAAGCAAATGTATCACCAAATTCCAATAACTCTGCCTTGAACTCAATCCGATACAATACATCAGCTAAGACACTTGTGGCAGCTGATGCTGATGGTGTAGTCGTTATCTATAGTCTCTGCTCAACCTCCCCTCAGCTCAATATTGATATCACTCCTTGTATACACCTGTATGACAACACTTTCTCCTTAACTGGTTTGGCTACTATGGGCCCCTTGGGTAACAGTTATTGGGAACCTTACCACCTCTTCCGTGAAGAGTGTACCAGAATTATCACCAGATCCTTGACCTATGCGCTGCAGTCAAACTTTCTGGGGTGGGATATTCCATTCCTGGCAAAGAAGGTGCAAAAAGAATTGGAGTCAGACCCAGGCCTTCTTTACAAAAGCTGTCAAGTTGAAGCAACCTCATCTGACAATGCTACACACACACACAGAGAACTTATGACACAAATCAGTCTTGCTCTCAACCATCCTATGCAGCTCAGGCACTACAGGAGAGATCTCTACCTGTCCTGCAAAAACCGTGGGTGGACAACTGTGAGATTACCTGCACGGTTGGGAGTGGATTTGACCTTCCAAGTCCCAAAGTTGGGGGTCAGTGAAACCATGCCAGATCATGAATCTACAACTGCCCCAAGTGTATCCTCTTCAAGTGCTCCTTACCCTGAGCGTGAGGACAAGGATCACACCGCGCTTGAGTCTCATACTGCCACCGAGGTCAGGCAGCATGTCAGCCCAACAAACAATACCATGGATATTCACAACATGGGGCCATTGTCCATATCATATCCTCCAAGCTCTTCAATTCAAGTGTTCCAGTATGGAATGACAGATCATGGACTTGCACCATCACAAGTACTTCTACCCATACCTCCAGAAGGAGCCAATGTTCATGTGTTAGGCTACCCATACACAAATGAAGCAGTTCCAACTTATGCTAATGCCTCAAATTACATGTCCTCAGATCCAGTGTCTTCAACACATGGGGTTGTGTCAGGGTACACTGTATGGTCTCAGCCAATACAGCAGCCAGGATGCCAGTCAGCACAACACCCAGTGCAACAGCAAGGACAACTGATGGTACACCAACAAGTGCAACCAGCTTTCTGGCAATCTGGTTTATATACAGCAAAGCCTGTATATCCTCACAGGCCAATATTGTTTCCAAGTGAAGGCTCAGGGTGGTCAGTACCACAGCCATCTTCTGTTTCACAGCTTCAACATGACGTTCATCTTTGGCCAGCTAACCTGGGAACAGCTGCTAGGTACTCTGCAGACTATGGTCACTTGGGATACCAACAGCCCAATGAGGGTTCCGATCAAGATCTTCAGCTGTTTACAGACAATGAGTCAGCCCACCAGCTGGCCGGTCCTTAGCCCAAGATCTACCAGCTTACACATTTTTGCGCCCTCCCAGCTACTCTGAAATGTGATATCATTATTAGCAAGTGCAGGGGAACAAATATATCAAGTTCAGTATCAGCTGCTACCATCAAAAGAAGGATATTTGCAACCAAGCAGTACGACCTACTACGTCCAGATTACGTAGTACCCCAACAACCACCTATTGTTTGTTATTTATCAACACGCTCATACAGCTCCATGAGCCATAGTTCCCCAACAAGTACTCTGTCTCTGTGAGACATCAACACCCTATTATGACAGAGCTATCTGAGGTTTGTTGACTGTTGGTCAGCTGAGAAGAAAAAAAACAATGATTGAGGCAACAAGCAGCAATTGGATTGAGAATTTCCGGGATTTTTTTGTTAGATTACTGATCCAATTGAATCATTTCAACATTGTCTTCCACCATGCTGGAATGGTGATGTGAAAGCAAGTGGTACGGTGTGCTTCCAGGGTGGAACGTCCATGTGGGCATTCAGCGCCAGACTGGTACAGTACGTCTCCGACTGGGGACAATCAGGTCCGTGCAGCTCCGGAGGTGCACATCTCCGGCCGTGTCCCCACCGGATTGATTAAATCTCATCTCCCCTATACCTGGTCGGCAGAGCTCTGTGACAGACAGCCCAGGAAGATCGGTCCAGAAGCTACCAAGATGCCCGAGACACCAGAAGACATGGGCAGTCCATCGAAAGCGAGGCGAGTAATGTTCGGAGATCAAGCGATTGTCATCGCCTTCCCACCAACCGTTCATTTTGACAATATTGTCCGCCACTTTCTCACTCTGTCCATACGGATGAAAGGATAAATGGCAGAGCGGACTCGGACCGCCACCGGCACCCCCGCTTCCGCCACCCCGCAGTGAAGTATTTTGACGGATGTAAGTTATCCTCTCACTAGTTCTCTCTCCTACGTCTTTTTGATCTCCATCCTCTCCAGTAGCAATAACATTTCCCTACTCCATAGGTCTACCCTATATCACCCACAAGTAACCTATCATCTAATCTTGGAGTACCCACTACCTCTGCAGAACAATTTCGTGAGATGGCTCCAACAATCACCAAAATGGGACCAGTATCCTCTCCCGAGTCAGACCTTCAGCTGCCTGGACCCCTCCCATCCATGCTCACATACTCTGTACTAAAACGGGGAAGGCATCTATGGATGGCGTTCAATGCGGAACTTCAGACTCTTGAAGCTGGAGCTTCAATCCCAGCCATCAGAGACCAAAGCACATCACTGTCTGACATCCTGAGTGCCAAAGGGTGTACTGGTAAACACTCCCATTCTTTATATAAGCCCATTCCTACTGACTCTCTTCTTTGTCCTGGGATCAACTCAGGGCCGGGAGATGAAAGCAGTCACTCCAAACTGTCTTCTGCATAGAGGGGAGTCAAGCGACCTTCATGTGAGGATGATATGGAAAACAGCACCAAAAGACCAAAATGTAGCCATGCAGCTCATCATGGTTCAAGAAGTACACTGTGCAAAAGACTGCATCTCTCCTGCCTTTCAACTAGACCGTCCGCGCTCGCTGGACAGGAGATAGCTCCCTTGTCTATAGATTTTAGCCAGAGCTCCATACTCCCATCCTATGGGATAGGCGAGACACCAAGTCCCCTTCCTTTGGCCCCTATGAGTGGGAACCCTAGCTCAATACCCCGTACAACAGACATGAACAGCCAGGACAAGGTAGCCAAACACACCTTGAACTTGGATGTAACCTTGTGTGTATCAAACTATGATGAGCAGCTGACCATCTCAGGTTCAGTGCGACTGCATTACCAAGGACCTTCCAGAATAGGGCCTAGGTTGGATGAGTTCATTGCTTGCGTGAGCCGCATGTTCACTCAAGTACTTGACGATGGGCTACAGAAGACAGTGGCCGATTCTGCATTCAGGGATAGGAGAAGGTCAGTGGTAGAGGCACCAAGTAAGTTGGAATTGTGTCAGCCTAGAAATGATCTGAGTGGACATCTCAGGTTAGGATGGGATCCCAAGGAATACAAAAAGTCTTTAGTAAGTCTTGCTCCACAAACTTCAAAGGCATTGCCTTTACGTACAGTCCTTGGTGAGGTTCAGGTGGTGTCACAAAATGTGGATGGCAGTGGGGAGTGAGACCAGTGTCAGGCAGTGTGTACAGATAGATATACCGTGGTACTCATACAGTAGTATGTATGACTCTTGTTGTGTAATTTGTCACAGTCGTCTTTTCTTCTCCTCTGCTGACCGGCGGTTGACAAACCGTGGCTAAGTACGTCGTACTGGGGCGTCAATGTCTCACAAAGACAGGGTACTCATCGGGGAACTACTGTAACAGTACTGGAAACACAATGACTAGGTCGCAGGTTGGGTCGAACTCAATGGACTTCTTGTGGAAATCTAGGTGTCACTGTGTCACGAACTACGTCGTGACACCCCAATTATCCCACCAACAACAACCCTCCTTGGACCATCAAACCCCTATCACATCCCAACCTCCTCACTCTACACGTAACTCATGACATCTGAGACCAAGTACGGTGAAGTTAGACAGAGTTAGGCAGAGCAGGGACAATGGGAGCAGAAGTACAGCAAAGTTATACGGAGTTAGGCTGAGTAGGGACTATGGGAGCAGAAGTGCGGCAATGTTAGGCGGAGTTAGTCAAAGGGGGGAGAAGAACGGCCGGGGACCCAGGGAAGTTGGACAAAGTGCGTTGAAGTACGTCAAAGCGCGAGAGGGTTGGGTAAACGTCTAGGAGGAATAGATAATATCAGCTGAGAAGATCACTGAAGTTCTTCAGCGATCCTTGATTGTTGTCAGTAGTGAAAGATAGATAGAGATAGCTACACTTAAATCGAAATACATCGCCATCAGTAAACCAAAACCCTAGTTAGAGTAACTACGTCAAAGTACGCCGTACTTACACTCCTTTCAATGCCTGCGCCCTCCTGGTTGGGTGAGACATCGACTTTGAAGCGTCAAGTTAGCCGAGGTTCATTGACCGTTCGTCTGTTAGAGAGTGGTTGTTTGACGTCCGTGACAGTTGGATGCAGGAGACTAAGTGTGAGGCTGTGCAGGAGTTGAGAGATGTTCTATCAGGGGAGAGGAGAAGTATAGATAGTTTACAGATTGCTGAACTTCTTCAGTGATCTCTGATTGTTGTCAGTAGCGAGAGATATATTCAGTAGCTACAACCATCTAGGTAGGGAGAACTACCACGGAGCAGCTCGACGTACTACAGCGAAGTTAGCCGCAGTTCATTGACGATCACCTTATTGTTTACCACTTGATGTATTACTACGGCGTAGTTAGTCGTAGTTCCCTGACAAGTACCCTGTCTCAGTGAGACATTGACGCCCCAGTACAAAATAGTTAGCCGAGGTTTGTCGACCTTCGGTCAGTAGAGGAGAAGAAACAACAACTGTGACACTACTCATCTCAAGCTTCATTTTAATACCATTTTCACTTATTTTTGACCAGTTTTTTTTACTTTTCCGACCATTCTCTTCTTGGTATGTGTGCTCATCACTCTCACCCATCAGATTCCTATAACTTTACATGGAGAGGTCCTACTGTCTTGCAGCTTCTTTGGGGGTATCCCCCTGGTCTTTAAGGGTCTGTGAGTAGCGCTGTTGTTCATAATGATGAGAAGTGTGCATGGAGTATGAGCAATTCTCAGATGACACCCTCAATTGGCATAGACAATGATAGAGAAGAGTTGGCAGTGATCGGTCATCACCGCTTTGCCACGTTGTCAAACGTGTTCAGTTCGGATTGGTGTTACTGAAACGCCCACGCCTATGTGTTGTCCGCCACGTGTTGTGGTAGGTGGTGCCCGGACGAGACTAGGGTGGTGCCCGGAGTGGACGTCAACAACGACTTGTAGTATTTCCATCAAACTTGACGGATTAGGATGGAGAAGGACGAGAACAGGAGGCAGTGCTGCAGTAGATAGGCACGGGTTTTCTCATTTCTAGATCTTCCCCATTGGGTTTGCTCAAAGCCGGTTTTCACCTGTCTGAGTATGTACATAGACGCATGCAGCAGGCAAAGAGGGGATCACGGATACCTGTAGACAGTATATAGTACAATCAGCAAAGTACCAACTTTGCTGATTCTTCAGTATCTTCCTTTGGCTACATTGATTGCAGAGGAGACATGATTCATCACAGCACCAGAGACACCTCGATTTCCACGGAGTCCATCAAACTCGACCCAACCTGCAACCTAGTCAGTGTGTTTCCAGTATGTTACACTCATGTTAGGACCCAATGCTCTTGCAGATGTGAAAATATGTGCAGTGACCATAATATACCTCCCACTGTGGCTTTATGTAGACGGGCTACCTATAGTCAATGTAAACAGAGAGGAGTCATGGGAAGGTATGAATGAGAGGGTAATGAATGATAGTCGAAGAGAGCGGAATGTCTTCGGAACGGAAATCCATACGGCCCATCAATTTACATATGAAGCTCCGTGTGACAGATAATGCAATTTCGGATCAGATTCTTGGATTTCCCAACCTGTCAGTCGAGTGCCAATTTCCCAAACTCATAAAGGACATGAGGGGCCTCGAGTCATTGTGTTCATTGGGAGTATCGGGTGCAGGCGTCTGCGGCGGGACCTCGGAAACCCGGGAGGGCGGTATGTCAAAGTTATCACCTGCATGACTTTGATGGGCTGCGGATATAGGGTGTAGAGCCGGAGAACTGGGCCTTGTGACAGGTGCAAGTGACAGCGGTGGAAGTGACAGCGGTGGAAGTGACAGCGGTGGAAGTGACAGCGGTGGAAGTGATTCGAACCGGGACTGTTTCAGTAGATCCTGGGCCCCTTGACTTGATGAGCCTGAAGGGTCTCCATTGTTTGTTGTCCCAACAGACTCTTTGGACTGTATGGCAGGTTCCCCATGATCTGAGGGACCCTGATTGGCCCATTTCTGGTGGAGTGTAGGGGAAGAGGCTGCCGCTGGAGTAGCGGTAGGTTCATGATGCTGTATGGTTGTGGTGACTTGCACGTTTTCAACTGTTAGTTTCAGCCTCACCCCTATCCGACTGGGGACTTCTAGCACAGTCCACTGATGTTTGACACAGCAGCGGAAAAGCTCCTGTCTATAATATGAGCGGCGGTCGCGCTGCTCCATGGCACTCTCCAAAGCTGTCATCAGTGCCTTCTGGGTGACTGTAGCTTGATCCTTGGATACCAAATGATGCTGGAGGCTTTTCGGGAGTAGGTGTGGTTTCCACTTTAATTCATCAGTCACCTGTACACAGAGGTCTGCAAAATCCTTCCCAAGTTTCTGATTTTGTATTTGATAACTCACGGAAGCAGTCAGAACATTTGCTGACTCTTGCAGAAATTTGTCGTAACCTGTCCAATGGGTATTCTCTGTAGAGTCTATACTGACTGATACATCAAGGTAAAAACGGTCATCATTGATATGAAAATGTGGGGTGACAGCTGCTATGAGATTGGGAGAGTGAACAGACATAGAATGAATGAAGATCACTCCATCGGCATCTGGGACCCGGTCTTCCCCAGCGCCTGAACCGGATTCGTCTTCTACTGTAGAGGGTCCAACGGGTTGCCGAGAGGTCTGTGTCTCACCACTGTTGAACCTGTTCGTGTTGTGATCGGGTGCCATGGGATCTGCCAATAACGTTATTTTCTTCTTGGGGTCAAATTGGGGTTCTGGATAGTGGTTGAAGGTTGAACAGTGGACCAGGTCGGGGCGGGAAGCATGAATCGTGAGGGACGTTTCAAGCGTCGTATTGATCGCTGTCGAAGGCGGGTGGAGGGGTCTCGGCCCCTCTGTGTCCTCTTTCTAGAAGTTCTAGAACTTACCCATTCCGTGTAGATGTAGTCCGTTAGATCCTTCTACCATCTTCCACCACAATCTGCTGTATCCTTCATCTCCCTTGTGCCACAACATTCTATGCTCATTCAACTCTTGAGTAGTTTGTAGATGTCAGGATCACGCGGTACCACGGGTACCTTACCATGTAGTCGTACTCTTTTTCCATTCCCGTCCCCGTCTCCATTCCCGCGTCCGGGCTTACTCCGTTTGCTACTACGCCTGGTACCATTCTTTCGACACCTCTACCCTTTTTTACATCTCCGTCTCGGTAACCATCATCGCCCTTCCTCTCCTATTCTACCTCGACTTCATTCCAAACTACGCATGCTCTTATCGGTATCATCCCGCTCTCTTTTTAGTATATAGACGTAGTCTTTTCTCAGCAATGTCTTGTCGAATGTATTTTGTGTTTTCCTAGTTATATCATTTAACATACATCTCATCGATCTCACAGATCTCTTTGATACACTACATCACTAGGTTTGTTCCCTACAAGGCCTCATTGTCATAGCTCATCGACGCAGACTATCCCGACGTCTGGTCCTTACAGTAGATATGTTAGGTAACCGTTCAAAGTCGCAACACTTGGAATCTCACGGTTCAGCTCTTGACATCCAAAGGTGTGACACTTTGAAGTATCACAATGCCAAAATCCGTGCCCCTTTGGAGCTGCACACATGTGGATGGTCACAAGTAGAAATGTGTGACTTCAAAGTGGAACGTTTGTGCTTTCAACGGTGACAACTCTTGGCTCTGAGTGCCACAATAGCGGCAATATGAAACAACTGTTAGGTGCCTTACGGAAGACATACCACTTTGAAGCTGCACAGGTCCTGAGACCCCTTTACGTGCCAGAATGAAGATCCATGCCACTTCAATGCTGCACAGGTGCAGTCATGACTCTTCAAAGAGTCACATCTTCTGGGTCATGCAGCTCAGAAGATCTGAAGTTTCTCAAACATCACTGGCCAAGACTGACTGTAGATCAGGCATATGATACTTGAAGGTGATTATAAGGAGACTACCACAAGAAATCTGGCAAATACATGCATGGGAGGAAGAAAATTAATGCAGGAACCTTCATCTTGTGTAGTGAAAAGTGCAAGCGTCTGATAAGCTACTCCCTCCTCTTCTTGACAGAGAACAGATGAGGACCATCTTATTACAGCTGTGAAGTTGTTTTGGACCCGCAAGTGTTTCCCATAAAATGGTGATCCTTCTTCTGTGGGTCACATCTTCAGTCTGGTACGGTCAGACCCATGACACTTTAAAGTGGCATGTCTTTTGTACAGCACCTAACACAACCCTCCTTGTACTTGAAATCCGGCAATACTTCATCCATCACTCATACCATGACCGGCATTCACTTTGTCTCCAGCACCAATTTTGAACAGAACTTTGAGTCCTGGCCACATGATCAAAGGTCTGCCCACTCAGTCTCTGATGAGGAGTATGTCACGACTCTACCAAGTCGTGCCCCAACTCACCTGATTCAGGGACTGTCTGTCACGGCCGTCAAATAACTTCTCTCTAATGGACCGACGGTCGACGAACTTCGGCTAACTTGACACTACGGCTTTGTTGTCTCACCCAAACAAAAGGGCGCAGGCATCAAAAGGAATGTAACTACAGCGTGCTTTGGCGTAGTTACTCTAACTGGGGTTTTCTCTGATGGCGATGTATCTCAATTTTTATGTAGCTATCTCTATCAATCTTTCACTACTGACAACAATCAAGGATTGCTGAAGCTCTTCAGCGATCTTCTCAGCTAATATTATCTACTCCTCCTAGATGTTCATTCAACCCTCTCGCGCTTAGACATACTTCAACGCACTTTGTCCAACTTCCCCGAGTCCCCGGCCATTGCCCCCCCTCTTTGACTAACTCCGCCTAACATCACCGCACTTCTGCTCCCATTGTCCCTAGTTCACCTAACTCCGTCTAACTTCGCCTTACTTCTGCTCCCATTGTCCCTAGTCCACCTAACTCTGTCTAACTTTGCCGTACTCCTGCTCCCATTGTCCCTAGTCTACCAAACTCTGTCTAACTATGCCACACCCGTAAAGACAGAGACAGAGTCAGCTACCATTGTCTCCCAAGCTATCACCTTGTTCAAATGTAACAATATCAAACATCTCCTCCTCACCACCGACATCAACTTGACCTCGCTTGCTGCTCGTTCAAGTCAATGGATTCTTGACTCTGGGACAAGTTGTTAGCCCATGGAATTGGGCCAGGACGGCCGAACCGCTGTTAGAATTACCCCTTCTGTGGAATATTTCTCCGTTCAACTTATCCTCTGAACTTTATTTAATCGTCTCTGGTTTACTGCGTGTGAGTGGAATGTGATAAGTATAGAGACATGTAGAATTGATGCATGCTCTTTTCCCCCTCTGTATTATCATCTAATTATCAGCAAACACAAGTGAACACATGAGTGGGGCTATCAACCAAAGATCTCAAATTGACCGAGTTGATTGCCCAAATCACAACTTCTGGAGGGAAAGCTCTTACAGCAAGCTTTTGCTCACAAAGTATCACTCAGTGAAGTTCTTGATGTACCTGACCTGGGATTTGACCTCATCTCAGTATCTTGACTTGACTCGCTCAGAGCAACAGTGGTCTTTGGTGGCAGGAAGTGCTCTGTCATGAAAGGTGAGCTCAAGGTACTTTGAGCGCACAAAAAGGATAAGGTGTATGTGGTGAAAGCTGGAGAATGGTGTGATTGAACAACCAATCTGAAGGACATGGATCGGATCTTACCCACCTTGTTCAAACCCACTACTCTTGCCATGGCAACCAACAACATCAAACCCAGTAATACTCAAACAACCTGGGACCTCTGGCACCAACACCTTGGTTATTTATCCTCCAGTGCCATGAAATCACTCTTTGGTCGAATGACCAATGGAACTGCCCTCGCTCGCTTGACAGCTCCTAAAACTGTCTGTGAACGTTGTGTCATGGGAAAGATTGTGCGCCCTTCTTTTCCACCAAGTGAATCATGAGCTGAAGCCATCCTAGACCTTGTTTACACCAACCTCTGTGGACCAATGGGAGCTGGTTTGGATGGAGGAGCACAGTATATGATGGTGCTGGTGGATGATCATTCCAGATAAATCCCTGGGAACTTTGGCCCTTAAGTACTTTGTCCCTCCCTAACTTCACCTCCGCAGAACTTTGTTCACCCCAAGTCCTCAAGCTTTGTACCTTGCAAACTTTGTCCCCAATAAAGTTCGTTCCTCACCAGCTTTGTAACTAACTAACTTTCTAGCATTGTAACTTTGTACCTCCCTAACTTCATGTCTCACAACCTTCCTACCTATTATGGGGTAACAACAACTCGATGCAGATCCATCAAACTCGACGGATTAGGATAGAGAAAGGCCGGATTTGGAGGCAGTGCTGCAATTAGGTAGGGACGGGTTTTCCCTTTTCGAAATTTCCCCACTGGGTTTGCTCAAAAGCGGTTTTGCACCTGTCCAAGTATGTACATAGACGCTTGCAGTAGGACCGGGAGGAAGACACAGATCCTGTCACAAGTTGTCGTGACATGAGGAAGGATATGTTATTACCTACTTAAGTTTAGTCACGGTTTAGGATGGATTGGGTATTTAACCAGTGACCGGCAATTGTAGATATCGCCGGTTGATAGGCCTTTTTGTCGCAGTGGTCAGTATCACTGTTCCGTTGGGCACTGTTATACAGCCAGATGCTGGTTAGTCATATTTTGTGACTGATCCCTGTAGATAGTATACAGTACAATCAGCAAAGTACCAACTTTGCTGATCTTTCAATATCATTCTTTGGCTACATCAATTGCAGAGGAGACACAATCCATCACATAGCACCAGCGACACATAGATTTCCACGAGAGTTCCATCAAGTTCAACCCAACCTGCGACATAGTCATTGTGTTTCCACTAGTGTTACACTACCCAACTAATTTTGTGGTCAACAAAGTTAGCCTCCTAATACCCTTGTGGGTGGTGAATGTAATGATCCTGCTTGTGAGGATCACCACAAATAAATAAATGTAACCTACCCGTAGGGCTGGGTACTGAACAGGAACTCTGTGATGTGGGTAATACTAGTCAGCAATGATCAAAGGTCAGTAGGTGTAAGGAAAGAGTGTGTCAAGGAAACCAAAGAGGGTCTGAGAGAGGATGGAGGAAAATGTGAGAAGGAGGAAGAAGAAGAAGAAGTGAGAATGAAGAAGAGAATGGGGAATCTCTCTCTCAGGCCCTGCTTATATGCATATCAGTGTGTCTCAAACTCGATACGAGGCCAAATCGTCCTCGATTCGAGTAAAGGAGAAACTATGTAAGAGAAGGAGGAAAAACTACGTATGAGAACGGAAAGACTATGTATGAGAACGGAAAAACTATGTATGAGAACGGAGAATGTATCCACGAATACGTGGTCCAAGTATGAAGGAGAACAAAGGAAATAGTGAAGCACATATTGTGGTCTACAAAACATATGTGTGTATCATGAGTGAGAAACGGTAATGGACAGGATGAAAGGATAAGAGGAGAGGAAGGAGGAGACAGCAGAAGATGATATAAGACAATATGAGTTGGGGGAATGGATCAAGGAAGAAGGAAGAGGTATGGAAGGAGAGCTATTATACTCTCTTATGTAGGGGAGGCCTGATCCACTACAGTGAAGTTCATGAAGGTAGGATCATTGATGGTGAACTGGTGTCCAAAGGAGCCTTGTTTGTGGGTTAAAGAAGATGAGGTCACATGGCGCCGCGTGACTGTCATGAATGACACTATCAAATAATGACTTGTCATAATCACAAGTTCAAACCTCCACTCTCATATCTTCCTCTGCTCTCAAGCCTATCAGGCATAATCTCCAAGACTATCTTTCCTGTGCTCTAATGCCTGACAGGCATAAGCCCCAAGTACTTCTCTAGTTTCTCTTTCCTCTATTCTGATGCCTTGTAAGGCATAATCTCTGAGTCTCTTGTTCTCGCAGCTCTTCTATGTTCTGCATAGTTCCTCATAGTTCCTCATCGACCACCTTCGACAAAGTCACCGACTTCCGGCGCATCACGTAGGATATCATAGTAGGACAAAGGTAAATGCAGATATGGCACCGTAGGATATCAGTGGTAATCGGTGGGATGCATGGCAATGCATGCAGGACAATGCAGGACGATTCAGAGCGCTCGTATTCCGCAGGTCTGCACGAGCCTCTTGGAAAAGGCTGATTTTAGTATTTAAACCCTATCTAGTACTGTAGTTTCTTCTTCAGCAATGTATCTTTTCAATTCCCTTCCCCTCGTTTGATAAGTCACTCAGTTGGTTCTAACCCAACCTCTCGAACCCTCAGTACCTAAGGCAGTCACCAAGGTCCACGAACCCCTCAGTTCCCAAGGCAGTCCTTTGCTACCGCAGTCTACCCGCAGGCGTGACAGTGACAGTCGCCTCATCCTTGACTGTGAACGTCCTTGTCAGCAAACATCATCATCACCAAGAACAAAATAACTCAGCAGGAAGTTTGAGTGTCACTCTCTCCTGAAGACAAACTCCCTGACCCGGATACTGTCATTGTCACGGTCATCGTTTCTTCTCCTCTACTGACCGACGGTCGACAAACCTCAGCTAACTACGTCGTAGTGGGGCATCGATGCCTCACTAGGACAGGGTACTCGTCGGGGAACTACGGCTAACTTCGCCGTAGTAATACATCGAGTGGTAACGATCAGATGATCGTCGATGAACTGCGGCTAACTTCGCCGTAGTGGGTTGAACTGCTCGGTGGTAGCTCACCCTAACTCGATGGTTGTAGCTACTGAATATATCTCTTGCTACTGACAACAATCAAGGATTGCCGAAGAAGTTCAGCGATCCGTAAACTATCTATACTTCTCCTCTCTTCTAAATAGAACATCCCTCCACTCCTGCACAGCCTTGCGCTCAGTCCTCTTCGCTCAACTTCACCGTACCTCGCCATATCCCTGATATCCTACTCCGCTCACTTCGACTAACTTTGCCTAACTTCCCCTGCTCTGCTCTCCCTCAGTTCCCCTCTTCTAACTTCGCCGTAGTTCTCCGCTAGTCGGGGTTATCGTGACAAATACCCCTCTAGGATCTCGTATCTTCGCCGTAGTCGGTCTCAGTGGTTCGGGCGGTGGTTGGTGATGGTGAAAGGAGGGTCGGTGATGGTGGTTGTCAGGGATGTTACGACGTGGTTCGTGACAGTCGCCCCCTCCTTAGGCGCGAACATCCTCGTGAGCTTTGTATGCATGTAATGAACAAAAGACACTCAGCGGGTTGTAGGAAAGCCATCGTTCATATACCAGCTGTTGGTAGGTGGTACCGTTGTTTGTGGGTAATGAGACAGCTAACTTTGTCAAAGTTCATTGCGGTTGTTTGTTGTTACCCGTGATGATTACGTTGCAAGTGAGACAGAGGATTTGGGGTACAACAAACCTCATCGAAGTTTGTCAGCGTATCCCTAACTTACATGAAATATGAGACACGTAGCGTGGGAATTTTGATTGTCGCCATGGTGTTTGTTGTTGCTGAGACACCTTGTTATGTGAAGTTACCAGCGCCCTGACAACAAGTAGCCGTGTTAGTTATACTAAATACTCAGTACTTCGGCCCACTTCCTCTTCTTCCCCAGTACTATTCCTAAATTGCACTATCATCGTTCATCGATTCTCAGTCTTTTTCTTACCAGACATATCTATTTGATATATTTTTAACAATATGACCTCTCGCTCAGAACTCGACGCCTACCGATCTTTGGCAGATCGTTTCACCGCTGCCCGTAAGCCTACTCGTGCTGGTTGTAAGTTAGATTGTTGCTGATTCTCTCAGTCTCCCAGCAGGGAAACTCTCCCCGCCAGGTGTTGTCCATGGGCTTCGGGGCCCTCGCCATCACCGACGGTTCACCTTCCGTCGCGGCTCCTGTCGTGGCCCCTCCTGCCGCCGCAGCTTCTGTTGTGGTTCCTCCTATCGCCGTATCTCCCGTCGCGGCTCTGACCCCTCTCTCTACTGGCCAACAGGATGTCAGACCTGCTCCTGTTGGCCTTCCGCAAACTCCGGGTCACTCTGCCACTGTGGTGGAGATTGATGATGACGATGAGGAGATGGGTGGTGACGATCGTGACAAAGAGATGGATGATGTTGTTGGTGATTAGGAATCGGGTGGGGTAGACGATGTTGAAGAGATGGGTGATGTAGATGAGGAAACGTATGATATTGATCTTGGTGACAAGGAGTTGTTTGAGGACAGAGATGGTTGGGTGGCCGAGTTAAACACATTGAGTCGTACGATCACTGTTGCATAACCTGTTCATGAGTGCTAAAATGTACAGCTGTTTGTGAAGTCGAGGGGTCCCAAGTTGGACGAGGTGAAGTCCGAGAAACGTCGCTGGTCGTCCCCCACCCAGGGCGAAGTTCGCCCTCCGTCGGCGAAACAGGCCAAAGATACTCGTAGTCGGTCTCCGTCTGTCCTGGACGAAGTGTCTCCCTCTCCTGCTAAGGAACCAGGGAGTGCTCGTAAAGCGTTGATGCGGGAGCAGGAAAGGCTATGGAAGTTGTTCAGCAACAAAAGGGAACGATGGGAGGTTGCCAGTGTAGATGAGTCCTGTGATAGATGTTGGTAGGTTTTGCTCCATAAAGGTTTAAACATCTGCTGATCAATAGCCACAAAATTATTACGTATGGGAGGACAAGGTGGCTGTGTCTGCCACCGGTCAAACCCCATAATTGTGGATCCCGTTGTGCTTCTTGCACTTCTGGGCCCTGCTCGTGCTGTCCCCCCAATACCGCTCGGGACATTCCCCCAAGATCTTCTGCCCCTCTCGGTCCTCCGTACACGCCGTCTACCGCCGTCCGTCACCGTCTCCCTACGGCCCAGGACAAGGAATTCCCTTCGCCCTCTCCTTCGGCGAACTTCTCCTCTCCCGGCCCTACTTCGCCGTCTCCCGCCGTCCGTTGCCCGCCTAACTCTCCTGTGGCCGGACCGTCTCGTCTTCCTGCTACTCCTTTGGCAGGTCTGTCTCGTTGTACCCCTCGTCGTGGTTCTTCCGCCGCCCTTCGGCCCTCTACTCCTGGGGCTGGCCCATCTTGTCTCCCGGCTACCCCTTCGGCCGCTTCGTCTCGTCCTACCAGGAGCCACCCTACTCCTGTCTCAACACAAGAGGACTCTTCTCTAACTCTTCCTCCTGCCCTCGGGACCCAAAGCCGTCAACCATCTGTCCCTCCTGCTACTGGGCTCTCAACTCCTGCCCCTCCTGTCCAAACTCCTCCTTCAAAATCTTCAAAAGGGAAAGGCAAGAAGAAGAAGGCCGTCCAATTCGAACCTGCAGTGGTGGAAAATGAAAGTACTCAGCTACCAGAGGAGATCCCTCCTCCCCTTGACCACCCCTACATTTTCCGCGACCCTCAAATCCCAGAGGAGGAGAAACAACTGGCTACCTTCCGTTCTCTCAGCATTGGATTGATCACGCAGTTACACGCCAATAGACAAGATACGGCAAAGCTTCTCGAATATTGCATGAAGCTGGTCTCTGGTATGAACACTCTGTCTCGGACAATGGCAACCCTTGTCAACTCCTCCGATATAGGGCCATTAGCGCAAACTGAGTTAGCTAGAGTCTCCGAGAGCTCATGATGGACATGAACAATTTCTCCCGCAATCTCTTTGATTCTCTCTTCCTCCTGAACCCCAGAGAGTACGCCCTTCCCCCCACACTTGACTGGTTAAGGCCACCCAACCCGGCTCGACTCAGTTCTCAGGATGGTGCTTTTCTCAATATCCTGGCTCTTCCCCTGGACTGTCTCAGAACACTTCGACAGTTATGGAAGCTGCCTAGCCTGGATATCGCTCGTGACTCCGCTCTCCATAATCCTCACATTCTGGCCTCCAACACGGCATGGAGAGAGACTCGGTCCCTTCGACGGGTGGCGCTACCGAAGGTTACTGAGAGTAGTTCCGGAGGTAGGCCTGCACCGGGGAGCAGGGAACAGGGAGGCAGTTCGCAGCAGTGAGTTGTACTTAGTTAAGTCTTTTACCACTATTGTAGCAGCAGGTACCTCGACTTCACTGGTCTTAATCTCTTCAGCCCACCGAGGGTGGTACCCATAGTTTGCATAGAATGGAGTCTTGTTTATCGCGGAATGACGGGTATTGTTATAAGCAAAGCTGGCTCGAGCGAGTAGTTTTGACCAGTCATTCTGCTGATAGGAAGTGAAGATTCAAAGGTATAATTCCAGAGACTGATTGGTTTGTTCGGTCTGTCCATCAGTCTGTGGATGATACGCAGTAGAGAGATGTAGTCTTACACTGAGACTATTGGTTATGTTCTTCCAAAATGTCACGAACTACATTGTGACACCTCAAATATCCCACCAGCCATGGCCCTCCTTTGACCATCAAAACCCCTATCACGGCCTAACCTCTCCACCCTACACGTAACTTGGGACATCTGAGACCAAGTAGGGCGAAGTGAGACGGAGTTAGGTGAACTAGGGACAATGGGACGAGAAGTACGGTGAAGTTAGACGGGGTTAGGTGAACTAGGGACAATGGGAGCAGAAGTACGGCGAAGATAGACGGGGTTAGGTGAACTAGGGACAATGGGAGCAGAAGTACGGCGAAGATAGACGGAGTTAGGTGAGCTAGGGACAATGGGAGCAGAAGTGCGGCAAAGTTAGACGGAGTTAGTCAAAGGGAGGAGAAGGACGGCCGGGGACTCGGGGAAGTTGAATGAAGTGCGTTGAAGTACGTCTAAGCGCGAGAGGGTTGGGTGAACATCTAGGAGGAGTAGATAATATTAGCTGAGGAGATCGCTGAAGCTTTCAGCGATCCTTGATTTTTGTCAGTAGTGAAGGATAGATAGAGATAGCTACATTCAAATCGAGATACATTGCCATCAGTGAAAACCTTAGTTAGAGTGACTACGCCGAAGTACGTCGTAGTTACACTCCTTTTGACGTCTGCGCCCTTCTGTTTGGGTGAGACATCAACTCTGAAGTGTCATGTTAGCCGAGGTTTGTGAACCATCGGTTCGTTAGAGAGAAGTTATTTGACGGCCGTGACATTGTCACACTGTACCACAGGTCACAGGCCATGTTTGTGCCATATTCACAATGTAAAGTAGTATCCATCCTTGAAGCTACAAAAGTTTTGGGTGCTGGTCTGATTGAGCAGAATACATGTAACGGTACTGGAAACACGAAGACTAAGTTGCAGGTTGGGTCGAACTCGATGCAAGTCTTGTGGAAATCTAGGTGTCTCTGGTGCTATGTGAGTAATCGTGTTTCCTCTGCAATCAAAGTAGCCAAAGAATGATATTGAAGAATCAGCAAAGTTGGTACTTTGCTGATCGTACTATATACTGTCTACAGGTATTTGTGTCTCCCTCCTTCCCTGCTGCAAGTGTCTATGTACATACTCGGACAGGTGAAAAACCGCTTTGAGCAAACCCAGTGGGGAAGTCTCAAAAGGGAAAAACCCGTCCCTACCTAATTGTAGCACTGCCTCCTTTTCTTGATCTTCCCTATCCTAATCCATCGTACTCAATGGAGTTCGCTCGATTCATTGTTACCCCGTAACAATAAGCTTAGGTAAACGGTTCCTGTATAGTCTCCAAGGTGCAAATGGTGTCAGTGACACGCCTTTTTGGTTTCTTGGTACTGGGCTGCCTCAACTGCTCACTGTACAGTCGGGTGTAAAAGGTCATGCAACGGCGCGGCTGATTTTCGGTCCGTGCTACACATTTGATATATGCCGTGTAAGTTCAGACCATCATTTCTCATGCATACGGGTAGCTATGAACCTGTAAATTTGTCAGCATATGCATAGAAGCATGGAGAACGTGACTCACTAGTTTCAAGATGCATAGCTCAAAACCTCGTGCTCCAACCCTGACCCTTCTCAACTGCCTTCCTTCTCCTCTCCATACTGTCAATTGTGGCATCAATCTTGGATTGCGGTATGGCTTTCCACAATTGATTTGCGAGTTCAAAAAGCTGATCAATGTTGGTAGGACGTTCAGGTAGTCTAGCCAGATCGTATTTAACCATTGCCCAACAGTTTTCAATTGGGTTGAGGTCTGGAGAAGAAGGAGGATGTTTTATAAACTTGAATTTATGTCTCTTGCAGAAATCTCGAATACTTGGCGTCCAATGAAGTGGTACATTGTCCTGAAGAATTGCAGGCTCCCCCCAACCCTTCCATATCCTTGTGACTTTCTTGGACGCTTCATAGAGAGGTTTTTTGACGATTTGTTCAAGGTAGATTGCCCCATTTACACCTCCAGCTGCTGATGTACTCTTTGTGGTATCAAAACGGACCAGCTCCGACCTCCCTCCATGCCATATTGCCCCCCAAACCATCACTCCAGCTCCTTTCTTGACTGTGGGGATCATACACTGCTTATTATACGCTTCTCCATCCTTCCTGGTCACCCATTCAATTGTGGAACCACCTATCCACATCTTTGCTTCATCGGTATAAATCCCTGTCCTCCAGTGAAATCTTTGTATTGTTTGGCCCATTCTCTATGTTCTTTGCGATGCTGAGCAGTAAGGAGAGGTTTTGTACGAGCTACACGACGTTTCAGACCCATTTGACGCATGGTGGATCGAAGAAGAGAGCAGGAGATGTGGATCCCTTCCTTTTTGAGAAGAGAAAGTACTTGTTTGAGACTTTGACGGCGACTTTTCAATAACGCATGTTTTATTCTTGTTCTTTCGCAATCAGAAAGCTTCTTTGGACGTCCAGGTTGGGTTTTGGTCTTGGTATGACCACGTAGATTCAGGCGTTGGCATATACGAGTGACGGTACTAGGGCTGCAGCCAAAACGAGCAGCGGCAGTGGTGGGAGTGGAGTGAAGGGCTGCTTCGGCTATTCTAGCCCTTTTTGTGGGGGAAATTGGGTACCCTACCATACTTTGTATTCCAAGAAAGGTCTGGACGAGATTTCAGAGCTCTAGCTTCAATGTTGACTGTTTACTGGCGGTTCAAACGCCGTGGGAATAGTGGTTGTGGCAGCGCACGTGTGCAGCGTTTGCATGACTTTTTACACCCGACTGTACATGCTCCATATGCCTGACAGCCTGTTTTGCACTTCTTGGAACTTAGTGTACACTCCTTGGACATCGCTCTCAGTACCCTCTGGAAGCATCACATCAGTTATTTTCTCTTCAAGGAGTTGCAAGGTTACCAGATCCTCCTTTATGGATTCCCCATCCACTAAGCCCTCTTTGAAGTGATCCAATGTTGACCTTGGTTTCTGTCTCGGTAAGCCCTTCAGCTGGGATCTAAGACTTTTTACCTTATCTTCCATTGCCTTTTTGTCCTGTACAAATCTCTCTTTTGTGAGATTGTCCCAGGCCGTAGGTAATTGCAGCAAGAACTGAATCTCATCATAATTGGAGAAGTATTGAGATAAATGTCCCTCCAGACTGCTCCATATTCTTCTCATCTGTGGCCCAACCAGGTGTCCACCTTAGTTATTCAAAATGGTGTTCACATTGTCAGCTGTCATTGCTCTCATCTCACTGATGATGGCTTCCCTTGTTGTCTTTGTTAGGGACCCAGCCGGAGATGGACCCCTCCGGAGCTGCACGGATCCGATCAGACCTGACCAGAGACATTCCACTCCGGAGTGGTCTGACTCCTTCAGCAGACCCTGCCAGAGGAAAACTAGGTTCCTAATGTGTTTATGAGGGAAGAATGGCTAGATGAAATTGTTTCCATATGCATCAAACAAGCACATCCATCTGCAGTGATTTTCCATGAGATTGACATGGTCGGTGAGCAATCCGTCAATCTTTAGCACCAATCATTAGCCCATGTTTTGCCGTGACAATACCAAACTTGAAGCAACTATTGAGATTGTCCTGCTTACACAATGCTCAGAGCCAACTAGGATAGACGACTGGGAGGTCTGGCTACTAAATTGTCATTAGGAAGAAGAGTACTTTGGGAAAACTAGGGTGAATAACTCAAGGGCATGTGGATTACACTCTGGGTGGGTCCGGACCCCTCCGGAGTGGCATGTTTCTCTGGCTGGGTCCCAAAGGGGTAGTTTGAACCATGCCACTCCGGAGTGGTCCGTCTCCGGCTGGGTCCTTAACATCTTCATCATGGAGCGCAACGGCCCATCGGCGTCCAGGGTCATATAAGTCTTGAGAAGCTGTTTTTGTTCAGAGGTGAAATTACCCACAATTGCGTGTAACAAGGAGAGTTCAAAGTAATATCCCTCACTGGTCCGCACTGAACGGAAGCAGGGACACACTTGAACCTTGGTAGTTAGGGTCACACGTTTTGGGTTAAAAATAATTTGTGTTTCTTCGTGGATCCAGGATATTTGTAGCTCGGCAGCAGTAAAATCATGATTGTTGTCGGAGCTTGCTAAGGGCCAGGTGGATGCATCAGCCGGAATCAATGACTCGGGGGTAGAGTAGTCCCTGTTGGATCTGGTCATCTTCTATGGTGGTGTATGATGATTTGTAGGAAGTGGTTGAATTGTGAGTGGCAAAGACCAGATTCTTGAGTAAACCGGTCAGTATTATATATCTTAAGTGATAGAGAGAAATTCCTCCTTGGAGTGTATAGCCCCACAGCTCTTCCCTTTGATTGAGGGCACTGCCATGATGAAGATACCGACGTCATCGGGTTTGCCTCATCATATCCCAGCGTCAATACTTAGTCCCTCGGCCTTCAGCAATCCGCCCCACCTCCTGGTGTGCTAAACAAAGTGTCTTCATGGTGATGATCCACTGAGCCTCCTCCATTCATTCTTGTATCTCGAGAGGCTGCGCAGCGTGAACCGTGTAGCGTGCTTTGCTCTCTCTGGTTGATAATCTCCCAATGTCCTTGTCTCACTCCCTCTCATTCCTTCTCCCCCTTCTCCCCCTTCTCCCCCTTCTCCCCCTTCTCCCCCTTCTCCCCCTTCTCCCCCTTCTCCCCCTTCTCCCCCTTCTCCCCCTTCTCCCTTGACTGACTCGGTCGGGGGCGAAGTTAGTCAGGTAGGAAGTTAGGATTGGACATGGTTAGGGAGGAGTGAAGTTGCGATACTAAGAAGTTAGTCAGAGACAAAGTCATTCAAGTACAAACCTCGTCCCCAACGAGGTCTGCCAGGAACGAAGCTTGGGGGGGCGGAGTGAATGTTAGGTCACGGACCAAAGCCGTGATGCTTCGAAGCTGCACGGCTCTCCGTGACGGAATGAAGACATGACACACAGAAGAAATCACCCTCACCACACATGCACATATTCTGATGTATTGCGCATTTGTCTGCACCACTTGTGTTAACTTTTCTTGCGATATTCTTCCTTATGGCTGAGGTCAGTCATAGCTCAGAAGACCTCAGAGTTGTACATGTCCTGGGCCAAAGACTGTCTCAGGACTGCTCAGAGAGCTCAGGGGAGACACAGGTGTTGGTGATGCAGGAGAGAGACAGAATTCTGGGCCTTTGGCACATACACGTTGACTCTGTAGTAAGGCTACACGGCTGTGGAAAGTAAGTAGTACTATCACGTGGTTTCCTGATACAAAGGCAGTAAACTCTGCCGGTAGTGGTACATAGCTAGATCAGTACCTGTTGTCTCTTCATCACTCATAGGAAAGTGCTGAATGAGCAACAGTCAAACCAATGATTCTGTCTTGGTGACATCTCTTGTTAAATTGATCCTCTGGCTTCAACAACCCATTCAGCATTGATCCAACCATGTCCAGCTTTGAGATAGAGACCAGGGTACGCCGGACCACAAAGCTGAGCGGTTCAGACAATTACACCGCCTGGAACCGATCGCTTCAAGCAGCACTGGCTGGCAAGAACCTCATTGAACATATCACTGAGAGTTTATTCACCATTCAGGCGTCTACTAGCCTTTGATACCCCCTCAGCAATCCTCCACCCACTTCAGAGCAGCAGAAGCTTCAAGCTGCGCTCTATTGAGACAAACAGAACCAAGGTACGACCTTTGGCATCATATACCACTCGCTTTCTGTCATGGCCGTCGAACAACTACTCTCTAATAGACCGACGGTCGACAGACCTCGGCTAACTTGATGCTTCGAAGTCGATGTCTCACCCAAGCAGGAGGGCGCAGACTTCAAAAGGAGTGTAACTACGGCTTACTTCGGCGTAGTTACTCTAACTAAGGTAGGGTTTTGTTTTAATGAAGGCGATGTATCTCGATTTTAATGTAGCTCTCTCTATCTTTCTTTCACTACTGACAACAATCAAGGATCGCTGAAGTTCTTCAGCAATCCTCTCAGCTAATATTATCTACTCCTCCTAGATGTTCATCCAACCCTCTTGCGCTTTGACGTACTTCAACACACTTCGTCCACCTTCCCCGAGTCCCCGGCTATCCTTCTCCTCCTTCGACTAGCTCCGCCTAACATTGCCGCACTTCTGCTTCAATTGTCCCTACTTAGCCTAACTCTGTCTAACTTCGCCGTACTTCTGCTTCCATTGTCCCTACTTAGCCTAACTCTGTCTGACTTCACCGTACTCCTACTCCCATTGTCCCTAGTCCCCCTAACTCCGCCTCACTTTGCCGCACTTTGCCGTCCTTATGCTCCGGACCCCGGTATACCTTATTCTCCCAATGTACTTTGCCGTAGTTGGTCTGAGATGTCCTGAGTTACATGTAGAGTGAAGAGGTTAAGACGTGATAGGGGTTTTGATGGTCAAAGGAGGGCCATGGCTGGTGGGATAATTGAGGTGTCACAATGTAGTTCGTGACACTTTCAACCCCTGTTCAGAACCGAATTCCTGACTCCCTTGTCCAGTGGCTCAAACCAGACCCGAACACGCTCTACAAATGGCTGCAGGCAACCTACAGTGCCAGCACCGCAGCGAGGCAGGCAGAGTGTTACGACCTGAGAGCTAGGCAGTGACCAAGACCTAACTTCAGAGGACAACGACAATGAAGGACGAAGTGATAGCGTAGGGTGGATTGGACGATGATGATGAAGAGCACCTCAGTGCTGAGGAAGGGTTGTATCAGAAGTCACTTAGACAAAGTGCGCAAGTGTAGCGAGCGCAAAGAGGATTGTGAAAAATGAGAAGTTTAGAAGTGTAACTTTTGAGAATTCATTGACAAGGAAGAGGGCTCGCGGAAGGGGTATTTATTTATACCCTTGCGCCTCTACCTTGCCTCCACTTTCTAAATGACTAGTGTTCAGGCTTAGCCTGACCTACGGTACATAATTCTAACCAATGTGTCCAATATGACCGATGTGTCCAAGTTGACCAATGTGTCCAAGTTCACCGATGTGTCCAAGTTCACCGATGTGTTCAGGTTCACCGATGTGTCCAAGTTCACCGATGTGTCCAAGTTCACCGATATGTCCAGCTATGATGTCATTACTGACAAAGATGACCAGTGTTTAGGCTTAGCCTAAACAGTGGTAAAACATTGATTAACCTAAGTTCCTATTTGCCACTCTAATGCCACATCATGTTCTAAAGTCCCTGATACTAATCCTAATAATGCCACATCATTGTGTATGATCTGCCTCTGTGTCATAACACAGAGCTATGGAGAGACACTTGGGGAACAAAGGTAGAGGAGAATGAGGATCGCCAGACCCGTCTGGGGGCTATCCGAGCCAAGCTGGGTGAAGTATCGGCTTCAGCTGCAGCCAGCAAGATGTCCTTAGGCAATTTCATTGACAATATGACCGCCTATGACATGCTTGCCTCCCTACCACCCTCCTACGGCATGCTTGCCTCCACCCTCCTCTCCACAACCACTTTGACCTCCATCACCTCAGACCAGGTCCTATTGGCTGCCAGACCCGAATACCAATGCAGGAACATGCAGGGAGAGGAGGTGAATGGACAAGGCTTCCTGGCAAGGAAGATCAAGAAGAAGACACCACCCAAGGGGCAGAATCAACAGCACAGAAGGCTGGGCAAGGACGGCAAGCCGCTGCTTGTGAGAGATGAGACCAAGTGGTGTGAAGAACACAAGCGGTATGGGCACAACCTCAGTGGCTGCTACCAACAAATGGAGCAGATGATAGTTGGAAAACAAAGCGATGGAGGGAGACCACCAAGCGGCAAGGTGGCAATGACAGCAGGAGAGGAGAAGGAGATCAATGAGGACGCTTACATTGCTCTTGCTTCCACCATTGCCTCTGGCAACCCCCACAAGATCACCATCAACTCAGCTGCCTCAGACCACTTCATATGCGACAAAACCCTGCTCCACAACCTCTCTCCTCTTGCCAGACCCCTCAACATCAAGGTTGGCAATGGCCAAACCATCACATCCACTGAGTCTGGCACGCTCTACATCGGTAAGGTTGCCTTTAGCAATGCCTACTATGTCCCCTTCAATGATCCACAATCTTCCGGTGGTTAAGCGACTTGGCAACACCTCTGATCATCATTGGACCTTCACCAACACCAAGGCTTGGACGTCCACTCGGGGCACTACCCTAGTCTCGTCGGGGCACTACCTGCCACAAACCCTGAGCTCAAGTTCATAGGCCCGGCGTTACTGAAACGCCGCGACCTCTGCTCACTCTTCTCTTACATCGTCAATGTCATTATTAGCTATACCATGTCATTTCCGGCCATTGTCCATGCATTTACCATATCTATCAATGTCCAGGAGGATAATATGAGCCATAGGGATGTCTAGAAGAGCCCTGGGAGGGATAGGGAGGCCAATATTGAGAGGATAGAGGAGGGAGAGTAGGTGGAAGAGGGGGGTGGTAGGTACCTCTTCTCAGGAGGATAAATGTTGAAAAATGGGGGTACCTGTTCATTAGAGACCCCCCATCGGATACAGCCAAAAATGCAGTATTAGAGACTCACATTCGGTTGATATTGGCCATTTCCTGGTGTCTTCTGGACCAATCAGCTTGCAGGAAACTTTTAGAAGTAAGAGACTAAGAGAAGAGTGAAAATTTTCGAGATCGTGAGGCCAATATAGACAGAGACAGAGCAATATAGCCAGGAATGACTGCAGGACAGTGAGGGGGAGAAGGAGGGAAGGAGAAATGTCATTATCATATGAGAAACCCACCAAATAACCTGTCCTAGTGATCATTTCTCCTGTCCTCACCATCCTGTCCTCTGTCCTCACCACTACAGGCTGATTTTCCTTCTCCCTTTTATCTCTGTCCTCCTGGATACTCTTAGCCAGGCCCAGAACCGTCTCCCGAAGACTCGCGATCTTCTTCTCAAGAGCAGAATTAGTTCCCATTACTGATCCCTCTGTCCAGGTCGTTTCTCCAGCCTTCCAAGCAGCCATTTCTCGATTATAACGATCATTATCCCTCTCCTGTATCTCACTACCTGTCTTACACTTCTTAGCTCCATGTGCTCTTGATCCACAGAAGGGACAGGGACGATTTGCCTTCTTCTTGGTACCTAGGAATTTCTCTGACTGAGTGTGTAATCGACCGGTATGAGAGACATCATTAGACAGTTGAGAAGGGTTCGATTTTACACCCCTTTTAGGAGAAGGAGGAAGAGTAGGAGAAGGAGGTAAAAAGTAGGGATTATCAGCAGGTAGATTGTCGTCTTCGATGGTGGTCAGATCGATCTGAGTGGTGGTGAGGTTCTTGAGGTTCTTCTTGGCTAATACCAACCGGTTTCTTCAAAGGTGGGGGTCACGAATCCTGTTGGTATCATTATCCACCTCCCACTCAGGTCCTAGTAGCTGATGAACTCCAGTAATATCTCCACTAACTTTTGCAGTGGCCTGTTCAATGGTGTTAGGCCAGGACATGGGGTTAAGGAGACGCCAATGACAATGGAGAGGAGCAAGAGCAATGCTACCATCTCTTTCAAGTACTTCTTTTATCTGCAGAGCAGAAGGGAGGCCCATCGATGTCGAATACAGGTGGCTTTCGTCATCATTTTCGACCTGGCCAGATATTGCTCTTTTATATTGCTTCTCCATGAGGAATACTGACCACTTTGAGACTCGATTTTTCACCAGGAGAAAGATGCTGACAAGATCGGGGTTCTGAAGAAGTCAATCAAGAGCCATTTGGTGTATTATCTCTTTACATTGATCGTCGAAGAAGTCATGAGCAATGCGTAGCAAGCCGTACAGGTTGCTATACGCATTTTTAAGACGACTCTTGAACGCTCGGTGGGTTCCTTCGAGTCGAGAGTTTGCTGTTTGACCAAGATGAGTATGTTTATCGATAAAAGCAGAGACGAAGTGTGTCTTGTGTTCATCCACCAATTGTCTCACATAAGCCCTCGCACCATCCAACTTCTCATGTCCCCACCAAGTCTGCATTGATGACAGAGCTTTCTCCAATGACTCTTCAGACTTTGCTTTACAGATATCCACCATGAAATGATTACCAAAATCAGATAACTTTGCCACCCAACCCTCTTTATAAAGTGACTGAAAATTTTTACGACAGTTCACCTTGATGTTTTCGCGAAGGTGCCACCGACAATAATTCAGGTGGACATGAGGTAGGTGGATAGACAGAGCGTTGTGTAAAGCGATTTCCCGATCACATACGATGACTTTGATATCATTGTTGATAGGACCAATGAGTTGGAGATAGGCTTCAATGGCCAGGGAGTACCATTCAGTCACTTCGCGGCTTAAGAAGGCGATTGCAGAGGTGTAGGTTTGATTCGTAGCAGTACATCCAGCAATGTGAAGCATTGGAAGACGATATCGATTGGTTCGGTAGGTGCAATCCATAAAAAGAACGGTTGGGTACGAATGAGTCATGGCTCTGGCTGACGGAGTGGTAAAGACGAGGCCACAGAGCTCTTTATTCGTGTTGGTGAACGCTTTAAAGAGATCCCCATTATCAGTTAGACGTCGAATGGCTGCTTCAGTGGCAGTGAGGCCTTGTCGAAGAAGTTTCTCATGACGATATCGAATATTTTGGACATCTTGACGTGTGAGGGCGACTTTTTCACCGAAACAATGCTGAACCGCAGAGACAATACCACGAAGGGTGTGTTCGCTCTCGAGAAGGTGTTTTATGAACTGAAGAACCTCAGGAGATCGACTAGAGTGACGAATAAACGAATAATGAAAAAGGGGGATAGGTTCATGGTTATGATGGTTTTCAATGATGTGAGGGATCCAGAGGGGCTGACGATCTTGAGCTTGAGCTATTTTCTTTGTCTCTCTTCGCCAGATGATAGAGAACGGGCAGTTGCCTTGCTTGGTGGTTCGAGGTCGCTTTCTAACATCCTCATAGTCGTCAGTTCGATGTGAACGACCATCCCCCCCGTGAGCACATTGAAGCTCCAGTTTTCCCTTCTGCTCCACACTGTGTTTGGTGACAATGCAGACAGTATGCGTGATAGCGACGTCTTGAGTATGAAGTCGAGCAGCTGCCATGGTAGGTTGAGGTTCGAGATCGAAGGGAGGGTGGATGTGATGAGCCAAAGGATCAAATCCTGGTTCTTCGCGAGGGATAAGACCGAGGTTTTCAAGCAAGTTTTCAAGGTCGTCATCATCATTGTGGTCATTAGGACGATGTTGCTGAGTCTCTGGTACGATAGAAGGAGACCGAGAGTGTCGAGGACTGAGTTTAATAGAAGGGGACCGAGAAAAACGATCCAGAATTGGTGATGACGGTGGCGACGATTGTATAAGAATCGGTGATGACATCTAACTCGTCAGAATGACCACTTCATGCAGTAAAAATGGTACTCACTCATAGCCCAAGACCAGCAGAATACATGTCGACAAATTAGAACCCCGGGGGTGGTGTTGTTGAAGAGTAAAAAGTTTTTTTGGCCGGGATGTCGGTGGCAAAAATGATGATGATGACGAGAACCTATGAAAATCAGATTTTTACATTTCTCAATGAGAAGAGTACTCACAGACTTGCAGAGGCCAGGAGAAGAGAGTCGAGTAGTTTAGAAAGGCTGAAGATGTGTTGTTGAACAGCAAAAAAAGTTTTTCTTGACAGGAGTTCAGTGGCCAGGATTTTGAGGTTGAGGAGGCCTATTGAAGTCAGCATTTCACTTCTGATAATAAAACAACTACTCACAGCTCAGGAAGGACCAGGGATCAGTGTCGCTGCATATGTGTTATCGCAGGAAAAAGAATTTTTCGAGAGGAGTTCGGTGGCGAGGATTTTGATGTTGAGAAAACCTATTGAAGTCAGCCTTTCACTTCTGATGATAAAACAAGTACTCACAGCTCAGGACGAACAGGAGAACAGTGTCGAGTTACTGACAAAGGCCAAAAATGTGTTGTTGAAGAGTTAAAAAAAATATCTCAAGAGGGGTTTGTGTTACGGAGTAACAACGAATCGAGAGGACTCTATCGAGTTCGACGGATTAGGACAGAGAAGAGCGGGAGTTGGAGGCAGTGCTGCAGTAGGTAGGGACGGGTTTTCCCCTTTCGAGATTTTCCCACTGGGTTTGCTCAAAGCGGTTTTTCACCTGTCCGAGTATGTACGTAGACGCTTGCAGCAGGAAGGAGACGAGGACAAGGATAGCCGTAGACAGTATATAGTACAATCAGCAAAGTACCAACTTTGCTGATTCTTCAATATCATTCTTTGGCTACATCGATTGCAGAGGAGACACGATCCATTAGCACCAGAGCCCCTAGATTTCCACGAGACATCCATCGAGTTCGACCCAACCTGCGACCTAGTCGTCGTGTTTCCAGTACCGTTACAGTTTGGTGGCGAAAATGATGATGACGAGAGGGCCTATTGAGGTCAGATTTTCACTTCTGATGATGAAACAAGTACTCACGGACTCGCAGAGAGCAGTAGAACAGCGTCGAGAAGACGAGAGAATACCACAATTGCTCGGTCAGAAGTTATAGCAATTTGATGGGTGGTAGTCAGGGAGGGCGCAGTTGAAGAAGCGAAGGGCCAGAAGTGGGTGAAAAATAGTTGTAAAAGAGTGGGAAGAGTATCAAAATGATCCTTGAGACGAGTAGAGACTGTGTGTGTGAAAAAGAGCGTGAGTTTACTAATAAAATGACAATGAAGAGATTAGTGGTGGTGAGGACAGGTTGGTAGGTAGCGAGCAGACATGTCGCGTCGTTGGTGGAGTTCGGCGTTACTGAAACCCCGATCAGTGGCGAGTTCATGTCCGTCGCGTGTTCGGCGTTTCAGTAACGCCGGGCCTATGAACTTGAGCTCAGGGTTTGTGGCAGGTAGTGCCCCGATGTCAAGGATACTGCCCACCCTGGGACAGAGGACAAAGGACAAGGGGACAAGGACTAGGAGTGACAAGGAATATACTTAAGATAACAAGACTGAGTCCAACAAGGAATGGGACTGTGACCCAAGGAATGTCTCTGGCTTGTCTTACAAGGTTAGAGGGAACTGGACTGGACTGGACTCCAAAAGGGTGGCAATGGAAATGACTTTTGATCAAGAACTAAAGAAGACTACAAAGTACAAGATAGGGTTTATATAGACAAATCAACCTTTTCCAAGAGGCTCGTGCAGACCTGCGGAATACGAGCGCTCTGAACCGTCCTGCACTGTCCTGCATGCATTGCCTTGCATCCCACCGATAACCACTGATATCCTACGATGCCATATCTGCGTTTACCTACGTCCTACTATGACATCCTACGGGATGCGCCGGAAGTCGCTCGACTTTGTCGAAGGTGGTCGATGAGGAACTATGAAGGACTATGCAGAACATAGAAGTGCTGCGAGAACAAGAGACTGAGATATTATGCCTTAGCAGGCATTAGAACAGAAGAACTAGAGACTAGAGAATTACTGGGGACTTATGTCTTGCAGGCATGGGAGCTAAGCACCGACATACTAGAATGATACTTGGAGTTTATGCCTGATAGGCATGAGAGCAGAGGTGAAATGTTAAAACACGGAAGTGGAGGTTGAACTTGTTTTGCGCAACAAGGAACACGTGATGGTGTGATTCATGACACCCGACGAGACTAGGGTAGTGCCCCGAGTGGACGTCAAGGCTTGGCTCAGCGACAAGTCTGGGCGCCATCTGATTGAGGGGGAGCTCACCAATGGCCTCAAGGTGGTACGTTCCCATCGTATTGCTGTCACGAACTATGTTGTGACACCTCGATTATTCCACCAACAATGACCCTTCTTGGACCATCAAAACCCCCATCACGCCTTAACCTCTTTACTCTACACGTAACTCAGGACATCTGAGGAGAAGTACGGCGAAGTTAGACGGAGTTAGGCTAGGTAGGGACAAAGGGAGCAGAAGTGCGGCGATGTTAGGGGGGAAGTTGGACGAAGTGCGTTGAAGTACGTCAAAGCGTGAGAGGGTTGGATGAACGTCTAGGAGGAATAGATAATATTAGCTGAGAGAATCGCTGAAGTTCTTCAGCGATCCTTGATTGTTGTCAGTAGTGAAAGACAGATAGAGATAGCTATTTACAAATCGAGATACATCGCCATCAGTAGAACAAAACCCCAGTTAGAGTAAATACGCCGAAGTACGCCGTAGTTACACCCCTTTGGACGTCTGCGCCCTCCCGGTTGGGTGAGACATCGATTTAGAAGGACCAAGTTAGCCGAGGTTCGTCGACCGTCGGTCTGTTAGAAAGTAGTTGTTCGACGGGTGTGACAGTTGACTAGGTCGCAGATTGGGTCGAACTCGATGGAAGTCTCGTGGAAGTCTGTGTGTCTCTGGTGCTATGTGATGGATCGTGTCTCCTCTGCAATCGATGTAGCCAAAGAATGATATTGAAGAATCAGCAAAGTTGGTACTTTGCTGATTGTACTATATACTGTCTATGGATATCCTCGTCCTTGTCCTCTTCCTGCTGCAAGCGTCTACGTACATACTCGGACAGGTGAAAAACCGCTTTGAGCAAACCCAGTGGGGAAATCTCGAAAGGGGAAAACCCGTCCCTACCTACTGCAGCACTGCCTCCAACTCCCGCTTTCCTCTGTCCTAATCCGTCAAACTCGATAGAGTCCTCCCGATTCGTTGTTACCCCGTAACACAACCACCTACTAGCACCAGACCACTTTTTCAGAAAGAGGTGCAGGTCCCAACTCACAAGACTGGTCACAAATCCCCCAAGAAGACCATATGGCCTTCATCTGCAACTGTTGGAGTATCACCAACACTGTCAAGCAGACGTAAGCCTGAGGGCCAACTCATACTAGTAGTAAGCTTGTTGATGGTGGTAACCTATGACACATCAGGCACTCCTGACCTCTCCCCATGGAAAATTGTCAGAGCTGTGTCGGGGAATGACTCTTTCCCCCTTGGTGAGACACAAGAGCTCTGCAGCCGTTTGGAACAGACATACAACCAACAGTGGACCATGAACTACAGCAAATATGACAATGTCACAAGGGCTGTGAAGGCTTTGCTGGATAGTATGAAGGACCACCGTGCCTGGTACACCTGGGGGGTTGGGAGTGAAAAGGAAGCCACCACAGTGACAGATAGCACACAATTGAGATGGAGCAATCTACAGGCGGCTATGCGAAGGAAATTACACAGAAAATCTGATGTCTTCAACTATGGGGATGTGGTAGACTCACTATACCCGTCCACCTCGGAATTTGAACCTGACCTTCAATGGGATCTCAACCTGGCCGTGGACGTGATACGCCGAGACGGTATCACGGTAACGGTCGCACAAGTGTGACTAGCCTTGCCACTAGTGAGAGAGTTGGAGTCATGTAGAGGATCAGATGGCGAGAGTAAACAAGGAATCTTGACGAGTGGGAAGCATGCATGATTGTTTGATGAACGATGTTGTGTTTCCGGGTAATGGGGATCAGACCGTGCGTATGACGGTCGGAGAACGGTGAAAGTGCCACATTGCAAAGACCGCCACATCTAGCACAGGCACCACGTGGGTATTCCGGAGTTGCTCACGTGATATACCTTTTTGTTGTTCAGGGACAAAACACTCTTGTTCGACTATCAAACAGCTTTCTCCCGTCTGCCACCACCACTCCCCTCGTTACGAGTACCATGCCCGCGACGCCATTGTTCGGGCCCGCCCAGCGTGGAAACCGGAACAGTGGTCGGTGATCGGTGATTGATCGGTCAGACTGGGTGGGGGAAGGGGGAAGGGCACGAGAGGTAAGCTGCTTCGGGGTGGACATCCGATCTGATGATGGATGAGTGATACAAAGAGACACACACACACCCACTACTACTGTCTCTCTCTTCCATCAAATACCTCGTCATCTGATTCAATTCCTGACTCTCCTCTTTTCAGCCATGATTCATTCCCGATCTAACTCACACCCACACAAAACCGCCCTTCCCCATGCATCGTCCGCGTGGTCGGCCTCAAGGGCTTCCCTCTTCCCTTCCCCCTATCCCCACTCCTTTTGTCCTCGTATACACATCCAATGTCTATTGTTCTTTCAACCAAAGTACATCTTATCCCTCTTAAAACCACAGTTGACTCACTTCTTACTTTAACCCCTGTTCCTCGACGCACACACCACATCCCCTTCCTTCTCACTCATACGTCAACTTCACTACTCCTCTCCTCTTCCCCCCATCACCCCGTTCACCTAAACCTACCCCCGTCCGTGTCTTCGTGTGTCATACACAACACTCATCTTATACCTCCTTGACGTTTTCCACACCTCACCATCTTAGCTTTTCCTCCCCAGTCTACGCGGCTCTGTCAACAGCGCGCCGATCCATCCCTTTAAAGCCTGACTTGAACGGCCCACCATGACTTTTTATAATCCTCATCTAACCACGCGGAGACAACGTTCCATCTCACCAATTGCTTCTGGTGTCATTCTATCCCCACCTCCTTACTCTCCTTCTCTTCACCCACTCAAGACTCGTGAGAGGATACATAGAAGACGCTCATCTATCACTGACTCTCTTCCCGAATCTTCAAGAAACTCAAAGGCAGTCTCAACCTTTACCGTCAGGTCTGAAGGCTTCAACGGTATCTCGAGAAGGCCAGCACCACGGCTAAGGAACCTTTCCACCTTCAAAGGCGACAGGACAAAGGAACACCTCATCCCGACTGACCAAACCTCGTCGGGTCTCCCCTCTCCCTCGACGTCTTCCTCATTCTCTCTCTCTTCTTCCTCCTTCCTGTCTTCTCCTCACTTTGTCGATTCACACCTCCCCGAGGAATCTGCTTCTTCACCTTCGTATATCATCACAAGTCCGGTGGTACGGTTCGACGTTGGCCAAGAAACTGACGATCTCTACCAACACACAATGTCATTCTTCCAGGGCACTCCAAACTTCCTTTCTTCAAAACTCGAGGTGCAGTTTGACCATGATGGAGCGGTGGACATGCTGGGGAACCCCAACACTGGGTGAGTATTCTTTGCTCCCTCTCACGAATATCTCATTTTCTGTATACTGGGCTGACGGGAACAGTACAAGTTATTCATTACCCGGAAACGTACTCCTTTCTCTTCCCTCTCTGCCGGTGGGACTCGAAGGTCGTGTGCGTGAGGTCAGAGAGATGAAGCTCTTACTGGAAGGGAAGAGCGAGTATCATGATGAGTCTGGTGAGTACTGTCTCATTTCGCATCTTCGCACGACTTTTGCGATCACTCACCTCTCCCCACTTCCACCCCTGAGCCCTAGGCCTGTTTCCGTGAAAGTCTTTCATGTGATTGCCACTCTGACCCCCCTTTCGGTCCTCCAGCTTCTCATAGCCCTGGCCTTCTCGTGATTTACCCGTCTCCGTGACATGTCTGTATTCCGCAGATCCCTGATCTTCTCTTTCCTAGCATCGCCTTCCGATGACTGTGTGTGTGCTAACCGATCAGGTCGCTACACGCCACTTCGTTTATGGTCCACAACCGTTGATCTCGCCACTCCTTCCGAACCCCTTGTTCTACCTTCTCAAGACTATGCACGCCCTCATCTCGCTCGCTTCCAAGTCGCTATCCCCTTTGATCTACGTCTTCCCGGGTGGCTTCCTCCAACGCATTCCTCAGCCAACACAGTCACCTCTTATGGCGTCCAAGTACAATGCACCATTGGCTGGGTCGATCTTTCTTCACCCCTTTCAATCCCTATGACACGTTCCGCCGCTCTGTCTCATTCTTCCCTTTCCACGAACAGTTCCATTGAGATCAAGCCAACACCCGCAATTCGAACAAGAAGACTTGATTCCCTGTTCTCCCACTCATCTCTCCAACTCTCCTCGATACACAAATCTCAAAGCAAATTCGCTCCTATCACAGTACGCCGACACCGACTACCTTCTGCTGTCAGAGGACATGTATATGTACCTGGAGAACGACACTACACTATCAAACCTAACGAAAGTACCTGTCCAGTAGAATGTGTCGTCACTGTACCGGAATGGGTCGACGTACATGGTGATGAAAGAAGTATCAAGATCTCCCTTCGAGTCAGAGCTCGTCGTGACGCTATTTTACAAGGCGACGCCTCCATGGACATTGATGGCGGGGATGAAATCCTCACCAATCTGTTGGAACTCGGCATGGAAGTCGAAGAACTCGAAAGGGTCAGCTCCACACCAGCTACTTCTTTCATGTCAGCGAACCCCCTACCTTCAAATCAACCTTCAGTACACAGTTCAGAACATGCTCTATTAAACCCATCGCACTACGCCAATGCTATTTGTTTCGATTCAACCTCTGGGACAGCTCATAAAGCACAGAAAAGCCGTCAGTGTCTTTTGGCAGATGATGGAACGCAAAGGAATTTCTTCTTTGCTAAAGAAGGGCTGGGGTTATGTGGAGATAAATGGAGGAAAGTGAACGTTGTCTTGCCGATGCCAGCGGACGCGTTGGGCAAGGGAAGTGCGACTGGAGGTAGACCTCAAGCGGAGGTGGAAGGTCCATTTTTGAGGATCAGACATAGTTTGAAGATTAAGTTGGTTTGTAAGAACACGGGGGCGGATGTGGACACGGTGAGTTCTGTCTCTTTTCACCCTTCACCGTCTTTGTATTCCTTACACGAGATTCATCTTCCCTACCGATGTCGAACCCTTGATATTCACTCACTACAACCCAGTTGATTTCCATTTTGAAGGATAGTATGAACTGACTTACAGATGGTTCTTCTATCCACTCCTATTCGTTTCGGCACATGTCAAGATACTCTCCCCCTCTCGGCCTCTTCTCGCTCTCAGCTTCCTCCTTACATTCAGCTATTCCATGAGAACGGAGATTTGAGGGAATGTGATCCTCTCCCATTGTACCACCCACCCGAGTCTACCTTGCCAATCTCAAAACCTCGTCTGATCTCGGACGCTTCCTTCTTGTCGGACCCCTCGGAGACATCTTACCTTTCCGATTCTCCTGGTCAATCCGATTCCCCCGAGTCGAATGAGATCATCGAATCCTCTGTTGGCAGTACACCCAACTCCACGTTTACTTCGGAGACCGGAATCACCACAGCTTCTTCCGTCACAACAGACAATTCGGTTCCTCTTTCCCCCGCTCCAGCTTACTCTTCATTACATCCCAAGAGTCATTCGCCTCCATCGTCTCGATCCCCATCTCCTGGTAACTTTGAACCACTCACTCTACCTCCTTTTTCACCTGGATTGACAGCTCTAGGATTCACCATCACGAATCTCTCCGGCATTCCCTCCAGGGAAGATTTTGAGAGAGTGAATGTGGGTGAAACAAGTTTGGGAAGTAGGACGATAAGAAGGCCCGAATCGATGGATATTGATTGTCCTTCTTTCGTCACTGAGTCAGAAGGGTCAGATGCTGGTGGATCGGAATTGAGAGGAAGGAGAGCAATGGAACAAGGTTCAGAGATGGAAGAACTGCAGTCTGATGAATGGGATGAAGAACTTTTGAGAAATGTCAGAAGGAGGAGTGCAGCACCGCCTCCTCCTACTCCTAGGACACCGGGAGGGAGGAAGATCAGGTCGAGGTCGAGAGTGGTGGCTTGAGGGTATCTCAACTTCTTTCACTAGTTGGGATCACCTCAACATGGACGTTGGTCGAGCTGAGCAGTCGCCATGCCCATGGTAGTAGTGTCAAGTAGGAAGGGAGATTGGATCGTGTCAGTGTCGGACCAGAAAGCAGGAGAGATAGTCGTAAGTGGATGATGAACGTGAAGGACCAAGTGGGTCAGGATATGGGTAAGAGTAATAAGGATGAATATTCAATTGAGGATGAGGGAAGATAATCAAAGGGAAACAATGTCAACGTGTGATGAGTAATGTCAATGTTGGGTGAAATGGGGAAATGTGCATCTTGGAGTGAAATATAATGATATCAATTATTTTAAAGCATTTTACGAGAAGGTATGAAAATCATGATGACCAATTGTTATTGTAACTTACTACTTCAACTTGTTCTCATCTCCCTCCATGTTTGGCTATGGCACTGACAACTTATGACGACTGACTATATTGATCAAACTCAACATGATGGGACTGACAATATGACAAATCCTCTAGTTCTGATCCCGAGGTGTTATTGTATCTCTTTTGAGAGGATAATTCGACTTCTGAATTGGAACTTCGGGTCATTCTCCGTCCTCAACCCTGATGGGCACACTCGATTCTCGATGGTATGACTCACCCTGCTCGAAGTGTGGCCCGAAACTATCAGTAGTGTTGATGAGTGAAAGCGGTGTCATCACCCAGAGATCTTGTAACTCCACTCTGGCCAATCGGAGACATGACGACAATGAACGAAACCGACTGCGCTGCGCGATAGAAGGAATCATCTTGAAACCTGGTTTCGAAATCCAGTTACCACCAGGAACGTCATTCTGACCATTCTCTTCTCCCTCACTACTGTAAAGAGTACTCATAGATTTCCTTCACTACCACCGAGCCTTCACAATGGTTTCCACCCATTCAGGGGGATACGTCAATATGATGTTGCCCTGTGATCCACTAACCCTACCTGTGATGGGGTTGACCACACAGCTTTCCATCTTCAAAAGTTCGTATCCAAGTATCCAAGCTTTAGGAATCTCACTACTGAACATGAGTCAACCTCGATACCGTACGGACCCTCATTTACCTAAAGATAAACGTCATAAATTTTGATAACCCCTCGTTACTACCTTCACGACGATAGTGAAACCTCATTCTCAAGAAAAAAAGATATAAATCCCCTCTTCTCTCATTCTCATACCTTCTTCAGACTTGGAATCTTCTCGTCTCATATTTTCTCTCGTCTCATCTTTTCAAAAAGAGTTGATCTCGAATCAATAAGCGCAGGTCGCAAACTTCTCTTTTTCTTCATCATTGATTGATTGATTTTAGGTAAGTCTTCAACTCACTACTTTTACTCTACAGTAGGATTTGGCTGAATTGTCAGATTTTTAAACAATTAGATCCGGCTGTGCCAGAAAGAAATCTTTTTCGAACATAACTCATCGAATAGATTCATCGATTCAACTAAGAAACAAGTTGACCTTTGATTTCAAGAGTCGTCTTCCAATTTGATTGATTCCGAAAAAGACTTGCTCAACGAAAAGATTTGAAAAAAGAAGAAACGATTCAAGATGTTCAAGATCATTTTGGTTTTAGGAATGTTGGTACCTAGTTTAGTGGGAGCGGTTGTGATTCCTTCGAATTCGGAGAAGATTAAACGTGAACCTTTAGCTGTGAGTTTTTCTATTTAGAATAATTCACATATTCTTATTTATCATTCCGTGCAAAGTTGTTTCTCTCTTGTTGTTGTCCTTCTTCATCATCTCTCCGTCTTTTGGTATTCTACGAACTTTGTTATCAGTTCACCTGCTCCATCTTTTCTGTCCCCCGATTGAGCGATCCTCCTCTGTCAAAGTATCCTCGATTATGTGAACATATGTGACCAGGTATCATGTAAACACTGCATGTACTTGAAGGGATCTGAGGGAGGGAGGATTCACGATCACCGACTTTATCTTTTGTGTTGGCCAGAGGAAGCTGATGTAAAGGGTATCAAAAGGATTCGGGAGTCTCAACCTCGAGAGATTGGTGTCAAAATCTACGGGGTGAGTCTCGAAATCTCAAATAAACTTCCCATGTTTCCTCTCCATTGTATATCTCCTTCATTCTTCCATCATTTGAGATGAATCAGAATTTTCTCAAGAAAACCAATCCATCTTCCTCCCTATAATCTGGGAGTGTTTCACCCCAGTTTACTCAAATGTCTGAATCTTCACACGTAAATTCCCCTTTCTTACCTCGTTGAGTTCACGCTCCGTTGTGATCTGATACCGGAAGATAAAGTAGATTCAAGGACAGACTGGTTTTGGAAGATTGTTAATGACAGAATGAGAAAAGAGATGAAGAATGGTCTAACCAAATTCGTCGAGCACACAAACATGTAAGTCTGCATAATCCCTCTTCCTCCATGTCTCTGTCAATGTTCTCTCATCGATCGACTACGTTTCGGGAGACATGTGTGTGAGAGAGAGATGATATAGGGAGGATGAGGGGGGTGGGGGGAGGGGGTGGTTGGATACGACATTCTGGCAGTCGACGGTGTAGTAGGGAAATCTATGATTCGGGAGAGTAGCGAACAAGGTGGACTGTTGTGAAAGATGATCAAAGCTTATATGATAGAAAGGAGGTGCAGCAGGTGGAAAAGGCGTACGTTTTTTCTCTGCAATCATCATCATTCACCAGTCCCCATCTTACACTTCTCCGTCCCTTTCAAATCTTCTCAAACACCTTACATTCCGCCTCCCTTACTCTTCTCATCCACTCCTCCTTCATCCCTTCTTTTCCTCTCATCGAGTCCTGCTATCCGGGCGGCCCTGATCTCTCGCTTCTTTCTCCCCTCAGTGTCCCCTTCCCCTCCTGTCCCCCTCGATGTCCTTCCCCCACATTCGATCTATTGAGCTAGGGAAAAGACCCACTCTGACAAATAGAAAAACAACAAAGTCGTAGCTGCCGCAGCTGGAGGAGGTGCTGCCGCCGCCGCCGCAGCAGCCGAACTGAACAACTCGACAATCACCAACTCCACTTGTTTATCTGCTTCCAACATTACCGACATCTCTTCAAACGATACTCTTTCCAATGTGGATTGTTCCCTCAACTCTACCGTTTCCGCTCTATCGGATAATTCTACAATTTCCGATCTGTCAGCCGATAATTCTACCGATCTGACGAATGTAACCAGTTCCGATATTTCGTCAGCTGATCTTTCCAATTCAACCATCGACACCTCATCAATCGATTCCTCCAATTCGACCAGCGCCGATACCACCGGAGTAGATAATTCCACTTCCTCCGATATCTCTTCAGGTGATTCATTGAATTCAACTTCGATCGATAATTCCACCGACACGTCTACCTCCTCTAACAGTGGTAATGGGAATGGGAATGGTCATCATGTGAGTGTCCAACCCCATCTCCTCCCTTGGCCCACACGAAGAAAACATCTGTTGCGGTACCAGTGCTCGTCCAGGTAACAATGACACGATACTTGGATCGTTCAGTTTAAAGAGATCTGGAAAGGGTGAAAGGGTACGATGCTAACGAATCAGAAAAACAAAAACGCCGATTCTTCTGCCCAAGCGAATACTGCAAATGTCAACGCTGCGAACGCTGCGAACGCTGCGTCTTCTAACGATGCTGCGAATCTCGCGGGAGACGTATCTGCCGATTCTAGTGCATCGGGTGCGGCCGGTGCAACGGGAGCTGGAAACGTGATTCAAGATCTGATCAAAGGGGTGGTCAGTAAGGTAGAGGGTAAAATTGGGGCGGGAGGAGGAAATGGTATGTCTTTTACTTGACCGATCACGTTCTCCGAAGGTGGCGATGATACGAGGTTCGGGAATGTAGATGTAATGCTAGCTTGAATCATTGACTTTGACTAGATGAGAAGGTGGCTGATGACTAGCCTGAAACAAGAAGTTAGATGAGAACAATGTAGAATTTTTGATGTATTCACATGCACATATGTAAATACTGTATCTCGGAGTAACACTACATCATCAGAGCGGATTAGATTGACCACAGATATTCAGCTGATCAGTATTGCCTCATCCCGATCAGCGTCTGGGTGAAGGTTGAGCATAAGATGTTTTTGGTGAAGTAGATAGCAATGTCCGATCGATGATATTCTATGTATGAGTATGTTGAGATGTTTTCCGGATTGACCGAATCGGCTTTTTGCTCCACATCAGGTCTAGTCGACTACGAGATATGAGGGTTCAATGATCTGGCCACATTTCGGTATGAGAGATGACAGGTCTGAACATCAACGACAACCCACGTTTGACCGTGTCGAGCTTTTGCTGCTGATTGAGATCGATATAACGAGAAGGTCGTATCAGGTGTGAAAAGAAAGTATGCGTGAAGCGACTCACTTGATTTCTCTCGAGATTGGAGCGTGTAGAGAACCGTGCGAGGGGATACCTTCAACTCGATGGAATCCATTCAGGTTTTTGTGCAACGTGATCTGGAATACAGACGCTGTACCTTGACGAGAAGCACTGTTCAGTCAACTTTGATCCTAAATCCTGAGCGGTCAAAATGATTGATACAACACAAGCACAGCAGAGAGAAATTGAAAGTTTTTGTAGTTGTTACTGGAAAAGGTATCGAGGAAATCCAGAGCTATGCTCAGATACGAGAAAGGCCCGCTCACATGACTGAATATGCCAAGAAATACACCCAGATCCTATACCACCTCACCCCATACTTCTCAACCACTTTGTCTTTATTTGACACCCAGTTGAGATACCATCGGTAGATCGTTGCTGAGTAGTGAACGCCCAACACATCGACAGACTTGACTTCGAAATTGGCCGATTCGAGTTTGGATATTACCCATCCGAGGGGCAGGGAAGCGTCGGCACCGGGGAAAACGTATTTGTTCATACTGTTCGTTAGCTCTGCCATGCTATCGGCAGTCATATTTATCAGTATCTCCTATCACATCTTAGGCAGAGCTGAGTTGGTACCAGAGCATGAGTGTGATTATGAGGCGGCCCGCAGTCTTCGAGGGACGAAGACAAAGGAGAGAATAGATGGACAGTAAGGGCTAAAACTCACAACAATCCCCAAATAAGATCCTCAAACTGCCAACAAGTCCTAATTCCCGCAACTTGAAATACCAAAATCCCATCGTCTGCCAACAGATCATACACTTCTTTAAGAAACTTTGAGTATCTTCTAATACCCACATGTTCAGCCATCTCCAAACATGATATCTTGTTGTAGTAACCTTTCTCCTTGGGAAGATCACGGAAGTCTGTACATAATACCCGACCTTGAGATTCGGGTATTCCATTCTCACGAAGACGAGCGTTGCCGAAAACTGTTTGGTTTTTTGCCAGAGTGACTAATCGTCAACTTACTTTCCACAGAAAGACTCATGTCCCATTCCGAGTGATACAAGCGCACTTGGGGGTGGAGGTAGATTGGCAGACAAAGACTCACCTCCGGTAACGTCGACGCCATAGTTCTTCGCGGCGTGAGTGACCAAAGTCCCCCAACCACATCCGATATCCAACATTTTGTCACCAGGTTTGAGAGCGAGCTTTTCACACACCATGGTCATCTTGTTATCTTGCAACTCTTCCAGTGTCTCCATACGGTTGATATCCTTTATCACGCCCGAGGTGTACACCATGCGTGGACCGAGAAACCAAGAATAGAAGTCATCACCTCGATCATAGTGCTCTCTGACTTGTTCTTCGTCTTGAGAAGAGGAATGAATGACTACCTCAGGGATGAGGTTGGTGAAGACGTATTTGAAAAGCTGAAGCTCAGCAAAACATGTTTCAACCTTGACAACTGATAGGAGAGGATGGCAATCTCATATGAAGATTCACCGCAGCGAGTGGGCTCAAAAAGATCAACAAGGACCGAAGACTTACAGGTGGTGTGAATTCAAAAGACGCCCAGTCATGTCTGTATTCCATGATTTTCAACACATCATCCTTGAAATCTATCTTCCCATCAAAGTATGCGTCGTGAAACACCTGCATAGGGATTTTCTTCCCTTCATACCTCTTCTTCAGAGAGTCGGATAGAATCGTGATATACTCGTCTTGAGGTTTACCAGGTAGAGGTATCTTGCTCATCAGTTGCAAGGTCTATTGTCATGACCTGAGTGACTGACCTTCTCGTTCAATCTGGGTCCATACTTGGAGGCTAAGATCCCAATAGGAGATGGTCAGAGGAATGCCAAGGAGGATGACCAGGATAAAGTAGCCGGTCCATGATGTACGCCAAGGAAAAATCTTTGTGATGACCCAGGGGACGAACAACACGATTGCTGCTAGATGATAGTTTGAAAAAGAGGCGTTGCCCTCTGCGGGGAGGGTGGGGTTGGCTATGGCTGGATAAGAGGTGCTGACGGTTAGTGAGGTTTATGAGACGGGCTGTAGCTCACGTGGTATAACTCACCACCCCTTGGGATACTTCAAATGGCTTTTCCGACCCCGACATGATAGTGAGATGTTGGTGGTTGAACGCTGAATATCGAATAGAAGAGGAGGAAGAGTTGGAATGTAGCTACTTGGCTGCTTATCAATCTACCGTCGTGAAATGACACGTCACAATCACGTGGCAGGCAAAGGAAATCAGTCGCCACTCAAACATCCACTCAACTCTTCCCACAAAGTACTTCTCTATATATCTTGTAACCTATACATATACAAAAGGTATATCATGCCATTGACCCGTTCAGGTAACGTGGGGAGTAGCTACATGTACAGAAAACAACATGTCCCACAGGACTATCAAAGTGACTCTGGTCCTTCCGACATCTTCCATCCGACCTCTCGACGTCTCCGGCGGAAGCTGGAACCCTCTCAACGTCTTCCTGCCGCTCACACCAGGTCCAGACATACAAGAACGACATCCCATACCAGCGGGCTGAGCTATCGCTCACCATCCATGAGTAATGCCACCGACTATGCTTCGAGCTTCAAACGACGTCCGAGACTCAGACCTTCCCTCACCGGTCCACAGGTGGAATCAATGACTATCACTCGACGTGCAGAGATGTTGGCCGATATCGCAGCAGATTGTCTGATGAAGATGCTGGCAGAGATGGATGGAGATGGTACTGATGAATGGCACAGATCATGGCAAGCTCTCGTCAGTGAGTTTTTTACACTTTCGTATAAGAATCTGGTTGGTCTGACTTGATGTAGCCTTGCGTCAAGCCTATATTCTTCCCGTTTATGCTCCACCTTTTCCCCTTCTAAAAGACCTTATGGAGTCATTTCATCCTCATGTACGATCCACATTCGACTTTGCCTCACTCGCTCGTTCTGTCGGTCTGTCCAGTCTTGCCACCTTTGTCTACGTCATTCTTGTCCCGGACGAAGCGGGAGATTTGTTGTTGGATATCGAAGATGATGACGGTGCCTCGCAAGCGTCGGGCGGGAAGGGAAAAGCCAAAGCTCGGGAATTGGATCAGGATTTGAGGGCTAGAGTGAGAAGAAGAAATAGGATCATGTGGTTGGCTTGGAAGAAGTTTTGGTTGGTTGTCGTCCCTGCGACCCAGAGGGACAGCGAGAGTGCGTTACGGTTATGGTTGGACTTTGCAACTCAAGTGAGTCTTAACCAGCCACCGCTTCCGCCTGTCCGCTATCTTCCTTCACTTATCTCCACGCCTCAGACGCTCATGACCAGATTCGTCTGACATATCAATGTCCGACTCTCGACCCTCCTTCTGCTCCTCACTCGGAATTACCCCTGCCCCCAGAACACCTCGAAGACCTCTTTTCTCCCTCAGCAATTGGAAGATACGGACAATGGGAGATGTCAGTTTCTGGGACAACAGGCTCGGGGAGTGCGGAGAAGACGTCTGTTCAGAGACGATGGTCCTCGCTCGCTCGCAAAAGAGCCAAAGAGGTAATCTTTTTGCATATTTAGTACCCTCCAGCTGACACTTAGCTTCATAACGTCGGAACCATGCGTAGACGATTTTCATACGACATGTTTAGATCCGAAATATTAGCCTTCATCTCTGCAGAAATATTACCCTCTATAATACCCATCAAGGTGAGTTCGCGATACCTCCATCTTTTGTGCTTTTATGTACTTGCTGCTCTCTCGAGCTGACATGTCAGACCTCACCCGTGCTGGCTACAGACAGTGAAGATTCCTCTGCTGCCATGTCAGAACTTGAAAACGGTCATGGTCGACGTATCAGTGCTCCTATATCTTACCACTCTTCCGACGCAGAAGACGCCGATATGGAAACTGCGGAAGAATCATTGGTTTCATCCTCCGAAGTCGAAGAAGACGAGGAGGTCGTAGAATTCGACCGTGAACTATTCGCCGAAGCGGCTGCCGAATTAGAACGAGAGCTTGACATGTCACGTACACCTTATAGACCTGAAGCAACCGATGTTCACGATTCATCAACCCCACGCCAGAGGTCGGACGGACAATGGAGAATACGAACCGCTCCTTTAGATCCGACTATTCCGATTCCTCGTGGTACTTTCAATTGGGTTGCGAGACAAGAAGACGCTCAGCAACTTTCTTGGGACAGTCAACCTCGAGGAGCCGAGACCACTCCTCGGATTCGGTTCTCAGAAGGTCCGTTGCCAGCTACACCCACGCCTAGAGCTAGAGCAGACGTGCTTCCACCTTCTATATTGCGAAAGAATCCTTCCCCAATGTCACATCGAAGAACACCTCCTAGTCGACCGTTCGACGACAGAGTACACGAAGACCGTCCCGCTGCCTCGCATCTCCCGTCCTTGGCCGTTGATTTGATCTTTAATGGGGAGAGGGAATCTGCAGTGGAGGATCTACTACCTGACTCGCAGGATTTGCAATACGACATAGGTTCTGCTTTGGGCTACTCCGATCTACAAAAAGACGACATGGCGTTGACGTACCTACTCCCCGACACGCAAGAGATACATGGGCATGGTGATGACCAGGTTGCGTATAGGAATGAGGAGAAGACTGTAAATCTTGGGGACGAACACGTGGGCATGAACGAAGGAACGGGACTGGGGGAAATGCTGCTTCCGGAAACCTTGGAGATGACTGGGTATCAACCACATGGTCTTGGTTTGGGTTTTTCGGATGAGGATGGATTATTGGATCAACCTCTGTGGGATGGTGGGGAGCTCGTGGCACGTGAAGGACACAATCTTCCCTTGACCGACAACGTATCACTCCCACAACCCAATGGGCGATCGCCGGAACCCCTCGAGTTGAATCACCCTGCCGAGGGTCATCCCGTCGACCATCAATTGGCACCCTGGGTACCTGACACCCCAAATGACACTCGTCAAAGATTCACAGAAAATGCCCAGGAGTCCGATCCCGAAGAAGCTGAAGAATCGCCTGACACGGAAGTCGAAGAGCAGGTCGAAACTCAACATGACGTTGGTTACCCTCGGACTATTCGAACTGCTCGTCCTGCTCTGCCTACCTCACAGTTGACGTTCCTTTCATCAAGAGGACGGATGAATGACTCGGGAAGATTCATAACTCCCGATCCTACTGAAGACGCCCAAGATAGAACCTTGATTCGTACTCCCACCACTCCGGAAATGACCTCAGCTCAGCCATTTCCTCCTAATCTCAATCCTGTCGGAACCAGTACAGTCTCTTCGTCGCCACTTCCCAGTTCCCCCGTCAACCCCTCTACTTCCTCCATTCGACCAACATCTGTATCAACCCATCGCCCTCGTCCATCTTTCCCACCCGCATCTACCTCTACCTCTACCCTTCGTCCTACCGTACCCGCCCGGGCCCCAGTGGCCACAGCTCACGCAAGGTCTTCTCGTTCCCCCACCCTACCTACTCGACCCATCCCTAGACCTTCCTCCCACGTGGATCCTTATCTAGTGGACGAAGACGGGTCTCCTCTCCAGTCCGATCCTACTTATCTAGTACCAAGAGATCACATTCCACGTCGATCTCGGATCCACGGTCAAGTTTCAGGTCAATCCACAGTTTACTCTCGTATCTCCGGTCGAAGAAGGTGGACGAAAGACGAAGAACTCCTACTTTATAGAACTGTTCAGAAAGTACCTCTGGCAGAGGAATATCCATTGAGAGTCGTATGGTATTTACATGGAGAATATGGGGTTCTCAGTCAATCCTTAGCAGAATTCAATCCGCAACATATGAAAGATAAAATGAGGGTAATTGTCACTACTCGTCTGAATAATGGGAGAAGTGTGGAAGGCAGAGCTAGGTATTGGTTGAGACAGGATGATGAGAGACGTAAAGAACTGGAGAGGGAGATCAAGGAATATAGGAAAAGAATGAAGGCCTTGAATGAGGAGACGTCAGAAGGTGAGGAGACCGTTTCGGGATTTGCGACACCTCGATCCACTGGAAGGAAGAGAAAAAGTAGATCGAAAGGGAAATCGAGAAGAAAGACCAGCCAATCAAAAGTTGTAACATCGGGTGAGGGAGAAGATGGTCAAGTGGATGAGTTAGAAAGTGAGGAAGGTGATGAAGTACAAGCTAGATCTTCGATCCATCCGACAGGTACTTCTGTTCCCCCACCCAACTCCCGATCTCCCGAACACCAGAAAGACAGAAGGTCACATGAACGACAGAACCATTCCAAAAAGAGACCTGCACCAATTGTAGAGATCTCCCCTCGTCGACCTCCTCCTTCTGCTCCTCCGCCTGTAGCGGAGCGTACAGCAAGCGTGAGACGTAATGCTCCACGAGCCAGTCGACCAGCTCAAACCTTGGAAAACGTGGATGTCACTTCACGAGACGGTCAAATACCCCGGCAGTCAAACAACGATCAAGTCACCCCCAGACCGGCGAGAAAAGCCGCCCCTCGACCAGGGGAGATGATAGAAGAAGAACACGAGACTCTTCAGTCTGCTCCTCAGAGGAAAGGTCGCGAGGTTGAGGGAGCAAGGGTGATTTTAGTGGATGCTGATGGTACGAAGAAGAGGCGTAGTGTCTCTCAGTCTTATGAGCCGTCGATGGAACAGGAGTCGGATGGAACAGTGGATATTCAATATGATACCGCGAAGGTTGTCACGCTCAAAACCCAAGCTCATGCTAAAAATCGAACTCATGCTAGAACTCGGACTCAAAGAGCTGCTCTTCCTCCTCAGGACGCAACAGAAGAAGATTCTGAATCACCACTTCCTGAGCCATCAAAAAGTTCAAAGAAATTATTGCCCCTTCCGAGTCAAAAAGAAGCTTATAGGAGGAGACGGGAAGGTTTACGATCTCATGAAGCTGTAGCTGAAGAGGGAAACCCCGTCCGAAGGAGAGCAAGTAGGAAAGCCGCCCCTCAACCGGGGGAGATGGCGGAAAAAGAAGAAGAAGAGGACTCGTCTTCAAATACGCATGAGGCGGAGGGGCCTATAAACATCGCTACGATAAGAGGTCGGCCAAAAGGCACTGGTAAGAATCAAAAGAGGATAGCTAAGGTTGTCAAAAATATGCCTGTGAATTTACGTGGTGGTGGACCATCCCAGAGTGAGAGAAGAATAACACGATCAAGTGGGAAAGAATCCGTAGCTTCTCGGGCGGGGAAAAAGAAGGCGATTGATGCTGAGGAAGGAGACGATCAAGCAATGGATGACGAGGATGAGATTGATGAGCTGAATACCTCAAGCGATGAGGCGGTGAATGAGGAAAGAACAATGGCTGGTGACGCGGAGGAGAGGGATCAGGTAGGAGATGAGCAATCCGAGGTCGAAGATGGGATCGATGACGAAGTAGGAGTAGAAGGACAATTAGAAGATGTGGAAGGTGTAAGTCAGAGGGATGAGGATGAAGAGATGGAAGATGACGATATTAAAGTATCGGCCGGAACGAAGTCTGCAAGCGCTACACAGGCGGATAGGACTGTGAGGCACGCAATGATAAGACACATGGTTCGGGGGAATGGTGAGTGTCTTTCTCCTCGAGATGAATGGTTTGATCATGTTGGAAATGAGGATATGGCTGATGGGTAGAATGATTTTCTTGTTGGTGACTCAAGGTGGATCATCTGTCAGAGGTGGGATGGGAAGTATGACTGGCAATCGGATGTGGATTGGGTTTGTTGGGGTTGTTGGGTGAAAATCAGACAGATGTAGGGTGGGTAACTGACATGCAAGTTATCGCTATCACTGTGATATGCATGTGATCTCAACATCCTTTTCCCATATTGTTCAACCCATCTGATTACCCCGGTACCCCTCACATTGTATCCCATGAATGCTTGTCATACAATGTTTCACAAGGGCAGGTTAACAGAGTTATTGTTGTGACTTGAAGGTAGTAACTCGGACAAAAGCAAAGTGACGCAGAGTAGAAGTTATCACAGGTGATTATGAAACCAGTAATTGTTGACCATAGACATTACCGGGTGCTAGACCTTTTTGTCCAGCGGGAAAGGGGGGGTACAGGTACTGTTATACTGCCGGAAATTGATCAGTCACAGTTTGTGACACAAGATTGAACCTCTGGATGGTGATCAGGTGGCCTGCATGTTACCTACCTTCTAATGTCAAGACCAGCTCCAACCTCAACCACTGGCAATGGTTTGTGCCTGGCATCACAGACAGCTGGTCATCACACAATGTCATTGTCTCTCTTGTAGTCATGATCCCCCCCCATACTTCCTGAACTGTCTTCCAGGCAGCTTTTCTTTTGATTCGAGTCCTAAGTCCACCAAATGCCTGGGGAGTAGGGTTTGGCCAGTCTTTCAAATATCTGCAGGCTTGTGATATACACTCCTTCAATTCCGCAATTGCTTCCTCCACTTGTTGGCAATTGCCCTCCTCAGTCAAGATTTGGTTGTGCAGATGTGTCATGGAGCTGCCCAGTGAGCTGGCTGTCAATCTGTCAATTTTCTGTTTGTCCAATACATATGTGTTCCATCCTTGTACCAATAAATGTGTGGCATGAACATGTATTGTCAGATTTGGGACAAAAATGATTGTGCTAGCTTGGGATGATTCCAGTTCCGATTGAAAATCTGCAGGCTGAGACGGGTGAAGCTGGCCTGTGAGAGTTGAGGGTGTCTCTGATTGGTTTGCTGGCACATGAGAGCTCCCTGGTTGTCTTGCTTCTGAATGAGAGAGGTGTGATGTGCTGGCTATGGGCTGTGTTTCTGTGGTATTGTTTTCCGCCCCTGCAGAGTCCACAGTGTTGTCAACACTCTTTTGTACACCAGCTTCAGTCGAGTCTTCTACAGTGCCGCTTGTTGTAAATTGAGTATCACCCAGCATTTCAGTAGAAATCTGAGCCTCTGCGGTGCTGCTTGGTACTTGAGAGATGACCGGCCCACTCTCTGCACCTTCAGCTCCTATTGGGTCATCTGCTACATTTTGGGTATGTTCTAGCAGGCTAGTTGATCCTTGAACTTGCAGAGTTCTTATCTCCTCATGTGGACCGGGTTGATGCATGGCATTTTGCTGCATCAACCTGATGTCTTCCTGATTACGTTCCCAGAGCCAGTCAAATGGCTAGGCCTTCAGGGGCCATGTAGGTTGTGCAAGTTGTCCAGATGGAGCCTCTGAAGAAAAGGCCGGACCGAAGTAGGGATCCTGCGGATCAGGACCATGGAGATCCTTAGGTGAAATTGAAAAGTCGCCATCCGACATACCACTATCTATTGGAAATCCCACTGATTGATACAAAGAGTAGGTACTTAAAACGTCTTAAAGTACTGTATAGCAAGAAGTCTGGTTGTTGGGGGATCAAGAGGGGCCTTCATACTTCTCATATACTGAAGTATAGAGGGAGGTGTTACGGGGCAACAACGAATCGAGAGGACTCTATCGAGTTTGACGGATTAGGACAGTGTCACGAACTACGTCGTGACACCTCGATTACTCCACCAACAATGACCCTCCTTTGGCCATCAAAACCCCATCACGCCTTAACCTCTTTACTCTACACGTAACTCAGGACTTCTGACACCAAGTATGGCGAAGTTAGACGGAGTTAGGCTAAGTAGGGACAATGGGAGCAGAAGTACGGCGAAGTTAGACGGAGTTAGGCTGAGTAGGGACAATGGGAGCAGAAGTGCGGCGATGTTAGGCTAAGTAGGGACAATGGGAGCAGAAGTGCGGCGATGTTAGGCGGAGTTAGGCTAAGTAGGGACAATGGGAGCAGAAGTGCGGCGATGTTAGGCGGAGTTAGTCGAAGGAGGAAGAGGATGGCCGAGGGCTCGGGGAAGTTGGACGAAGTGCGTTGAAGTACGTCAAAGCGCGAGAGGGTTGGATGAACGTCTAGGAGGAGTAGATAATATTAGCTGAGAAGATCGCTGAAGTTCTTCAGCGATCCTTGATTGTTGTCAGTAGTAAAAGACAAATAGAGATAGCTATACATCGAGATACATCGCCATCAATAGAACAAAGCCTTAGTTAGAGTAACTACGCCGAAGTACGCCGTAGTTACACTCCTTTCGACGTCTGCGCCCTCCTGGTTGGGTGAGACATCGACTCAGAAGTGTGAAGTTAGCCGAGGTTCGTCGACCGTCGGTCTATAAGGAAGAAGTTGCTCGACGGCCGTGACAGACAGAGGAAAGCGGGAGTTGGAGGCAGTGCTGCAGTAGGTAGGGACGGGTTTTCCCCTTTCGAGATTTCCCCACTGGGTTTGCTCAAAGCGGTTTTTCACCTGTCCGAGTATGTACGTAGACGCTTGCAGCAGGAAGAGGACAAGGACGAGGATATCCGTAGACAGTATATAGTACAATCAGCAAAGTACCAACTTTGCTGATTCTTCAATATCATTCTTTGGCTACATTGATTGCAGAGGAGACACGATCTATCACATAGCACCAGAGACCCATAGATTTCTACAAGACTTCCATCGAGTTCGACCCAACCTGCGACCTAGTCATCGTGTTTCCAGTACCGTTACAATCTGGCAGCTTCCTAAGCGTCCCACAAATAAGAAGGAACTGTTCAGAGTTGCACATGAAGTGTGGAAGCAGATGCCTCAGGAAGTGATAGACAGGACTATTGATAGCATGATAAGGAGGTTGGAAGGGGTGATCAAAGCGAAGGGTGGTGTGACAAAATACTGATCAGGTGAGTCTCTCCTTTTGCCTATGCATAGAACCAACCCTGATTGACAGTTCTACCAATTCTCAAGTCATTAGATGGACACATGCATGAGTTATTGACGATCAAAGAGAAAGACATGCAAACGCACGGATTTGACGCGTGTTCGATCCTTTCCCGCACCCCACTGTATCTTTGCTGTGGGGATGTGATGTACATCTTTCAGTACCATCTTTTGTCCTGAATCTAGTTCGAGATTAATGTCACCTGTTTCCCAAGCCGTCATTGACTTGCCAGATGCTAGTCCAAACACTCTCGGTTCTACTAGTCTTTGAATATTGGTCATTATCAATCTATGAGGAGTTATGTGGTGAGTAGCCCCACTATCCACTACCCAGGTGGGGATTACACGAGTGTGGCTAATGTCATTAGACTCTGTAGCTAATCCCACCCACTCATTATCCTCAACCCATGGGTTTTCAATTTCTTCGGGCCATACAATATTACTCGTGTACCCTTCGTCATCATCGAACCATGATTCTGTCGACATGGCCATCCCGGCCCACGCCTCATGTTCACCATCCAATGACGAATACATCAAGGAGGTTTTGGAGTTATCCTTGGACTGGTTCTCATCCTTCGAGACCGTATGTCCTTTCTTATTATTCTTATTATTATTATTCCTCCATTTCTTTTTACCTCCATCCTTTCCAACAGGGCGCGCCTTACGTCTCACCGTTTCTGCGTTGAAGATCTTTAAGACCTCATCCCAGGTTCTTGTCAATGATGATCGCTCGGTAGCTGGATACTCTTAGCTATGATAAAGCGATACATGGTTAAGAACTCACCTGGATACTCTTAGCTATGATAAAGCGATAAAGAGTAACCAGGAGGTATATCTAGGAGGTATAGGGAGAGACGGAACGTATGTTATCAGTCTGACGTGGAATTTCACACTCCCCCTCGTTCTTGTATCTCCTTAGACCTCACCCCTATCAGATTGACCAGCTTTTGATGGCGTTCAGATGACAATGTCTTTGTCAGAAGATCGGCAAGGTTCATCTCGGTTGAAATGTGTGAAAGTGTGACGTCTCCATTCTCCACTTTCTCCCGGATGAAGTGACAGCGAATATCGATGTGTTTGGATCGATCATGTAGCACCGGGTTCTTTGAAAGCAGGATAGCTGCCCGGTTGTCATTGAATATTGCAATTCCGGCAGGGTGACCATATCCAAAATCTTTTGCAAGCTGCCTCAGCCAAATGGCTTGTCGTGCCGCATCAGAGGAAGCCATGAATTCCGCTTCCGCCGTGGAAAGAGCAGTTGTTGCTTGTCTTCGGGACTTCCAGGCAATCGGCCCACCAAAACCAGAGAAGACATATCCAGTTGTTGATCGTCTAGTGTTCAAACAACCTCCCCAATCCGCATCTGCATAGCCATGAATGGATGGAGCTGCACCAATCCCACTGTAGGTGAGACAATGTGTAGTGGTACCCCGGAGGTATCGCATGAGGTGTCGAGCAGCAGAAACGTGCTGGTGATTCCATTTGCTGGTTGTCCGTGCTAATACCGCTGTCGCAAATGCAATGTCGGGTCGAGAAATAGTAGCGGCATATAGAAGGGATCCAACCATAGCTGGATAGGGCTCGCTATTTGCTTCCTCGAATTCAGTGTTGGTTGCTTCAACAGCTCGATAGCTTGAGGGTAAAGGTGTCTGAGTGGGATTACAGTTGGACATTCCAAAACGTTCTAGGAGCGCATTGATATAATGTTCCTGGGATAGAAGTAGTTTCTTGACCCTCCTATCTCGGTAGATATTCATCCCTAGGAAGTAAGATACAGGTCCGTTGTCTTTTATTTCGAATGCAGTGTTCAGATTGTTTTTGAACATCTTCACCTCTGTGGCAGATGAGCCAGCAATGAGTTGATCATCTACATGGAGGGAAATCATGAGGAGTGAGTCCGATCTCTGCCGAAAGTAGATGCAGTTGTCGGCAGACGAGGAAACAAAGCCCTGAGAGTGTAACCACTTGTCCAACTTCTGATTGAAACAGCGGGGTGATTGCTTGAGTCCATACAGTGACTTCCGTAATCGAATAACTTTCCCTGGACCAACATCACTGCCTTCTGGTGGTTCAAGATGTATGATTTCTTCAAGGTCTCCATTAAGGAAAGCGGCTACAATGTCGACTGAGTCACATTCAAGATCCAGGTAGTTGACCACGGCAAGAAACAAGCGAATTGAATCTTTATGTGCCACTCCAGCGTATAACTCATTATAGTCAACTCCTGCTTGCTGAGCGTAGCCCTTTGCAACCCATCGAGCTTTGTATCCAGCAGGTTGACCTGTGTTGCCATCCACCTTGCGTGTGTACACCCATCGTGCCTTCAGTATGCGACCTTGCACTTGTGACCGATCAACCTCCTCCCATACACCATACTTCTCCATCTTCGACAGTTCATCATCCATTGCTTCCTTCCACTGGTTCCAGTCAGATGCTTGTTGCGCTTGACGATAGGATTGAGGTGCTAGGATGGAGGAAAACGCAGATATTGTTATTGTGTCAAGATCTATGCTTGCACAGGCGGGCAAGGCAAGATGTTCTTCAAGACTGCGAGGAACATATTCCGGGTCATTGCCAGCTTGTCTACGAGATCGCCGAGGTCCAGTGTGTTCTGTCTCTTCTGGCGAAGGTGCTGGAGGAGGAGAAGGTGCTGGGGAGCGATTGAATCGTGGATCCTCTTCTACTGCCCATCCTAGCCAGTTCTGTTTAGGCTGGCTCCCACTGTCCCTCATGTTGTGGGACTGAGTATCGACCGCATCCGCCATGGGTACTTCATTAACTCCGCTTGCCTGTTCAATGGGGCATGAGTCGACACCTATGGCTGTAGGGATATAACTTGTTGTGGGATGAGTGGTGAGTGGAGATGGTGTTGCAAATGATAGTGGTTCAATGTGTAATGATTTTGGGAATGTTACATCTCGAGTTATGACTAGGGTAGGCTTCATACGGTCCCACACACGATAGTTTGTTGTATTGAGTTCATAACCCATGAGTAGACCGGGAAGATACCGTGGTTTAAGCTTATTAGTCTCTGAATGGGCTCGGTAGAAGAGAGGGGTTCCAAATGGTTGAAGATGACTGTACGCCACTTGACCGGATGTCCAAACGTCTTCTGGTATTGTTGAATCTGATCTTGGAGCACGGTTTCGAATATAGACTGCGTATCTAGCAGCCTCTGACCAGAATGATCCTTCCAGACCACTATCAACTAGTAAAGTCCTGACTAGGTCAAGTACCAATAGGTGAGCCCGTTCTACTCGTCCGTTCTTTGCATGCGCAGCTGCTGGGACAAACTGGTGATTGATGCCCTTTGCTTGTGTGTAGGCTTGGAAAGTGGTTGACTTGAACTCCCCACCCTGGTCTGTGCGGAAAGCCTTCACTCGTTTGCCCAGCTGATTCTCAACAAGATCGACATAGTGGCGGATCGCAGCCAATGTACCATCTTTGGACCGAAGGAAGATGATCTGAAGATGCTGGGAGAAGTTGTCGTAGATTGTCAGAAATGATTGGAAGCCATCATGTGAGGTGGACCGAGTTGGACCAAATAGGTCAAGATGCAGAGAGCCGAGTAGATCATTGGCTCGAATAGTGGAAGGTGGACAGGGGAGTGTCTTTCCTTTACCCTGGATGCATGCAGAGCATGAGAACTGACGGCTGTCGACATTCTTCCATCTATGAATATTTCCCAGGCGGCCGCTCCTACCCAAGGTAACAACTGCTTTGGCACCCAGGTGTCCAAGACGATGATGCCATTCTTTGAGTAGTTCCTGTGACTGATCAGTCACTGTAATGTGGGTAGAGAGGATTGGCGTACAAGGAAGCGTATAGAGGTTGTCGTGCACTTTTGCTATCAGGATGACTCTGCCTTGATTGGTCAATGTGGCTGTGCTGCCGGTAAACGTCCAGATCATTGTTGAGGATGTTGTTGCACGAACCAATAGCAGGTTTTGACGAATCTTTGGAACAAGTAGTGTGTTGGGAATCTTGAACCCGTCTCCAAGGGTGAGAGTACCCTGCTTGGTGGCATACACCGAAGAGCCACTGCCCACAATGACCGGTACCGGCGAAGGTAGCGTGTGAATGGAGGAGAGGAGAAGCTCGTTGTGGACCATGGAATGTGAGGCTCCGGAGTCAACGACAATGGAGGATTGGTCGGTAAGTGCTTGGAGCGCTATGGGAGAGGCGACTGCGACAAATGAGAATGGTTAGGACTGGTCAATGGGCTTGAATGATGTGATGTGGGCAGAGATCCGTTGGGCAACTCGACAGTCGGTGGTGGAATGGGAATTGGTATCGTGGATCTCGCAATATGGCTTGCTTCCATCCTTGACAACAGATCCCTTCATACCTTTCTGTCGTAGACCATGAACCTTCCCTTGAGATAGTTGTCTCGGTACTTTAGCGGTCAGAGCCAAGGTATTTGCTTCCTGTGTCTGCCTCCTTCTGAATTCATCATTGATTGCCGAGATGACCTCTGCGGATGAAGGATCTCCAAGCATGTAGAATGTGGAAGCTAGTACCGAATAGGTAGGAGGAAGAGCAATCAGGATTGCATATGCGAGCTGGGAATCTGCCATGGAGACAGAGGACGCAGTGAGATCATTGAAGGCACGTCGCATTGCAGAGATGGAGGTGATTGGATTACTTTCTTCAATATCAGTCCGCCAGATGATTCGATATAATTCTGCTTTGCGAGTTGACCGTGCCGCAGAGTAGTTGAGTCGAAGATGATCATAGAGAGACTTTGCTTTGAGTCCAAGCGGTGAGGCGGTTGTGGAGGTTGAGATATCGAGGAGATCTGGAGGGAGTACATTGTGGATTGACGAGTCAATAGATTCATCAATGGCTGCCCATGCCTTCCTATCTTTCTTCCCCCATGTTTGTCTCTCCACCGCAGTAGTGGGTACCTGTGCATCGGACTGTATAACATCGTCAAGATCCTTTCGTATCAAACGGGTCACAATTGATAGTTCCCATTCCTTGAAGTTGTCCGCTCCTTTGAGGACAACTCGACGGCGAGAGATCATCTTCTCTTCTTCAGAATCTGAGAGCGACATGATGAGGGCTGACCAAAGGAAGATGTTCGACTGGAAGGATGAGGGATGGAAGTGAATTGAAGCGGTTGGTCAGATAGTCTGATTCCAAATCTGTCAATGATGATCGCTCGGTAGCTGGATACTCTTAGCTATGATAAAGCGATACATGGTTAAGAACTCACCTGGATACTCTTAGCTATGATAAAGCGATAAAGAGTAACCAGGAGGTATATCTAGGAGGTATAGGGAGAGACGGAACGTATGTTATCAGTCTGACGTGGAATTTCACAGTTCTGTCCCTTTTGGATTCAGACTTTAGTTCCATGTGGATGATCCTATAGGACGGTGCTAGGATGGTATTGAGGAATAGGCCTGCTTGTTCCCATGAGTCAAAGTCTAATCCAACCAACTTTGCTTCAGCCATTGTCTTCGAGAACTCCTCCACATGCTTAGCCATTTCTTCGCCCGTCACATCTTCTCTTAAGTCATAGCTAAACAATGCTTGACGGACGTTTCTCTGGTTCTCAATTGTGGCTGTCACATGCAGAGTCAAGCAGTAACTCCACATTTCTCTAGCTGACATCTTTTCAGATAAATCAAGCATTACAGCATCCGACACTGTTCCCTTGATCATCCCCTGCGCTTTATTCTCCCTCGCTTGCCACTTGTCCCATTCCTTCGAACTCTTCTCCAGTGATCCTCCTACCGATCACTTGCCCTTTGACGGGTGTCGTAGGAGGTACTGATCCCGCCCTCTCAGCTGCCGGCCCAACCCCTACTCGACCAGGTTCGGTATCATTACCCGTGACGATATTCCAAGCGTCACCTATCTGTAGATACACCTCGATCGACTTCCTCCACGGAGCATACCATGCTGGAACGTGGGATCACTTGGGGAGAGTTTCAAACAAAATCTTAGACGGCACAGAGGTCATTATGAGGAGAGTAGAAATAGGAACTTGCCTTAGTTATACACAGAGGTATGTGGACTTCCGACTGTTAATCTGTTTGCTGATAATTAGATGATATCACAGAGGGGAAAAAGAGCATGCATCAATTCTACATGTCTCTATACTTATCACAATCCACTTACACACAGTAAACGGGTGACGATCGGATAGAGTTCAGAGGATAAGTTGAAAGGAGAAATATTCAATGGAAGGGGTAATTATCTAACGGCGGTTTGGCCGTCCTGGCCCGATTCTATCGGCTAACACTGACTATGTACGTACATACTGTAAGTCCTTCCTTATGAGCAGATTCTTCCAGAACACTGTGCTTTAGGTAAGATACTGCATCTCGAAGCAGCTCGACCTGGTAAGGTGATTACACTCTATGTTCCTGCGTTGTCAGAAGGTCTAGTCGTCAACAGATACTTCCTTCATGGTCAGATCCATCCTGAGCCGTGCAAACAAGTATCTCCTCAACTTGACTCTTTACAGTAAATGCAAGAGTTTCCTTCACCGACTTATATTGTGGGTCGTACAGATGATGATCACCGGCCCACTTGAGACAGCTCATTCGTAATTGGGCCAGCATGGTACTTGTTACAAGGTCAGTGCAGAATTCTTCAGCGGTGCCATCAGCTTCTTTTCTTGTAGTCAGCATCTTGCCAAGAATACTCATCTTTTTCGCGCGGTATCGACTGTTATTGAAGTGCCAGATTTGGCACCAATTTTCCTGTACATGCTCTTGCAATGCATCAAAATCCGTAGTGCCTACACACAACCTTGGTGAATTGGTAGAAATTCTTGTTCTCCATTCCATGATATGTGACTTCGAAATTGTTCCAATATGGACTTTTGCTGTTAGATGTACGGTTAAGTTGAGTCTGAGGGTGTTATTGACTGTTATCAAATAATCTTGCCCGCTTGCTGTTGCCTGCAGACACTCACAACCTTTGGGCCTGAATGGTTTACTCTTTTTTCCTCCCGGTTTACGCCACTCTTGGCTAACTTCTGTCGAGGCTTGGGACTTTGCGCCGTCTGCCGGACCAATGACCAAGCTGGTCCGTTTCGGTAGGATATCTCCTCCTCTACGTTTGTTTTTCTTGAAGTGATTTCTATCTGGTCCGACTGATGAAGCCAAGGAATGTTGATCGAAATGGAACTCTTGAGCAGGAGCGTCTCCAACATTAGTACGAGTACTGTCCGGTGCTGTAGTCTGTAAGCTATTCAGTATGGCGTTTTCCATCGTGTTCAAAAGTGTCAAGATGTCAGACGATGGATCATTCGATTTTTTACCAGGCACTCCGGTATACAGAGCATGTGGTAGATCTTCCAAAGGCAAAGTTGACGTTTGAAGAACGGCCTGTTTCAGTGTTTCCCAGTGGATAGGATCAGTCTTACTCAGATTGTGGCCATCTTTCAGCTCAGATAAAGTATCGGGTAGCATTAAAGAATCAAGGAAATCATCAAAGCTCCGCGGAGAGTCATCTGAAGGAAGATTTGACACATTCATTTCAAGTGACCGAGCCTGGTTCGAGGGGCAGCGTGAAGGTCCTGCTGTTTCCTGCTCTGACATGATCTCAATGGGATGAGGAGGTACAAGTCAATAAGTAAGTGAGTGGAGAGAGAAGAAGAGGAAAGAAGTGATGGGCGGAGAGGTGTAAGGGGGGGGGACCCGTATGTGAGCCAAATATGACATCCGCGCGGATCATGGTCAACTCGATCCTTTGTCTAGCTATCTCCAACTTCCCAGGCTTCCTGAGAACCTCCTGAGATTGAATCTCAGTAGTGAAATAGAAGACACTTACATCTAACCTTTGTCCGTGAAGCCACTAGGGTGAGAATTCTGCATTTCATGATCATCAGCATGCTATGAGTACTACAAAAAGAAACAGTAAAAATGTCTGTTCTCAATCTCTGTCTATATCTGCCCCGAGGTTGACGTCGTATCAGTGATATGTTACAGTACATTTCCTACACCAACGACATAGCACCATCCTGATCGTCCATTAGTCGAAGTTGTGAGAGAGCCTCACTCATATCATCAATAGCGTCAAATCCCACTTCCGGCGCTAGAAAACTAATCTTGGTGTCCGTTGTCCAACTCATCGTTTGCTGCACCTCCTGATTCGAGAGGAATTCAGAGTTCAACTTCCGCAAAAATATCTCACTCCGTAGGCTCATCTTGAGGGCGTCGGAAAGAGAAATCCATTGAGGTGACTTGGACAATGTAGTGAGGTAAGTGAATTTGTCAGCAACAGTCAGTGATATGTCTCTACTGGACTTATTGAAGTACATTTGCTGAAGGAACTCTCTAGCTTGACCTGTGAGGGAAAACATCCGGTTCTCTTCATCCTGCAAAACATCTTTGACAAACACGGAGAAAAGTATGTTTTCCATCGCCCGGCGTGCGGAATCTTTCAGATCAGTTTCTTTCGAAAACCTCAATTCCCATCGGCCTTTCGGAGATTTGTCGCGGAAGTCTGCGACGTAGGTGATTTGAACCCTGAGGGTGAGATTGTCGGGGCCTGTTGGTGTTGATGGTCTTATCGTTTCGTTAGAACTCGATCTTCTCATGGATCTGCCATTATATGGCGGGCCCGTCCGGACGCGGACGGACGCATCAGCCAAAATTTGCCACCGCGCGGACTGGGTCCGTCCGGCCAAAACTGCCACTTTGGGCAATCATCCCGCGCCTCAGAGATTGAATCCTAATGCATCCGCCTGCAATTCCTAATGCCATTAGAAAGGCTATGTCGTATAACTGCAGTTATACTCTTAAACACAGCCAATTATACCTTAGTTATACGACATGAGCTTTCTAATGCATTAGTAGTTGTCTCATTGCCAAAAGAATTGCAGCTTGAGTCGTTTTAACTCTCTTCATCATCTTCATACTCATCGTTGCTTTTAGTAGTTTATTAACTCTTTTATATACACCAATATGCCTCGTCATGCCAAACAAAACCCAAACTTGACTACAAGCACTCCTTATATTACGCCTCAAGCCAGGAACGCTGTTGATGGAACGGTTGATCTGGAACAATACAACTTGTCCGCAAACAGCATTAAACAGTACAAAAGCCGACAAAAAAAGTGGTTTACATGGGTAAAAAGCAAGCCTTGGCTAACAGAGTGAGTAAAGGACCCACTTCTGCCAACTTCTGCTCATTTTTGCTCATTTTTGCTCGCTTTTGCTCATTATTGCTAAAGATAGCATACTTTGTGACGCTCGTGCGTGATGTGCAAAGGAAGGGTGTGTTTGACTCATCAATAACTGTGTGCTAACGTATAGAGCTACTGTTACCCCACAATTGGCTTTATTGTTTTTATATGAAGTTATTTTGACGGCTCCGAGGCAAAAAAACTCCAAAAGCTTAGCGATAGCTGAGGAAGAAGATGATACGTTTGAAGATGTAGATATGAGCAGTATTGATAGTACTTTGGCGGAAGATCCTTCTCAATATTCTGACGAAACGGAACAACAGCGACTTGTACAAACGCAGGCCGAAATAGACCACCTTTTGCTGTCAAGACCAGGCCCTTCTTCAAGTAATCGTGGTCGTGCAAAATCTAGTAAGCTTTTGATTTAATTTTTAGTATTGCTGCTCATTATACAAGCTCTCACTATAATTTTGGAATGTCAGCTAAGTTGGTCAACGGTGCATGGCTGGGTGGCAGCACTTGTAAATCTCTGGGAACAGCAGGTCAAAAGAGGAATCAACAATTTTACATCGCCTCGAAGCGTCCACACAGCTACAATCATCTCTGTTCTACGAAAGTTTACAGAAAGAAGGAAAAAGTTACTTTTCGAGGACAAGGGCAAACGTAAGTGAACAAACGTTAGCAACACCTGACAAATAGAGCTGTTTTATGATGGATACAAAGATACTAAGCAACTAGCGAGATCGTTTGCACACTACATGGAGCGAAATAACGAGGAAGGGCTCCGAGATGCCCTTGCGCAAGCCCTTGGTGTATATGGAATGCTTCGAAGCGATAACCAACGTCGAATGCTTCTATCAGACCTTTCCTCAGAGATAGCGCTCAACGAAGGACCAACAGCGTGTTTGCTAGTTGTTCTTGTCTTACATTCAAGTAAAACAAACGCATCTGGCAAGGCAGAGTATGCTGCGTTTATTCGGAACAAAGATCTGAGTGTATGTCCTGTCTTTTTGCTAAGTTTGTATTTGTTTGCTCGGTATGTGTCAATTTAAATACATAAAAGACTTTTAACTAATAAATAGCTTTTATTGCGGCCCTTCTCCCAGTGGATTTCCAAATCTTGCTACTCGTGCAAACTGGTACGATCTTCCGCTTTTAAGCGACGGCAAGAACAGATTAAAAGAGGTGTCATATGACACGCAAAGAAGAGCAATCAATGAAGCGCTTAAAGCTGCAAATGTACATACGTATCAAAAAACGCACGTTAATAGACGACTAGGCGCACGTCTTGCCGAACAAGGGGGTGCTTCTCCGGATGAAATTGCTCGAGCCGGTCATTGGGCGCATTCAGTTCTTGAAATTCACTATCTTACACACATCCCTCGTAAAACTTTACGAGCACTTGCTGGTTTCCCTGTAGAAGGGAAAGGATTTTTTTTACCACGCGCTGTTACTCCTTCTCCTACTCTCTTAAGGAAAATTTTTCCTGATGTAGATAAATGGTAAGTTATCTTGTTTATAAAGAATGTAATTAATTTATTTAGGACGGCTTTGCTGAACTCTCCTATTCATCAGCAGCAGGAGTTAACAGGCCGAATGTTTTTGCAGACAATAGCGTCTTTAAGAGAAGTGTTTCTACAAGATATTCCTCACTGGCGAAAACTCTTTCCTTCGTTATATATCTTCAACCATCCACTCTTTGCCGATGAAGAGTACAAACGTTTTGAAGGAGAAGCACTTACTCGTACAATCAGTAATGAGCAAAGATATGATGACCGAATAGCTCAAGCTCTTCCAATCTTGCATGAACTATTGCAAACTCAAACTCGAGCTCACCAACAATCGTTCCAAGACATACTTTCGAATGTTCTTCAGCTAAATCAAAGTCAAATTCAAAATCAAGAACAGATAAAAGCTGTGTCCGACGGTATTACGCTCATTCAAACTGCTCTTAGTCGACCCGTGATCATTCCTGGCCCTTTACAGTCTTTGCTTAGCGATATGACCAGAGATTTATCAAATATGGACGTTCAACAATCATCCTCTTCATCATCGTCTTTGTCTGCACCAATGTACTCAGTACCACTCTCATCAACAACGTTGCCTTCTTCTTCCAACAGTTTTGACCCCTCTTCTTTCATTCAACTTGAACCCTTTACCATGAGTCGTTCTGTGTGTACGGTTCAGGAATTATGGCAAGAATACACCATTGGTCTTAATGGACGCCCATCTGTTCAGTCCCAATACGAAAACGGTGCTCATGGACTAAAGGATGCTAGTGAAACAGAGAAAAGGTTCTACCGAAGACGAATGGGCGTCATTAAAGCTGTTAAAGAGTTAATGAAATCAAGGGAAATCACAGGGAGCGAAGCAGCAAAATTTTTAGATGTTCATAGACAAGGCTTGAAGAATCCGTCGTTAGATGCGTTGCAAAACTGGTTAAGTAAGGCTTCAGCTATAGATATCCTATCCGTGTAGAAATTAGAGTAAGTATGCAATATGTAGCGCGTTCTGTCTGTTGTCCGCTTATTTTTGCTAATTCCTGCTCACTTTTGCTCATTTTTGCTCGCTTTTGCTTATTTAAAGGGACTTTGCTAAACCCTGGCTCGTATTTGTTAAGGCGTAGTCAAACATCAAAGGAGTGGTTCATAACTTCGTAAAAGTACGGGAATAAGTACGCCCCTGCTTGATTGGGCGTGTCTCAGACACGGCGTTTGAAAATCGTTTCCTGCAAGCTAGCATGAGGCAATTCAGGTAATTAGCTGCTCGCTTCCGATGAAACGCGAAATTGTTGTCTGTAGTGAGGGTAACACCTCCTTTGGTTGTCAAGATGTTGATTAAGAGGTTTTTCACCGTTGTCACATATACCAATGGTCTGCTGCTCTTTCTTCCCCACGGCTCATCACTTTTAACTGTTTTCACGGCTTGATACTTACAATTTTGAATGCCTAACGTGAGACGTAGTCTTAGTATCTCAAATATCGTCAGTAGACCCAACAATACCTCCCACAATCGCCAAAGAGCTCAAAGTATGACCGCCACGCCCTCAAGCCAGTCTAAAACTGCTCGTGGTATGCCAATGAAGTTTGGAGATACGGTTGTTGGTTAGTTACGTTAGTATTTTGTTGGTTAAGCTTATATGATGTAGGATTTGACGATGAATATAAGTGGGACGTAATTGGCGGCTTATCCCTGCGAAAATGGCCAGATTCCAACGTAGATTCGGTCGTTAAGATCCCAGATGACAAGAAGAGTCCGAAGGTAGCTATTTTGCCCAATGAGTCGTCAAAAGTTAGTATTTTTTGTTGTTTTTATAAGTAAAGTTTTGGATCTAACATATGTAGCTGAAAAACCATCGAGAGGCGTTTAATCACGCCGTTAGTCCTAATGTCTGGCGACGAACTGGTTCTTTGTCCTGTTCTCAGTGTCAAGGCCGTCAAAATCGCTCAAATTCGTGTGCTTTTGGATGTTTGACCGTTGGTGAGATACCTACTGGTGCGTGCTGCAAGTGTGTGGCACTTGGTACGTCAACACGATGTGATTTTGTCAGTAAGGCAGAAATCAAAGTAGACGAGCGAGCGTTTCTTGGTTCTCTTCGTGAAGAGCTAGGTTCAATTAAAGCGGTTGAAAATCAGGCTAAGCTAGCTGGTAAGTTCGATATTTATCATTTACGAGCTTAATCTGACAGACTAGCACAAGGTGGATACGTTCTCGAACCTAACGGTATTGCTGGACAATTAGCGATCATTCGAACACGAATTTCGGATCTAATTGCAACACAAGCTCAAGAACTCGCTCCCGATGACGCCTCTGTGTTAGAAACTCCTCGAAAACGTATGAGGAAGTCAACTCAGACTGGAGCTAGCCCCTTCTAGTGGTTAGTAGTGTTTGTATGCAAGCTATGGTTAGTGTTTGCAGAAGCGAGCAAGAATGAGCAAAAGAGAGCAAGAGTAAGCAGATGTTAAGACGCGATTTCACTGCGAACGATCGACACCATGAGTCACAATTTCGCTGCGTCAGTTATCGAAATGATACCCGGACGGGCCCTAGGACCCCCGTCCGGACTGACTCAGGGTTCATGTCGTATAACAATTCATTATCAGCCTGGTTCGAGACTTCGAAAATCGTCATGAGAGTCGTCGTCGAGGATCAGTGCGAGTTTCGGAACGACAAATGAGGAAACGACGAATTAATCAAGCGAGGTAGGTGGTATGTTAGCTAAAATTGATCCAATTTACCAATCCCACCCCCTACCCCATTGGGCTTCCCCGGCTTGTCAAGCATTTTGTCACCCCTGCTCGGTTTCCCCGTCGCTTGATAATCTCAAGGGATGTTCCATCCTCCATTGTACTTCATGACCAATCCTGTATCTTGTTGCTGACTAACCGAGGCTTCGTTCGGTAACCGAGTGGAGTCATCGTCATTACGGTGATTGACGTTTTCACCGCCTTCGATTGATGATAGGCCGTACGCCAGAGGAGAGGACCGGTGATTGCGACGTCGTGGAGAAGGCGTCCCTATCAGGGAAAGAAAGGGCTGACGACCCCTGGGGACCGAATGAGTACGCAATGCATGTATGATACTTGCTTAATCTTCGACATGAGAGACAACAGGACGATGACACGTATTTGAGGATCCAATGGGGAAGATCGTAACGGATTTGATTGAGGAAGAAAGGGGAAAGACATTATGCGAAACGAGATACGAGACTGGTTCCATAACCGAGAGATTCGATTTCAAGCATAGCACTTCGAAGGTCTCGATGGAAATGTGTTGGACCGAGCTGTCATCAGCATTGACTGACTGAGAGAGTATGCTCATTCATGACTGAGTGATTATTCAGTCTTTTGGTCCGCCATCTACTCAAAGACGGAGCAATTCCAAGGTGGAGATCCAATCTGATTTCAAAGATTGTAGTATAGGAGGGACATTGAAAAGAATGAAAGACAACCCACCAGATCGGTGATACCAGCTACTTCGAACTTGTGCATCTGAGATGTTCGGAGATGGGCAAAATGAACACCAACTCCTCGTTCAACGTACGCTGAGGTGAGTTCAAGTAAGATCTGAGTGGCTCTAAGTGTCAGCGAAACCTATATTTCTCCTCAGTTACCCAAACTACACTATGGCTGATGAGAAACACTGAGCAACGGGTTGCAGAGTTGAGAAGGGAGGAGAGAAGAGAGAAGAGATACGGGGGGAGAGATGAAAGAAAAGAAAGTATGTGACCCATGTTATTACTCACGAGGCGTCAATATCCTCAACATCACCCATATGCAATATAAGCGCTTTGGCATGTTCTCTCCTTGGTTCATCTGACGGATGACTTTTCTCTGCTCCATATAATTCCAGCTGCCCATCAGCTCGGGTCCTGCCATGAGCTGTGAAAAGCCGACCCTTCGAAGACGTTCTTTGAGTTGACCTGTATTGGCAAAAGAGAGAGATTCTCGGATCCTGACTACTAGCTTTGTTGTCAGCAGTCATCCTACATCGACGGGTCCTTTGTGATCGGACAGTGAACACGATGCTTCGGCTGAATAAGAAGAGGAAGAAGTCATAGGTGAAGGTATATCGTTCGAGCTCGAGCAAAAAAAGCAGCGAGTTAAAGAACACGATGGATATTGCAATACGGCCTGATTAGGTGGTCGTCTATGTGTTGAGATGGAAGATTAGGTGGTAGGGACAACTGACCACACCGGGTATCTCCTCCTGCGCAGCTTCATCTTCATCCACAGGTACCCATTCGTCCGTCCCAGGTAATCGACCGATAATCTTGATTCGAGTCTGTGTAGATTTCTGAATGACAAGGATGAGTGAGAAAACTACACTTGCTACCAAACCAAGCTGAATGTGAGCTGGGCGAGGTCAGACGAGAACCATTACGACTTCTGAATTTCAATCATTTTCTTCCTGGAAGATGATGATTGTCAAAGAGAGCCATGATATGAGAATTGAATACAGGAAGGTATCACTCACTTCGATGGAGAAGAACAAAGTGAGGAAGAAAGTTCCTGTCATTTGTAGAAAATCTGTCCAAGCTCCCATCTTCCAAAAAAAGATAATTTCGTGTGGTGCTTCAGCCAGAACTACCCATCAGTATCAGTCTCCCATATATACAGTATACCCCTGGGTATCGTCAATGAACGTAAGGGGAATGACAAGGTATGGGAATGGCACAACCGTTGATTCGGTGAAGTGAAGATCATAGGAATCTTGTGATGGTATGTGGTAGAAGAACGCGTAAGTCAAGTGAAGATCGTAGGTATATTTTCGTGTGATAGGGCGGCATAAAGGCTTGATTTAATGAGAAAATTAGATTTGTAGAAAGAGGATGAACGATGAAGACTTACTAGCATAAACGACAAGAGCGATAATGGCCGCCAAGACGGATTTAGGAAGGAAATACAGATAAGGTAATAAAAAGTAAATACTGAGAATGATAGTTGCACTTGTTATCATACTTGACATTTGTGTTCTTCCGCCAATAGAACCGTTCAATCTTGATCCTAATTGTCAGGTCATGGACAAAAACCCCTCTTTTCGGACATACCACACTGTCTGCGACTCCCTAGTTGAATAGATGAGAAAGAGAGGAGATGATGAGCCTTTGTGAATGGTGGGAACTAGAGGAGAGAATCGAGGAGAAGTGAATGGTGACTAGGAAATGGGAGATGTGAGTTATCGATGATGTCCGGAATGACAACGAGGTAAAACAGGGGAGATATAGTGAAGGGTGAGGAGTCATGTTCAGGATGACAAGAAGGTCCATCAAGGAAGCCATAATTCATGTAATGTGCGACCAAGAGGAGGAGAGCATAGAAATGTATGAGAGAATAGAGAGAGGACTGACTGGTGATTGACCCGAAAACCGGAACAGATCCAGTCCCAGTGACAAAAGCAGCTGATAAATTGGCAGCTCCTAAAGCCACAAGTTCTCTATTAGGTGCTACTGGATAACCGTACTTTGCTCCGTTCTCTCTTGCAGCTACTACAGAGTCGACTATTCCCACTACGGCAGAGACGAAAGCCGTAGGGAGCTATATGTTAGCTATCTTGTGTCACAATCAGTAACTTAATGTAGCTATATTCAGGCGGGAAGGAGAGAGTGGGGTTGGAAGGATACAGAGTCAGAAAAGGAAATGGAATGAGGAGGGAAACGCATCGAAAAAAGTCGAAGGAAAGATGAAAATTCACCGTGTAGTTGAAATACTTCATTCTACGTTTATCTAAAGGCCAACCGAATGGCATTCCACCTCCACCTTTGACTTTACCGAGGATATCAACACCTGCTTCGTCCCATCGAAATATCCCCGTTAAAGCTATAGTATGAGCATTACCCTTTTCCCTACTTCTTTCAAAGATATTTTATCACTGCCTCTCACTTAATGTATCAAAACCGAAGCTCGTAAGCCTCAAAGTACCCTCATCAAGGAGTCGAGACACAAGTTCGATCGAGCGTTTGTGGAATGAGGTGGAGATGTAAATGAGAAGAAAAAGTAGCCCGAGTGAGACCTACCGGTCGTTCCAACCACCACAATAAATATCTCAGGTACATACTTTAACCAACCCGCTCCAGGATGTTTCATAATCCTCTGTTTCCCCACTCTAGCACCGATCAGAACGGCAAGGGAAGTGAAACTCAGTATAGTGGTAGTTTTATTGGCATATTTGACGTGACGTAGGAGAAAGGCGAGTTTCGCAAGTGGTAGTGTCGGGGTATCGTGCATATGTTCCAAAATTGAAGTTAAGCCAAGAAGTGGGATGAGTTGTTCAATGAAGATGATCTGTTTATCAATTATTTTCACCTTTGTGAACCACCGTCTTCAACCTTTGATGTCACTTCCGACTACCGTCACACCATATAGGCTTGACAGGAACAAATCGGACGACTGGGCATGTGTTCTACAATTGTGAAGACAAATGAAGGAATAAAGTTGGTGAACTCAAAACTAGGCAGAGGTAGGACTCACAATACCGACAGCAGTTATGAAACCTCTCAACAAGGCTCGAGAGAGGACAACATCTAAAAATCCTAAACGTAAAAGACCAAGGGCAAAAGTTATCAATCCAGTCTGACTATCAATAAAGATATCCATTCGACTGATTGGGACTCACTTGAAATGTGGTGACAAGGGCGATGGCAGCTGCTTCGAGTTCAGGATGAGCAGGGGTGGTATGAGGATCTCCGTGTACTGCATCTCGTATCATTTGACCTATGAGGAGTGAAAGTGATGCTTCGGGACCTAAGGAGAGTTGACTGTTGTTCAGCTATTGGATTCATCATCATCTAAAATATTGCTTCCTCTCCCCTCCGAAGAACTTCCTTACGTGAACAAGAACAGGGCGGGATTTGGCTGCCTACTGATGATCCATCCCTGCCAGGCTGCGCAATGGTAATACAAGCGGTTTACGAAGTTCAGTGAATGTGATCAAAGCCTCGCTTTCGACATGAAATGATTTGGCTGATCCGAAGAAAACACCATTCAATCGATAAGAGGATGGCTCATCAGAAGTGAGGGGTAGGATGACAGGGAGCAACGAATTTGTAAACTCACCGACATGTCCCAAGTAACCCATATATCAAAGAAGGTATAGCAGCTGACCATAATCCCGCTATGGGGGATAATGTAGCTAGACCATTCGCATATGACATTGCCTATTTGTTAACTTATCTCCCTGTTCAACTCCCATTTTCCATCTCCTTATTACCACCCATCAACAGCATGAAATCAGGCAGACAAGCCCAGCGATAAATCATTTCTGGAAAGGGGTCGTAGATCAGAAAAGGACGCACTTGGGGTATTAGCAGACATGCCACCTAAAAAAAGTCAGCCTGTCCAAGATCCTGAAAGAAATTGATTGAAACTTACTGAAACACCGGCAACGGCATCCCCAGTGAGTCTAAAGATTAGCTCGGCGTCAGAAGAAAGCAAGGTTGAAAAGGTAGACATACAGATGCCAACTATATTTCGGTAACCAATCTGTCACCTTTACATTAGCCAGATGAACATGATTTCTCACTATTCCGGATTGTGCACGAATCTCAATATGTCCAACGTCCGAGATCATCTAAACCAATCGGAGAGGGATGGCCGATGTGATTATATACAGGTACCTCTCATAATGATTACAGGTTTTCCATCTGCCCAGAGTGAGACCTCGACGGAAAGGAAATTTATGTGAGGGCCATCAAATAGGACTTACAGGAACATAGTATTTACTCCTCTGTCGTAGTTTTCGAGCTACGTGATTCATGGAATGTTTTCTCATGATACCTGATTTATTAGCGCTTCCCTCAATTCAAACTTCCAGCCAGTCTACCACTTTACCGACTCCTCGTAGTTTTCACCTCACGCATATCTACAGGGAGAGTGGTGTGTGAATTCCGTGATTGTCTTGCCCCCTTTCCCAGAAAGGAACACCACGCATTTGCAGAGACAAGAGCATGAGGCTGGGCGTGCGTGTCGTCTCTCCTCCTCCCAGGCAGTGGCAAAGAGGTGGCAAAACTTCCATCTCACCCTCCGAGTGGTGAAAAAAGTCTAGAAGGAGGTAATATCGACCAAGATGAATAGAGATCTCTTCGATGTGATCCAAACATGGAATGAGGAAGTGTTGAGACGAATAGGATAAAAACTTACCAGGTCTATCATCCCTATTAATCCCTTCGTCCCTACTTACCACCCCACTTTCTCCTTCTATTTCCAAATCAGCCGTATAATTCCTTCTGATACCTCTTTCATCATCACCTATCTGTCCAATTCGTTGACTATCAGGAGTAGAACGAGCTGAAGGTCCATTTCCTTGATCTATCTCATTTGAAGAACCGGAAGAATATCTTGCTTTTCCATTGTTCGCTGGTTCTGGAGCGAGTAATCGAGTGTATTCACTAGGTCCAGCTTCACTTCTCGAGAATATAGATGAGAGGTTTTTCTTGATATCATTGGGTGGTGTGTGATCGTTGGACATGATTCTACCTAGCTCAAACTGAAAGCTGTTTCACTCATTCGAGGTTCTTGTACTTTGACCGAGGGTGATAGATGACGGGATGATGAAGTGAGTGAGAGGGATAGAAAGAGTGATCAGTCAGTGTAGAAAGAGGAATGATGTTGATATGATCAAGTGAGAGGAGAGATGGATGAGAGATAGGTTCATCATAGATAATTCGGTCATGTACCGTGGCCGGGAAGTCTCAGGTTAGATTTCCCCAAAACCGAAATTGCGCGCGACCTGGTTCCCACTTCATACTTCATACCACCTCCATCTGTCATAAGCCTGGTATGCTTGAACTACTTATCAAACTGGCTGTGTGCTATCACGTACCTTCTCTGGGGCCAGTTGAGTGCTCGGGACATCCATAAACGTAGGGATTCCTCCACGGTGGTACCGCCTGCAATGGAATTTCAAAAGTCAAGGACAGGTTGGATGTGGAGTGATAACAACCCGTAAGCCACCGATTCACCTCCTTCCCAAGATGATGCAAAGCAGATGACTCAGCAGGATAGGTCATAAGATAGATCAAGCTAGCTAGCTGGAATCCTTCTACATTAGAGACGTTCTTGGTGCCAATCAATTGTGTCTTACAACGGAACCTGGATCCATCGGGTGTTTTAAGAGTAGTTTACACCCAAACAATTTTGGCTGAGCCGTGACAGGTGGACAGGGATCTTAAGGAGACAGCTCCAGGATGAGGCAAAGCTGAAGGAGAAGACGGGACACAGGACAGGTTGGAGTATCATAGATCATGGATCCGGAGATCATAGTAGGATTGTGATAAGTTACCGTACAGGACTTGTAAGCTTTTTAGATAAATAACTCATCTGCTTATCAATGCATTGCTAAGCAGATGGATCAGCAAGATAGATTTCAGTATGGTGAATAGGTAGATAGAATGATAGAATGCATCCTCTTTCTCTTCAATTGACTTTCTACATTGGAGAGGTTTTTGGTACTACTTACTGACTGATCACGTCTTACAAGGATCATGTGTGCCCTTCAACCACTTTCCACCATTTCTTTGTTTCTCTTCTTCTTCTATAGAATCTTATGCCTAATCAGCAGTGAGGTAGATCAGAAGATATAAGCGCAGTAGACAGTGATATGTATCATCTTCATCCCTTGATTGACTCTCTACATTGGAGACGTTGTTGGTAAATGATTGGTCACGTCTCCCCAAGATCCCTCATTTTGTCTCATTTCTGCACTGATCACCGAGGAACAATCCCCATCCCCGTCTTCCTCACTCATTTCCGCGTACTACAAGATGAGCAATGCATGCAAATGATCCTTAGACCCTTCTCAACACGACAGTACCACTTTCACGACAGGGAGATTGAACCTCCCAAAGTTGTCAGTGTTTCTCTGACACTTACTTATGGTTAGTAACTTAGTCGCTTCTAGCCCTGTGTGTTGCCTTCCACCCTTCTTTGAAACTTTCTTTCTCATATCCAGTACTATCCTCTTGCTAGGATGTTCTCTCTGTTGTCCTGTCTACTTGAATCCGAGATGAGGTTCAATAGGCTATTTCACTATCATCATGCATCCTCTCATCCCCTATTTGCCTTTCTATGTTGGAGACGTTTTCGATCGTGTCTTATCCTCGCCCCTTACCCCTAATTCCTACGGAGGACCCTGTTGGGGATATAAGGAGTGGTCAATCGTCTTGTGCATCCTCTTTCTTTTTGCTTGACTATCTACACTGCCCTCCAATGGTAGAAGAGACAGGAATGTGAAGGTTGAGTGCGGTGATCTGCGGCGCATGCGGCGAAGTTAACCTGAGACTTCCCGGCCACCGTATCATGTCCGAGAAAGATGATTTCGCTCAGTTGTTTCAGAAATCGTTTCATCTTTTCATTTCTTACTTTTCACATTCACCAAACGTCCAGAGATACAGAATTGAAAGTCCGAACGGGAGAGTCTTTCAAAAGAGCGGGTCGAGTAGCAAGAAACGGTCTCACATCAGAGGCACCAGAATCAGACATTGCACATGCAGCTTCGAGGGAGGAACGGAGAGTGAATTTCGAGTTTATAACGTAGTCCTAAGATTTCCAAAGACACCGAAAGAAAGCCAGTTGTCATTCAAGAGCAAGTTGAATCCATCCAACAGTAAGGACGAAGATCAAGATCGTGTGTGAATATCGATTAGCCCCAGAATCGTAGGGAAAAGAAAGTTAACGAAGAAAGAATCAGAATAACAACGGAAGATGCCAGATTCAGAAGGAAGATCCTACCATCTCCCTGACGAAGAAAGACCAAGGGGAGATGACAAGAAACAAAATTGGAGACCAAAGTTTATTCGTCTACTCGCAGGTGTCCAAAATACTTCTGCTCTTATCTTCTCGGTGTTTCTAGGGGTTCATCTTACCGTACCTATCATCACTGCTTTAGGTGGGAAAGAATTGGGTAATAAAGTTTTAGTGGGTTTTCTTTTATCTATCTTATATCTTTTCTCTCTCTTACCTTCCGCTTCTCCTCTCCCCTAGTCTAATATCTCTACTGGTCCATACTATCCAATTCATCTAGTTTTTATTCCTCTGATTGTGATTTCCCGTCACGCATGGCTTCTCCTCACTTCACTTGATAGATCTTTTCCATGAATCTTCGTCGCAATGAAGGTGTTATTCATTTGACATTTGGTTTTTAACCTAGTTCCGAGGTTCCTATCCAAGTGTCCAACAGCACAATTTTATTTGAAACAAATCTATCAACACTCAAACGAGACACCCCTTTTGTTTTCGTCCACCCCCCTTCCCCACTTCATATCTGACTTGAAGTTTAGAATCAATCAACCTTATGGAATTGGATGATCCTCAATAGGTTAGAATTGAGGTTGAGAATGATAAATTGAATGTGAAAGATATGAAAACTTACCATCATTAGATGATAGGTAGAACATATTATCATCCCTCTGAATCTTTCTCAATATACATACCCCTCTCTCTCCATATCTTAACCGGTATAACAAAACGTTTCCTCATTCATTCTCATTCTAAACTTTCTCGTCGATATTCACCTAATTCGTCCGCGTCTCCAACAACGAGCAAAACTTCCTGGTCGAAAAATTCTTTTCTCGAAAAAGTTCTAGATAGACTTGTTTCCATTATACATTTATGTTCTTCCTTCACAAGTCAATATCATTTACGTTCATCTATCATAACAGGTTATTTACTCATACCTTTTCTTTTTTCACATATGATGACACATCGTATAATCCCTCAAATTCCTTATACATCTATATCTTCTCTCAGTCCATCAGAATTGGATTTAGAGTTTGTAGGATGGAATTTGATTTTTTGGAAAGGATGGTTTGGATATTTGGGTTTGCTAGGTTTAGGTTTATGGCATGGTTCTTTTGGGTTGAAAAGGGTTTATGGATGGTTTGGACGATTAGGAGGGTTGAGAGGGATCGGGAGAGCAGAAGGGATGGGAGGATCAGGAGGGTCGAGTGTAGTTGAAGAAATGGAGGATTCAGATCAGTCGAGTGTAGTGGGAGGGACGGAAGGATCAGAAAGATCTGGCATAGTGAATGAATCGGAAAAGACAGAAGGGAATGGAGTGACGAAAGGGACGATTTTACCAACAGGTCCGATGGCACAGGATGAAGAGAAGACAAGTACAAGCACCGACCAAAAAGAGAGAAGAGTATTGAAGAATAAAGGGGAAGAAACCGATTCAACAGATTTGAAACACGAACGGATAGATGGAAACAAGTCAGAGTATAGGATGTTGAAATGGATTGATATCAACAGAGATTGAGTTCAATTGGATAATGACTTTGTATTTTTCTTCTTGATGTGATAGATTAAACAGGATGAAAGATGAGAATGTTAGTAAGAGTATGGTAAAACGATATCAAGCTGTGTATGATGTCTTCTATTTTAGATGATTGGTTGACATATGATGCATGATGTTGTTACATTACGTGATTGTCGTATGTGAGGGTTGTATATGATATGTGGGTGACATAGGATGTTATGAGAGTGTGATTATATACATATACACCTGAAAGTTGAAAAACGGCATGAAGTTTGGTCTGGAAGTTTGGGCTTGGCACATATGAGGTTTGAGTCTTTGAAGCAATGAGATGGTGTGTAGACGATGGATCCTGCATCGGGCGAGTGGACAGACGCCAGGGAGATCGATACAGAGTGATTGACTGGAATGGGAGTGGGGAGTGGGAATCGAACGATGTGGACGATGGACTTGTTGTATTGCAACCAAACCGAACAATCAGCTTGATTCAGAAAGCGGAAGATGAACGGACTAACCTGTGGTGTAGAGATGACAAGTTCAACGTCCCCTCTGCATCTTCTGAAGAACAGCTTGTTGAGATAATTGAATATCATGTTCTATCTTTTCCATATCTGTACATTTCGACATCTAACATTAGTCACAGCTCTATTTGATTGGACTTACCTTGGCGGCGATTTTGATTTTAGACTTTTCCAACTTTGTTTGAATTTCCTCAAATTCTTTCTTCTGTCTTTCACCTATTCGTCAATCCCAGCGCTAATCTCACTGAATGACCGTGTTAGACGCCGTATCGTACTGAGATCGATAAGCCGACGGGGGATGGTTTGAATAGGTATGAAAGATCGAGGACAGAGAGACACTCACGCATCGCATTCCATTTAGGTATGAATTCTTTCAACGCCGCTTCTTGTTCAGCTTGAAGAGCTTTGGCTTCTCTCCAACATGACAGAGAATCTAACTATATCGTCATTCTCATTCAGTGCTGGTTCTGGCGATGATATCATACGACTGCGTCTGATCAAACTTGACGGTAAGATCAAAATGCAAGATATGGAGATGTGGGAGTGTAAAGACAAGGTATAGGGGATGTTGTGTTCGCAGTGAATGGAAGTATGGTGAGATTGGCCAGGAGAAGGGATCGATATTCACCATCTGTTTCTTCACTTCAGCATATGTTAGATCCCACTGGGTTTTCAAGTCATCACTGCAATTCTTCTCCGTGTCGTGCCATCTCTGAACCTGAGACCTATACATCAGTGACATCATTGTAGCAATGATCGTACATCCTCTCAATTAGGCCACGGTCGGAAATTGACTAGACTGAAGTTCCAGCTACAGAGATGATAATAAGAGCTGTCTGGGTGTACGAAGTCACATGAACGAGGGAAAGACTCGACACAACTCACAGCAAGTTGACCGTATCAAAAGTTTCCAACCTCCCTTTCAACGCAATTTTCTCTTCTTCCCAAATCTGATTCAAAGTTTCCACAGGAAGGTTAAGTCGTTGCATCATCGGTCCTAACTTTTAGTCTTGCTCATCACCTATTCTCTCACCCTTGAGAGATTTCACCAGTTCAGATCTGGAATCAGTTTCCGTCTCTTCCACTCTCGAGACTCGGTCCACATTCTTTGCCCCCCTTCCCTTTGACGGACCATCAAACAATGACAACAATACTATCTCGACCGATGCAAAGCCATTGATATGAATGAAGGATCAGTCAAAGAGAAGAGGCAGAAAAGATTCTCACGCTCGTTCTTCCGGTTCCGGGTCCTCTTCTTCGGGAGAAGAAGAACCTTTCAACTCTTTGATGACAGCGATAAGATCTTCTTTCTTCATCTTCTTCAAATCGTCTATTGCGACTTTTGACCTCTTGCCTTTCTTCCCTTGGTCTCGAACTTGATCCTCGTCGGGAGCCGTTTGATTGTCTAGGTCAGATCCAGAATCAGAGGTGGAACTCCAATCGGAGCTGTCGCTGCTGTGATTAGACTTCTTTGGTTTGGACCTGAGATGGGATGGTCTTGATCTGGTGGAACGAGATTTAGACTTGTGAACCGGTGGGGTGGAGGGGTCAGAATCAGATTCAGCTTTACGAGTATTGACTTTGGCACGGGGCATCTTGTGCCTCGTTGGGTGTCAAATCTGTCCTGTGGTGGTATGTCAATCTGGGTAAGTAGATGATTGTGAGTTTAGGGGACGATGTAGAAGGATCAGATAGTAGCAGAGAAGTATGCGATGGAAGAGAAGAGAAGTGAAGTGAAGGAGAAAGAGAATGCGGTGGGGAGTGGGGGAAGGATCGGTGGGGGTGGAGTGGCAAGCGATCCGTGCGGTAGCCCATGTCCAGTCATCCTATCATTCCACTATACCCTAGGATCAAGCTGCGACTTAGCTGCAAAGTTATGGTATACACATGGGTTAGGTCGTTTACGATGAGCAGAGGTATTCGTGAATCGAGAGCATATAAGTGTTATGGGTGGTGGAGAACTGAGTCGTGAGTGGAAGGAGGATGCCAGAGGGTCCAAGCGTTTGATGGTGTTTTTGATCAGAGTTCCTGCTGTCCTTACGCCCTTCAACCAAACCATCTTTCTCACTTTCTTCTCTTCTCTTACTCTGCTTATATCCCTACTTGATTGACAATTTCTTCTCCTACATCGCCCTCCTACCTTATCACTCAAAGCACACATCGAACACTACCTCGAATCCATAGAAATAAATATCGTAAGTTTCATCAGATAAATTTGTGTATCCCTTTCCTACTGTATATGCTATGACACAAGACAAGATAGCAGATCAGCTGATGACTAGACATCATGTCGAGTAGAACAAACAAAACCACTATGCACGAGTTGAAACTTCGTCGTTTGCTGGAACATAATCATCGATTGAGAGAAGAATTGGCAAGACCTAGAGTCATGGTCAGTATCGCCAGTCTTAAGTGAGTTTACCCTCTTTTCTCCTAGACATTCTTCTCCCAGTCTTGGATTCTCCTGTCAACTTTTGCGCCATCTCTTTCGCATTCCATCCGTCGTCTTCTGTACACTTGTCCTGTATGAATCCTAGAGGTAAATCAGAGGGAGAAGATGGACGATGAATAGAAAGACTGACTTGCAGTTTGATCAATTACTGTCGGTCGACAAAGGACCCCATGGTGAGTGTTCCCCCCTTGGACTCTTCCACTCAATCCCTTCCCAATCACCTACTTTAGGTATGTCGACGCTACTTTGTTTGAACCTCTTCCTGGAGCGAAGACTGTCCTCGAAGCTTGACAGAATACTGGTGGAACACAGTTAGCGTTGAAGAGGTATTTAAGATGAGTTCTTCGCTGATATGTAACAGATCCCCTCACTATGGGGTCCATTAGGTAGAGGTGAAGATCCTTTCGCACCTCAAGAGAATGGTGGTTGTTGTACTCGTAAGTCTTTCCATTTTCGCCTAAAACAAAACTCATCGTACAGTTATGTGATCCTTGAAGGGTATTCTACCCGTAGTGGTGTCGATCACTCTTGTCATTCTTGTTTATCATCCCGTTTAGACCATATCACGGGACGGGGGGGGGGGGGGGGGGAATAGAGGGGGGAGGGGAAGGGGGGTGATTATCTCTTGTTATAAGGTACCCTAACTTGCTTGCTTTTGACTCGTCCTGCATGCACTATACCTTAAGCTACTCTCTGGATCTCTGCCAGTTCCGCAGGTTTATCAACCGTGGGAAAGTAAAGAGATCCAGTGGCCAGTGACTTGCATCCCCGATCACACACCCAACCTCCATTCATCTTACTCCCACTTTCAGCAGTCTTGTCATTGTAAAACCAGTTGAGTGATATCTCATTCCCGATCATGCCCAATCCATTAGAATATCAAGAAATGGATTCCGATCCAGAACTATTCGGTTACAGTAGTCACACTCACATCCATTTCCCTACTTTCTCCCAAGCGAAACCTATATCACATAAATCTTCTTCACCTCTTCTCCATTCTGATCCTAATCACCTCCAACCACAGAGCATTCCCGGTAGTTCAAGAGATCCGAATCGTCACAATATATCACCTTCAACACCTCATATCACTCAGAGTATGTCTCCAACTCACAATGTGTCTCCAACTCATAATCCATCCTCCACTCATCCAACCATATCGAACGAACATTCATCTCCGGTGGCAAACTTACCTTGGAATACACCCATAGAGATAGGTACAGGCAAAAGTGGTTTGGTAGTACGTAAGAGAGAACTAGAAAGAATGATGTATTCTAGAAAATGGGAGAATGAGTTAGTTGAAAAAGGAGTGAAAGGTTTAGGAAGGTTTTGTATGACAGGTTAGTCTTTTCCTCCCGGTTTTGTGGGGAGCAATGTGTTGAATATTGTTAGTCATCAATAACAATGCGAGTAGGATTTGGGATGTTGGTGATACTTCTTATGATTTGATTGAAGATTTATTGAAATCTGTTTCGAGGGAACAATTACAAGAGATTGAGAATAATTCTCCAGTGAGTCATATGTCTCTTTTGACTTGATTTCATTTTTCCTACCCAACACAAGCTTTTTTGACCTTCCAATGTTCTGGTGGTCTGGTTTTTCTCATCATACCCGCGTCTGTTCACACAGGCCCCCCTCACGGACATCGTCAGCGACTTCGTAGTTGTTCATCACATATTCTCCACACGTTTCATCATCTCTCGCCGACAAAGTTCATGTTACCTGGACGGCGAACGATTCGTCTTGGATCAGACGGATCGTTTCTTCTTCGACGTCCTGCCTGCGATAAAACGGGAGAAGAGGAATGAGGTAGAGCAGGAGAGGAGTTAACTCATTTTAGAACCTTAAAAAACAATCAGATTGGATATGGGAACTTTACTACTTACAAGATTTCCCTTCTCATTGGGAAAAAGCAAGGATGAAAGGTGGTCAACCTCGGACATCTGGTTGGAGAAGGAAATATCATGTAAGTTGCAAGTTGCTGATCAGCTCCCCCAGCATTCTTCCAGTGCGGCTGTCAAGGAGATATTGCCCGCTCATGGGAAACGGACCATCATCGCGCTAACATTCAGGACGCAGTATCAGACGAAGAAGCTCGTAAAGCTAACGCGGCATCTAAAATGGCAGAGAAATATCAAGCTATGGAAAAGGAAAGAAGCGCAAAGAAAATACAAGTTGTAGATAAAATGGTTTTACCTAAAGGTAAAGGTCCTAGGGGTATTCCATGGAGAGGAGTAGGACCAAAACCTATTTCTTCTTGTGAGTTTTTGTTATCCCTCCCTTGATCTGAGTATTGCTGATATTTAGCAAACGGTTTACAAGGAGGAGGTACTGCTTCCAACGCTATAGCTAAAGCTAAATTAGAAGTTCAACGTACTAGAATAGCTATGACAAACGTTGCTGGTCGTCCACTCCCTTCATCCATCCGATTAGCACCTCCCAGAACCTCAAACACGACTCGTATACCTACTTTACCAGACTCATCTAGAATGACAAATCATCAGTCAACTCGTCTTCCTCCTCCTCCGAAATCGATAAGACAATCATCCGTCAAAGCCAACAACTATGTAAATCATTTGGATGACAGTTCTTCACCGGAGAGGATGAGCAACAACAATAAGAAACCCCTTTCACATATCCCCATGACTAAAGGATCCTTCGATAAATCTATCCACGAATCAGGAACACGTTTGAAGAGTATGGACAGTAAGACAGGGGATAAGATTAAAGTTCCGGAATATAAACCTATTTCTAAATCGATTGATTTCTTCGCTGGGTTAGGTCCGAAATCTGTCAATAGAGATAATGTACAATCGATGACACAAATACTTCCGAAGGTGTCAAAAATGCTGGACGGTCAACTGGGAAAGACGAACAAGAGGAAAGTTTCGGAAGAAGGGGAAAGAATGATTTTATCTGATAAGGCTTCAGAAGAAATCAGTACGAATTTGAATAATGTCAAGAGGATGAACTTTGGTACGACAAACATGACAGATGTGATGAAGACGAGTATGACAAACACGACGACTGCAAC